TTAACCCATTTTTTCTCATTTTAACCCCCCCCTCAGTTTCCCGCCCTTTTCTCCCCTCACCCATTCACCCCCTTATCCCCTCAAACCCCCATTTTTCCCCCAAATTCCCATTTTAACCCATTTTTTCTCTTTTTAACCCCCCCCTCACCCATTCACCCCCTTATCCCCTCAAACCCCCATTTTTCCCCCAAATTCCCATTTTAACCCATTTTTTCTCTTTTTAACCCCCCTCAGTTTCCCACCCTTTTTCTCCCCTCACCCATTCACCCCCTTATCCCCTCAAACCCCCATTTTTCCCCCAAATTCCCATTTTCATCCATTTTTTCTCTTTTTAATCCCCCCTCAGTTTCACCCCCTTATCCCCTCAAACCCCCATTTCCCCCCAAAATTCCCCATTTTAACCCATTTTTTCTCATTTTAACCCCCCCCCTCACCCATTCACCCCCTTATCCCCTCAAACCCCCATTTCCCCCCCAAATTCGCATTTTAACACATTTTTTCTCTTTTTAACCCCCCCCCCTCAGTTTCCCGCCCTTTTTCTCCCCTCACGCATCCACTCACCGGGTCCTCAATGGCGGCTTCCCCCGCCTCCCCTTCCCCCAGCCCCGCTTCCTCCTCCAGCTCCTCTCCGGCCCCTTCGTGAGGCGGCCCCGGCGCTGAGGCGGCGGCGGCGGCGGCGGCGGCGGCAGCGGCGGCGGCTCCGGCCCCGGTCCCGCTTCCCCCCGCCGCCCCTCCCGACCCTCCCCCGGCCCCTCCGCGGCCGCTCCCGCCCCGGCCCCGGCTCCCCCCTTCTCCCAGCGCCGCCTCCTCCGGCCCCGCCGCCGCCCCCAGGCCGTTGCCGTAAGGCGGGGAAGGATCTCCGGTTCCTCCGGGACCCCCCGGGCCCGCCCCGGTTCCGGCCGCGGCTCCTCCGGCAGCCGCCGCCATGGCCGCCATGGCCGCCCGCCCGCGCCGTGAGGGGGAACGTGAGGGGGCGGCCAATCAGAGAGCGCCGTGAGGCTTCGTGGGCGGGACCATACCTACACTGACCAATCAACAGCCAGATATGCTGATTGACAGATGATAGAACCATTTAAAACGCTGCTGCGTGGTTTTACGCTATCCAATCGGATTAAAGGTGGGCGGGAGAAAAAGGGAGGCAGCCAATAGGAACAGCGGAGCGGCGGGAGGCGGGAAGAGCGGCAGCCAATGGCAGCGCGAGGAAATAGCAAAGCAGCGGCTAACAGCGATAGGCTGGAGGCGTGGCTTGGTCGCATCTAACCAATAAAAACGCGTATTTCAGCGGAAAAGGCGTGGTTAAACAGTGACAACCAATAACGACGCTCCTATGGGCGGAAGTGGGTTAAAGCTTCAGCCAATCGGCGTGCGGAGAGGCGGGGCTCAGACAGCGCTGACCAATAGGAAGGCGCGGGGGGCGGGGTCTGGTCCTAAAGGCGCCGACGCCGCTTTTCTCTTCGCTCTCATTAAGTAGCCCCGTTTAATTACGCTGGTTTAATTATGCTAATTAGCGCCTTAATAAATTAACTAAGCGGGGAATGCGGCCGAACGAGCGTTGGGGTGGCGCTCCGCGGGTTAATAAGGGGGTTAATTAGGATCTAATTAATTGATTGGTTTGCTCGCTGGGGTTTATTAGATAGGGCTTAATTGGGTTATTAATTTATTAGCGCAGGGGGTTAATTAAAAGCGGCCGCGGCCCCTTTAAGACTGGGAGTTAATGAGTAACCCGCTAATCACGGCCTGCGGGGTTAATTAGTGAGCCATTAACGCCAGCGGGGCGCAATTAATGCGGCGTTAATTGCGGTGGGGGAGGGGGGGAGACGTGAGGGAGAGGGGGCGTGGCCTAAATGGGAGGGGCGGGGCCAAAAGGGGGCGTGGCTTGGAGCATTAGTGGCATTATAGTGTGTGATTAGCATAATAGGCGTGGTTTTTCCTTTTAAGGAAGAAAGGGGCGTGGTTTAATAAGTATTGGGCTCAATGGAGGGGGCGTGGCCAAGGTTGAATTTTAATGAGGGGGGAAAGGCGGGAAAAGGCGTCGCGCGCGAGGGGGCGGAGCCAGCGCTGAGGGGGAAAGCGGCGGTAAAGGCGTGAGGGGGAATTTTGAGGGGAAAAAGGGAAAATTTGGGTAAAAAATGCGGAATTTGGGTGAAAAATGGGGAATTTGGGTGGAAAAGGGGGAATTTCGGGAAAAAATGGAAAAATTTTGAGGGGAAAAAGGGAGAATTTGGGTAATTAAAGGGGAAATTTGGGTAATAAAAATGGAGAATATGGGGAAAAAGGGGGAATTTGGGTGGAAAAGGGAATTTCAGGAAAAATGGAAAATTTTGAGGGGAAAAAGAGAGAATTTGGGGGGCAAAACGGAGAATTTAGGTGAAAAAGGGAGAATTTGGGTAAAAGGGGGAATTTGGGTGAAAAATGGAGAATTTGGGTAAAAAAAGGGGGAATTTGGGTGAGAAAGGGAAAATTTGGGTAAAAAAGGGGAAATTTAGGTAAAAAAGGGAGAATTTGGGTAAAAATTGGATAATTTAGGTGAGAAATGGAGAATTTGGGTGGAATAGGGGAAATTTCAGGAAAAATGGAAAATTTTGAGGGGGAAAAGGGAGAATTTGGGTAATAAAAGGGGAAATTTGGGTGGAAAAATGGAGAATTTGGGTAAAAAGGGGGGAATTTGGGTGAAAAAAGGGAGAATTTCAGGAAAAATGGAAAATTTTGAGGGGAAAAAGGGAGAATTTGGGGGAGGAAAATGGAGAATTTGGGTAAAAAAGGGGGAATTTGGGTGAGAAAGGGAAAATTTGGGTAAAGAAAAGGAATTTGGGTAAAAAAGGGAGAATTTGGGTAGAAAATGGAGAATTTGGGTGAAAAATGGGAGGATGTGGGTAAAAAAGAGAATTTGGGTAAAAAAGGGGAAATTTTGGTAAAAAAAGGAATTTTCTGAGGAGATTTGGGGGTTTTAGGAGGATTTTGAAGTTTCATGAGGAGATTTTGGATTTTATGAGAGAATTTTGGGGTTTTCTGAGGAGATTTTTGTAATTTTTGAGGAGATTTTGGGGTTTTATGAGGGAATGTTGGGATTTTATGAGGAGATTTTGGAATTTTCTGAGGAGATTTGGGATTTTAGGAGGATTTTGGGGTTCTATGAGGGAATTTTGCGTTTTTTGAGGAGATTTTTGGGTTTTATGTGGAGATTCTGAGGTTTCATGAGGGAATTTTGGTTTTTTTTTTTTTTGAGGAGATTTTGGGGTTTCAGGAGGGAATTTTGGGATTTTCTGAGGAGATTTTGGGGCTTTTTGTGGAGATTTTTGGATTTTATGTGGAGATTCTGAGGTTTTATGAGGGAATTTTGGGATTTTCTGAGGAGATTTTGGGGTTTTAGGAGGATTTTTTGGGATTTCTGAGGAGATTTTTGAGTTCTCTGAGGGAATTTTGAGATGTTATGAGGAGATTTTGGAATTTTCTGAGGAGATTTGGGGATTTTTGAGGAGATTTTTAGGTTTTATGAGCAGATTTTGGGATTTTCTGGGGAGATTTTGGAATTTTCCGAGGAGATTTTCGGAGGCATTTTGTCCCATTTTGTGCCACTTTCGGGGAATTATGTTCAATTTTGTGTCACTTTTATGGGATTTTAAGCAATTTTGTGTCACTTTTTTTTTATTTGGAGCCATTTTGTGTCAAATTTAGGGGATTTTAGGCAATTTTGTGCCAATTTTGTTCGATTAAGATCCACTTTCTGCCACTTTTGGCTGATTTTGCTCCATATTTTGTCACTTTTCTGGTATTTTGTCCCATTTTATGCCACTTTTGGTACATTTTCATCAATTTTGTGTCACTTTTATGGCATTTTAGGCAATTTTGTGCCAATCTTGTTTAATTTTGAGCCATTTTATATCACTTTTGATACATTTTATTCAATTTTTTGTCACTTTTATGGAATTTTGAGCAATTTTGTGTAACTTTTGTTTGATTTTGAGCCATTTGTGTCAAATTTATGTGATTTTAAGCCATTTTTTGTAACTTTTGCTCGATTTTGAGCCATTTTGGCCAATATTGTTTAATTTTGAGCCATTTTACGCCACTTTTGGGACATTTTCATCAATTTTGTGTCACTTTTATGGCATTTTAAGCAATTTTGTGCCACTTTTTTTTGATTTTGGGCCATTTTGTGCCACTTTTGGTGCATTTTGAGCAATTTTATTCACTTTTCTGGCATTTTATCCCATTTTGTGCCACTTTTGGTACGTTTTCATGAATTTTGTGTCACTTTTATGGCATTTTAAGCAATTTAGGCCAATATTGTTTAATTTTGAGCCATTTTATATCACTTTTGATACATTTTATTCCATTTTTTGTCACTTTTATGGGATTTTTAGCAATTTTGTGCCAATTTTGTTTGATTTTGAGCTGTTTTGTGCCACTTTTGGTGCATTTTGAGCAATTTAATTCACTTTTCTTCCATTTTGAGTCACTTTTGGCTAATTTTGCTCCATTTTATTCACTTTTCTTCCATTTTGAGTCACTTTTGGTTTATTTTGAGCAATTTTGTGCCACTTTGGGGGCATTTTGAGCAATTTTATTCACTTTTCTGGCATTTTGTCCCATTTTGTGCCACTTCTGGAGAATTTTCATCAATTTTGTGTCACTTTTATGGCATTTTAAGCAGTTTTGTGCCAATTTTGTTTGATTTTGAGCCGTTTTGTGCCACTTTTGCCTGATTTTGCTCCGTTTTATTCACTTTTCTTCCATTTTGAGTCACTTTTGGCTAATTTTGCTCCATTTTATTCACTTTTCTTCCATTTTGAGTCACTTTTGTTTGATTTTGAGCCATTTTGTGCCACTTTTGGGGCATTTTAAGCATTTTTATTCACTTTTCTGGCATTTTGTGCCACTTTCAGGACATTTTCATCAATTTTGTGTCACTTCTATGGCATTTTAAGCCATTTTGTGCAATTTTTGTTTGATTTTGAGCCGTTTTGTGCCGATTTTATTGGATTTTGATACATTTTGAGCCACTTTTGTTTGATTTTGAGCCATTTCAGGCCGGTTTTTCCCCATTTCGGGGTCGATTTTTTTTTTATATTTTAATTTTTTTTCCCCTCCCTCCTTTTTTTCTTTCCCCCCTCCTCCTCCTCCTCCTCCTCCTCCTCCTCCTCCGGCAAAGTCCGGCCCCGGCGAGGCCGAAGGTCACCCCCAAGGCTCCCTCTGTCCTTCCTCCTCCTCCCTAAAAAAACCCCCAAAAAATCCCTTTTTTCCCTCATTTTAACCCCCTATTTTTCTTGTATTTTTCACCCCAAAAAAAACACGAATTCCGGATGGAATCCGGCCCCAAAAACCGCGGAAAAAACCCCAAAAAAGAGGAAAAAGAGGATGAAGAGGAGGGAGGAGTGGCACTGAAAAAGGAGATCGGGCTCCTCAGCGCCTGCGGGATCATCGTGGGTGAGTTTTTTGGACCCCTCCCCAAATCCCCAAAATACCCAAAAAATCCCCAAAAATCCACCCAAAAAACCCTAAAACCCAAATTGCCCAAAATCCCCAAAAATCGCTTTAAAACCCCCCAAAAATTTGAATTTTTTCCCGTTGGGTTCCTCCGTGTTGTCCCTCGGGAACCCCCCAGGGTGAGGAAAATTTGGGATTTTCCTCCAAAATCGCCGCGGATTTTGGGGGAAAACACAAAAAATTTTCGGGGTTCGCCTCGAAAATTTGGGGGTTTGAGAATTTTGAGGGTTTTGGGGGTTTTGAGGGATTTTTTGGGGTTTTTAAGCCCAAATAAACAGCCGGACCCCCCTAAATTCCCCCCTCGGCCCTCGGGATCTCCCTAAAACCCCCCCAAAATCCCCCAAATTCCCCCCAAATCCCTCCCAAAATTCCCAGGATTTCCTCGGGACCCGAAATTCCCAAAATTCCCCCCAAAATTCCCTCCAAAACCCTCCCAGGTCACCCGGAATTGACCCAGTTTGGCCTTAAATTGACCCAAATTCACCCAAAATTCCCAAAATTCGCCCCAAATCTTGGGAATGTTTGCGGGGCTGGGATTTGTGTCTTCCCAGAAACACCAAAATTGCCCCAAATTCACCCAAAATTGGCCCAAATCCCCCCAAACCCCAAAATTTTTCCAAAATTACCCCAAATCCCATTTTTTTGCCCCAAATTCCTCCAAAATTTCCCTGAATTCCCCAAAATTGCCCCAAATTCCCCAAAATTGCCCCAAATCCCCCCAAAATTTCCCCAAATTCACACAAAATTGCCCCAAATCCCCCCAAAACCCCAAAATTCCTCTAAAATTACCCCAAATCCCAATTTTTTGTGTCCCAAATTCCTCCAAAATTTCCCTGAATTCCCCCAAAATTGCCCCAAATCCCCCGAAATTCCCCTGAATTCCCCAAAATCTGCCCCACATCCCAAATTTTTTACCCCAAATCCTCCAAAATTGCCCCAAATTCCATTTTTTTGCCCCAAATCCCCGGAAATTGCCCCAAATTCCATTTTTTTGCCCCAAATCCCCCCAAATTGCCCCAAATTCCAATTTTTTTTCCCTAAATCGAGGGAATTTCATCAGGCTGGGAATCCTAATTCTCCCAAAATTCCCAATTTTCCTCCAAACCTCCCCCAAAACCCCTCAAAATCCTGGATTTTCCCCCATAAAACCCTAAAAATTCCTAATTTTTCCTCAAATCTCCCCCAAACCCCTAAAAATTCCTGATTTTCCCCCTGAAAAACCTAAACATTCCTGAATTCTTCCCCCAAAACCCCTAAAAATTCCCAATTTCCCCCCAAATCCTCTTCATTTTTTCTTCAAAATCCCTAAAAATTCCCAATTTTTCCTCCAAACCTCCCCCAAAACCCATAAAAATCCTGATTTTTCTACTGAAAAACCCTAAAAATTCCCAATTTTCCCCACGAATCCCTAAAAATTTCCGATTGTCCCCACAAACCTCAAAATTCCCAATTTTACCCCCAAAACCCCTAAATATTCCAGATTTTTCCCTGAAAACCCCTAACAAATCCCAATTTTCTCCTCAAAAATTCTGAATTTTCCCCCAAAACCCCCAAAATTCCTGATTTTCCCCAAAACCCCCCAATTATTCCCCCAATTTTCCCCCCCAAAACCCCTAAAAATTCCCAATTCCCCCCAAAAAACCCCTCAAAAAATTCCCAATTCTCCCCAAAACCCCAAAATTTCTCAAGTCTCTCCCCAAATCCCTAAAAAATCCCAATTTGTCCCCCAAAAATGTTCTTCAAAATCCTCAAAAATTCTGAATTTTCTTCCAAAAACCCCTAAAAATTACGGATTTTCACACAAAACCTCCCGATTTTCCCCCCCAAAACCTGAAAATTCCTGGATCTACCCTCAAAAACCCCCAAAATTCCCAATTTTCTCCTCAAAAAACTTTTAAAAATTCCTAATTCCTCCCAAAAACCCCTAAAAATTCCCAATTCTCAAGAAAAACACCAAAATTTCTAGATTCTCCCCTCAAACCCCTAAAAAATCCCAATTTTTCCCCCAAAAATTTCTCAATGTCCCCCAAAAATTCCCAATTTCTCCCAAAAATTCCCAATTTTCCCCCAAAACCCCTAAACACTCCCAATTTTTCCCTGAAAACCCCTAACAAATCCCAACTTTTTCCTCAAAACCTCCCAATTCTCCCCCAAACCCCTCCAAAAACCCGAATTTTGCCCCGAAACCCCAAAATATTCCCAATTTTTTCCTGAAAACCCCTGACAACTCCCAATTTGTCCCCCAAAAATTCCCAATTTCCCCCCCAAAACCCGTAAATTCCTGGATCTACCCCCACAACCCCCAAAAATTCCCAATTCTCCCCCCAAACCTCTAAATACTCCAAATTTTTCCCTGAAGACCTCTAAAAATTCCCAATTTCCCCCCAAAACCCCAAAATATTCCCAATTTTCCCCCAAAACCCCCTAACAAACCCCAACTTTCCTCTCAAAACCTCCCAATTCTCCCCCCAAATCCCTAAAAAAATCCCAATTTGTCCCTGAAAATTCCCAATTTCCCCTGAAAATTCCCAATTTCCCTGCAAAACCCCTAAATACTCCAAATTTTTCCCCAAAAACCCCTAAAAAATCCCAATTTGTCCCCCAAAAAATACCAATTTGTCACCCAAAAATTCCCAATTTCCCTGCAAACCCCCAGATACTCCAAATTTTCCCCCCAAAACCCCTAAATATTCCAAATTTTTCCCCAAAAACCCGTAAGAAGTCCCGATTTTTTCCCCAAAACCCCTAACAAACCCCAACTTTTTCCTCAAAAATTCTCAATTTCCCTGCAAAACCCCTATATATTCCCAATTTTTCCCCAAAAACCCCTCAAAAATTCCAAATTTTCCTCCAAAACCCCCAAAATATTCCAAATTTTTCCCCGAAAACCCCTCACAAACCCCAATTTCCCCTCCAAACCTCCCAATTCTCCCCCCAAAACCCCTTAAAAAACCCGAATTTCGCCCCGAAACCCCAAAATATTCACAATTTCCCCCTGAAACCCCTAACAAATCCCAACTTTTTCCTCAAAAATTCCCAATTTCCCCCCCAAAACCCGTAAATTCCTGGATCTACCCCCAAAAACCCCAAAAATTTACAATTTTCTCCTCAAAAACTAAAAATTCCCAATTTTGTCCCAAAGGACCTCAAAACCCCCCAATTTTCCCCAAATTTCCTCAATTTACCCCCAAAACCCCCCAATTTCCCCCCAAAAACTGCCAAAATTTACAATTTTCTCCTCAAAAACTCTTAAAAAATTCCAAATTTTCTCCTTAAAAAACCCCCAAAAATTCCCAATTTTCCCCCAAAGGACCCCGAAACCCCCCAATTTTCCCCCAATTTCCTCAATTTACCCCCAAAACCCCCCAATTTCTCTCCAAAAACCACTAAAATCCCAATTTTCTCCACAAAAACCTCTAAAAAATTCCCAATTCCCCTCAAAAACCCCTCAAAAAATTCCCAATTTCCCCGTAAAGAACCCCAAAACCCCCCGATTTCTCCCCAAACCCCCAAAAATTCCCAATTCCCCCCCCAAACCCCTAAAACATCCCAAATTGTCCCCCATAAATTCCAAATTTTTCCCCCAAAACCCGAAAATTCCCAATTTTCTCCTCAAAAACATCTCAAAAATTTTCAATTTTCCCCAAAAACCCCTTAAAAAAAATCCCAATTTTTCCCCAAAAAACCCCAAAACCCCCCAATTTCTTCCCAAACCCCCAAAAATTCCCAATTTTTCCCCAAACGACCCCGAAACCCCCCAATTTTCCCCCAATTTCCTCCCAAAACCCCCCAATTTCTCCCCCAAAACCCCCAAAATTCCCAATTTTCTCTTCAAAAACTCCTAAAAAATTCCCAATTCTCCCCCAAAACCCCTAAATACTCCAATTTTTTCCTGAAAACCCCTAAAAATTCCCAATTCTCCCCCCAAACCCCTAAAAAAATCCCAATTGGTCCCCCAAGAATTCCCAATTTCCCTGCAAAACCCCAAAAATACTCCCAATTTTTCCTCAAAAACCCCTAACAAACCCCAATTTTCCCTCAAAACCTCCCAATTTTCCCCACAAACCCCCAAATTTCCCCCCTGTACCCCAAAACCCCGTTTTTCCCCGTTTTCCCCCAGGGAACATCATCGGCTCGGGGATCTTCGTGGCGCCGCGGGGGGTGCTGGCGCACGCCGGGGCCGTGGGGCCGGCGCTGCTGATCTGGGGCCTGTCGGGCGCCGTCACGGCGCTGGGGGCGCTCTGCTACGCCGAGCTGGGCGTGGCCCTGCCCCGCCCCGGCGGCGACTACGCCTACGTGGGCCACGCCTTCGGGCCCCTCGTCGGGTGAGACCCGCGATGGGTTCGGGAAAAAACGGGGAAATTTCCCCTCTTGGGGCCGTTTCCCACCATTTTTGTTGGTTTCCCGCCATTTTGTGTCAATTTCCCGCCAATTTTGGCACTTTTCCGCCATTTTGTGGCGCTTTTCCGCCATTTTGTGTCATTTTCCCACCATTTCCTGTCATTTTCCCGCCATTTTCCCGCCATTTTGTGTCAATTTTATGTCAGTTTTTCGACCATTTTGTGTCATTTTCCCACCATTTTCTGTCAGTTTCCCGCCATTTTGTGGCGCTTTCCCGCCATTTTGTGACCATTTTCCTTCCATTTTCCGCCATTTTGTGGCAGTTTTCCACCATTTTGCGTCTCTTTCCCGCCATTTTTTGTGTAAATTTTGTGTCACTTTCCCACCATTTTGTGTCACTTTCCCACCATTTTCCTGCCATTTTTTGTGGGTTTCCCGCCATTTTTTGTGGGTTTCCCGCCATTTTGTGTCACTTTTCTGCCATTTTGTGTCTCTTTCCTGCCATTTTTTGTGTCAATTTTCTGTCATTTTGCCACCATTTTGTGTCTCTTTCCAGCCATTTTGTGTCAGTTTCTCGCCATTTTTTGTCATTTTCCCGCCATTTTGTGTCACTTTCCCGCTATTCTGTGTTTATTTCCCCCATTTTGTGTGGCTCTGGGGCGTGTCGGGCGCCGTCACGGCGCTGGGGGCGCTCTGCTACGCCGAGCTGGGCGTGGCCCTGCCCCGCCCCGGCGGCGACTACGCCTACGTGGGCCACGCCTTCGGGCCCCTGGTTGGGTGAGACGCGACGGAATCACGGGAATTCGGGAAAAAATGGGAAAATTCCCTCTCTTGGGGCCGTTTCCTGACGATTTTTGGCGGTTTCCCGCCATTTTGTGTCAATCTCCCTCCATTTTATGTCAGTTTCCCGCCATTTTCCTTCAGTTTCCCGCCATTTTGTGTTGGTTTCCCTCTATTCTGTGTTGATTTTTCACCATTTTGTGTCTCTTTCCCTCCATTTTCTGTCATTTTTCTGCCATTTTGTGTCAATCTCCCGCCATTTTCTGTCACTTACCCGCCATTTTGTGGCAGTTTTCCGCCATTTTGTGTCAATTTTCTGTCATTTTCCCGCCATTTTCTGCTATTTCTCCCACCATTTTTTGTCATTTTCCCATCATTTCCTGTCAGTTTGCCACCATTTTGTGTTGGTTTCTCGCCATTTCCTGTCAGTTTTCCGCCATTTTGTGGCAGTTTCCACCATTTTGTGTCACTTTCCCGCCATTTTGTTACAATTTTCCGTCACTTTTCCACCATTTTGTTGCGGTTTCCCGCCATTTTCCTTCAGTTTCCCGCCATTTTCCTTCCGTTTCCCGCCATTTTGTGGCAGTTTTCTGCCATTTCCTGTCACTTTCCCACCATTTTGTGTCATTTTCCCGCCATTTTGTGTCACTTTCCCACCATTTTGTGTCACTTTTCCTCCATTTTGTGTCACTTTCCCACCATTTTGTGTCAATTTTCTGTCATTTTCCCGCCATTTTATGTCCGTTTGCCGCCATTTTGTGTCACCTTCCCACCATTTTCTGTCATTTTCCCACCATTTTGTGGCGCTTTCCCGCCATTTTCTGTCATTTTTCCACCATTTTGTGTCAATTTCCCGCCATTTTGTGTCACTTTCCCGCCACTTTGTGGCAGTTTTCCGCCGTTTTCCGTCTCTTTCCCGCCATTTTTTGTGTCAATTTTCTGTCATTTTCCCACCATTTTGTGTCATTTTCTCACCATTTTGTGTCACTTTTTCCACCATTTTGTGTCTCTTTCTCACCATTTTGTGTCACTTTCCCACCATTTTGTGGCAGTTTTCCCGCCATTTTGTGGCAATTTTCTGTCGTTTTCCCACCATTTTCTTACACTTTCCTGCCATTTTGTGTCGGTTTCCTGCCAATTTTGGCAGTTTCCCGCCATTTTCTGTCAATTTTGTCATTTTCCTGCCATTTTGTGTCAGTTTCCCACCATTTTGTGTCACTTTCCCACCATTTTGTGTCATTTTCCCGCCATTTTGTGTTGCTTTCCCGACATTCTGTGCTGATTTCCCCCATTTTGTGTGGCTCTGGGGCGTGTCCGGGGCCGTCACGGCGCTGGGGGCGCTCTGCTACGCCGAGCTGGGCGTGGCCCTGCCCCGCCCCGGCGGCGACTACGCCTACGTGGGGCACGCCTTCGGGCCCCTCGTTGGGTGAGACGCGTGATGGGTTCGGGAATTTGGGAAAAAATAGCGAAATTTCCCCTCATGGGGCCCTTTCCTGACGATTTTTGGCGGTTTCCCACCGATTTTGGCGGTTTCCCGCCAATTTTGGCGGTTTCCCGCCATTTTGTGTGGCTTTCCCGCCATTTCCTGTCATTTTCCCGCCATTTTGTGTCAATTTTGTGTCAGTTTTTCCACCATTTTGTGTCTCTTTCCCGCCATTTTGTATCAATTTCCTTCCATTTTGTGGCAGTTTCCCGCCATTTTGTGTCGCTTTTCTGCCATTTTGCTTCAATTTTCTGTCATTTTCCCACCATTTTGTGTCGCTTTTCCACCATTTTGTCTCAGTTTTCCACCATTTCCTTTTGGTTTCTGGCCATTTCCTGTCATTTTTCCGCCATTTCCTGTCGGTTTGCCGCCATTTTGTGTCAGTTTCCCGCCATTTTCCTTCAGTTTCCCGCCATTTTGTGTCTCTTTCCCACCATTTTGTGTCATTTTCCCGCAATTTTCTGTCACTTTCCCGCCATTTTCTGTCATTTTCCTGCCATTTTTTGTCATTTTCCCATCATTTCCTGTCAGTTTGCCACCATTTTGTGTCATTTTCCCACCATTTTGTGTCGCTTTCTCACCATTTTCTGTCATTTTCCCATTTTCTGTCTTTTTCCCGCCATTTTGTGGCATTTTCCCACCAGTTTTCCATCAGGCCAGAATTTTCGGGAATTTTCGGGAATTTTCGGGGCTTTTTTTGGGCTGGAATTTGATTTTTGGTGGGATTTTCTGGGAATTTTAGACCAAGAATGTTACAGAATTTTTTGGGGATTTTTAGGGAATTTTTAGGTTGGAATTTTATGGCATTTTTACCAGATTTTAGAGGATTTTTAGGGGATTTTTGGGCTGGAATTTTATGGGAATTTTAGGCCAGATTTTTAAGGGATTTTGGGAAGAATTTTCGGGATTTTTGGGATGGAATTTGATGAGAGTTTTGGGAGATTTTATGAGAATTTTAGGCCAGAATTTTATGGCATTTTTACCAGATTTTCAGAGATTTTAGGACTGGAATTTGATGAGATTTTTGGGGGATTTTCTGGGAATTTTAGACCAGATTTTTAAGGGATTTTGGGGGCATTTCTCAGGATTTTTGGGCTGGAATTTTAGGAGATTTTTGTGGGATTTTATGGGAATTTTAGAACAGATTTTTAAGGGATTTTAGATGATTTTTAGGAGATTTTTGGGCTGTAATTTTATGAGATTTTTTTGGGGGCATTTCAGGGAATTTTTATGTGGAATTTTATGGCAGTTTTTTACCAGATTTTAGCGTATTTTTGGGGATTTTCGGACTGGAATTTTATGAGATTTTGGGGGATTTTTGGGGGAATTTTAGCCCAGATTTTTAAGGGATTTTGTGGCGATTTTAGGGCTGAAATTTAATAAAATTTTTGGGGGCATTTCAGGGAATTTTTAGCCTAAAATTTTACCGATTTAAACGAATTTTGGTGCTGCGATTCGCGACATTTCCTCATCGCAACTCAACAAAAAATCTCAATTTTCGCCTCGTTTTTTTTCCTTTTCTCCCCGTTTTTTCGCCCCGTTTTTTTTCTAACCTCTCCCCTGATGGAATTTTCCCAAAATTGTGTTTTTTCCGCCCAGATTTTTGCGCCTGTGGATCTCGGTGCTGGTGATTTACCCGACCAACCAGGCGGTCATCGCGCTGACCTTCGCCAACTACGTCCTGCAGCCGCTCTTCCCCACCTGCGGCACCCCCGAGCCCGCCCTGCGCGTCCTGGCCGCCGCCTGCCTGCGTGAGTCCCCAAATTCCCGAAATTCCCAGCGTTCCCAAAAAAAATCTGGGGAAAAACGGTGAAAAAACGGCGAAAAACGGTGAAAAAACGGCGAAAAACGGCCAAAAAATGATGAAAAACAGCGGAAAAAACAGCTGGAAAATGACCAAAAATGACCAAAATTGGCCTCGAATTCACCCAGGGCTCACCTGAGTCCCTGAGGGAGCCCTGAATTCCCAAAGTTTTGGGAATTCTCAAAAAAAAATCCGGGGAAAAACGGTGAAAAAACGGCGAAAAACGGCCAAAAAATGACGAAAAACGGCGAAAAAAACCGGGGCAAAAATGAGCCAAAAGTGATCCCAAATCTGGTCCAAACTCACCTGGGGCTCACCTGAGTCCCTGCGTGAGTCCCAAAATTCCTGAAATTCTGAGCATTCCCAAAAAAAATCCGGGGAAAAACGGTGAAAAAACGGCGAAAAACGGTGAAAAAATGATGAAAAACGGCGAAAAAATGACGAAAAACGGCGAAAAAATGATGAAAAACGGCCAAAAAATGACCAAAAATGACCAAAATTGGCCTCGAATTCACCTGGGGCTCACCTGAGTCCCTGAGTGATCCCAAAATTACGGGAATTTTGGGAATTCCCAAGAAAATCCGGGAAAAAACGGTGAAAAAATGGCGAAAAACGGCCAAAAAACGTCGAAAAACAGCCAAAAAATGGCGAAAAACGGCGAAAAAAAACGGGGCAAAAATGAGCCAAAAGTGATCCCAAATCTGGTCCAGGCTCACCTGGGTCTCACCTGAGTCCCTGAGGGAGCCCAGAATTCCCAAAATTTTGGGAATTCCCCAAAAAAAATCCGGGAAAAAAAAGGACGAAAAAATGACGAAAAACAGCCAAAAAACGGCGAAAAAATGACGAAAAACAGTGGAAAAAATGGCTGGAAAATGACCAAAAATGACCAAAATTGGCCTCAAACTCACCCGGGGCTCACCTGAGTCCCTGAGTGAGCCCAGAATTCCCAAAATTTTGGGAATTCCCAAAAAAAATCTTGGAAAAATGGCGAAGAAATGGCGAAAAACGGCCAAAAAACGACGAAAAACGGTTGGAAAATGACCAAAAATGACCAAAATTGGCCTCAAATTCACCTGGGGCTCACCTGAGTCCCTGAGGGATCCCAGAATTCCCGGAATTTTGGGAATTCCCCAAAAAAATCTGGGAAAAAACGGCAAAAAACAGCCAAAAATTGACCAAAATTTCATTGTTCTCCCAAAATCCCGGTTTTTTTTCACCCAAAATGACCCAAAATCCCCATTTTTTCCCCCAAAATGACCCATTTTTTTACCTGTTCTCACCTGAGCATCTTTAACCCCATTTTTAACCCTTTAATCCCCCATTTTAACCCTTTAATCCCCATTTTTCCCCCTAAAATCCCCATTTTTTCACCGAAAACCCCCGTTTTTTCCCCTAAAATCCCAATTTTTCCCAGAAATGACCCAAAATCCCAATTTTTACCCCCAAAATGACCCAAGTTTTAACGTGTTCTCACCTGACCCCTTTAACCCCATTTTCAACCCTTTAATTCCCCATTTTACCCCCTAAAATCCCCGTTTTACCCCCTAAAATCCCCATTTTTTCACCGAAAATCCCCATTTTTTCCTAAAAACCCCATTTTTTCCACAAAATGACCCAAATTCCCCATTTTTTCCCCCAAAATCACCCAATTTTCTCCAGTTCTCACCTAGGACTCACCTGCACCCTTTTTAATCCCATTTTACCCCCTAAAATCCCCATTTTTCCCCTAAAACCCCCATTTTTACTAAAATCCCCATTTTTTTTCCCCAAAATGACCCAAAATCCTAATTTTTTACCCCAAAATCGCCCAATTTTCTCCAGTTGTCACCTGGGACTCACCTGGGCCCCTTTTAACCCCATTTTTAACCCTTTAATTCCCCATTTTAACCCTTTAATTCCCCATTTTACCCCCTAAAATCCCCATTTTACCCCCTAAAATCCCCATTTTTCCCCCGAAAATCCCGTTTTTTCCCCTCAACGACCCAAAATCACCATTTTTCTCCCCATTTTTTACCTATTCTCACCTCTTCTCCTTTTAACCCCATTTTAACCATTTAAATTCCCCATTTTACCCCCTAAAATCCCCATTTTTCACCAAAAATCCCCATTTTTTCCCCGAAAATCCCCATTTTTTCCCCAAATGACCCAAAATCGCCGTTTTTCACCTCATTTTTTACTTGTTCTCACCTGAGCGTCTTTAACCCCACTTTTTAACCCTTTAATTCCCCATTGTACCCCCTAAAATCCCCATTTTTCCCCCTAAAATCCCCACTTTTTCACCAAAAGTCCCCTTTTTTTCATAAAATACCAATTTTTCCTCAAAATGATCCAAAATCCCCATTTTTTCCCCTATTTTTTACCTGTTCTCACCCGGGCCCCTTTAACCCCATTTTTAACCCTTTAAATCCCCATTTTACCCCCTAAAATCCCCATTTTTTCCCAAAATCCCCACTTTTTCCACAAAATGACCCAAAATCCCCATTTTTTTCCCAAAATCCCCATTTTTTTCCCAAAATCCCCATTTTCCCCCCATTTTTTATCTGTTCTCACCTGACCCCTTTTAACCCCACTTTTAATCCTTTAATTCCCCATTTTACCCCCTAAAATCCCCATTTTTCCCCCCAAAATCCCCGTTTTTTCCCCGAAAATCCCATTTTTTCCCCGAAAATCCCGTTTTTTCCCCGCAATGACCCAAAATCCGCGTTTTTGGCCCCAACGCAGTGGTGCTGACGTGGGTGAACTGCGGCAGCGTGCGCTGGGCCACGCGTGTGCAGGACGTGTTCACGGCCGGGAAGCTCCTGGCGCTCGCGCTCATCGTCGGCGCCGGCGCCGCGCTCATCGCCCGCGGTCAGGAAACGGGGCCAAAAACGGGGATTTTGGGAAAATGGGGAATTGGGGGGGAAAACGGGGATTTTGGGAAAAATGGGAAATTGGGGGGGGAATTGGGGAAAAACGGGGGGAAATGGGGAAAAAATGGGGAAAAAATGGGGGAAAATGGGATTGGGGGTGGATTGGGGGGGAAATGAGGAAAAAATGGGGGAAAAGTGAGAAAAGATGGGGAGAAAGTGAGAAAAAATGAGAAAAAATGAGTGAAATGGGGGAAAATGAGAAAAATGGGGGAAAATGGGGGAAAACGGTGAAAAAATGGTGAAAAAGTGAAAAAAAAAGGGGGGGGAAATGAAAAAGACAGGAAAAATGGGAAAATGGGAAAATGGGGAAAAAATTGGGGAAAATGGGTGAAAAATGTCGGAAAATGGAGGAAAAGTGAGAAAAAATGGGGGGAAATTGAGAAAATGGGGGAAAAATGGGGGAAAATGGGTGAAAAATGGGGGAAAAGGGTAAAAAAATCGTGAAAAAGTGAGAAAAATGGGGGAAAATGGGGAAAATTTGGGATAAATGGGGAAAAGCAAGGAAAAATGGGGGGAAATTGGGAAAAAGTGAGAAAAAATGGGGAAAACTGTGAGAAAAAGGAGGAAAATGCTGAAAATGGAGAAAAAATCGGGAAAAAGTAAGAAAAAATGGAGGAAATATGGCACTATGGGGAATGGTGAAAAAATGGGAAAAACAGTGAAAAAATGGGGGAAATCAGTGAAAAAATGGGAGAAAAGTGAGAAAAATGGGACAAATATGGAACAATGGCGAAATGGTGGAATGAAAGGGGGAAAACGGTGAAAAAATGGGGGGAAATGGTGAAAAAATGGGGAAAATGGTGAAAAAGTGAGAAAAAGTGGAGGAAAAATTGAGGAAAAATGGGGGAAATGGGTGAAAAATGGGTGAAAATGGGGGGAAATGGGGGAAAATGGGGAAAAAGTGAGAAAAATGGGGGGAAATGAGAAAAAATGGGTGAAAATGGAGGAAAAGGGGGAAAAATGGGGGAATGGGGAAAAAATGGGGGGAAAATGGGGAAAAAATGGGGAAAAAGTGAGAAAAAATGGGGGGAAAATGGGGAAATGGAGAAAATTTGGGGAAAAAATGGGGGAAAATCAGGAAAAATGAGGAAAGATCAGGAAAAATGGGGAAAATTGGGGGAAATTGGGGAAATATGGGGAAAAATGGAGAAAATTTGGGGAAAAAATGGGGGAAATTGGGAAAAATGGGGGAAAATCAGGAAAAATGGGGAAAGATCAGGAAAAATGGAGAAAAATCAGGAAAAATGGGGAAAATGGGGGATAATTGGGGGGAAATTGGGGAAAAATGGGGGAAAATTGAGAAAATTTGGGGAAAAATGGTGGAAATTGGGAAAAATGGGGGAAATTTGGGGGAAATATGGGGAAAATGGGGGAAAAAGGGGAAAATTTGGTAAAAATCGGGGGAAAATGGGAAAGAATTGGGGAAATTTGGGGGAAAATGGGGAAAATTTGGTAAAAATTGGGGGAAAATGGGGAAAATGGGAAAAAATTGGGTAAAAATGGGGGGAAAATGGGAAAAATGGGGAAAATTTGGGGAAAAAATGGGGGAAATGGGGGAAATTGAGGGAAAATTGGGAAAAAGTGAAAAAGAGGAAAGATTGGAGGAAAGTGGGGAAAAAAATGGGGGAAAATAAGTCAAAAATGAGGAAAATTACGGGAAAATGGGGTAAAATGTGAGATTTTCAGAAAATGGGGAAAAATAGGGAAAAATCTGGGATTTTGGGAAAAAAGTGGGAAAATTTGGTAAGAAATGAGAAAAAAAGGGAAAAAATTGATTTAAAAAGTGAAAAAAATCCGTAAAAAATCCATAAAAAATACAATTTTTTCCGGATTTTCGCCAAATTTTTGCCGATTTTTGTCAAATTTTCGCCGATTTCCCCCGAATTTCTCCCCAAATTTGTTCCTGTCTCACCTGTTCAGGTGAGCACGAGTGGCTGCGCCCCTCGCGGGCGTTCCCGGCGGGGCCGGGGCCGGGGGCGGGGCCGCTGTTCCTGGCCTGGAAATGGGGAAAAATGGGGAAAAATCGGGAAAAATGGGGGAAAATGGGGGGGGAAATTGGGAGAAATTTGGGAAAAATGGAGAAAAATGGAGAAAATTTGGGGAAAAAATGGGGGAAATTGGGAAATATGGGGAAAGATCAGGAAAAATGGGGAAAGATCAGGAAAAATGGGGAAAATGGGGGAAAATTGGGGGGAAATTGGGAAAAAATGGGGGAAAATGGAGAAAATTTGGGGAAAAATGGGGGAAATCGGGAAAAGTGGGGAAAAAAAGGTGGAAATGGGGGAAAATGGGGAAATTTTTGTAGAAATCGGGGGAAAATGGGGAAAATGGGAAAGAATTGGGGAGAAGAGACGGAAAATGGGAAAAATTGAGGAAAATTGGGGGAAATGTTGGGAAAATTGAAAAAAATGGTAAAAATGGGAAAAATTGTGGGAAAAAATGGGAAAATTGGGGGAAAATGGGGAAAAATGGGGAAAATTGTGGGAAAAATTGAGAAAAAATGGGAAAAATTGTGGGAAAAACGCAAAAAATGGGAAAAAATGGGGAAAAATGGGGAAAAGTGGGGGAAAATGGGAAAAAGTGGGGAAAATTGGTGGAAAATCTGAGAATTTGATAAAAAATGGGAAAAAAAGTCAAAAATTTGGTAAAAAATGTGAGAAAAATGGCAAAAAATTGATTAAAAATCCGTAAAAAATGCGTAAAAAATGCAATTTTTTCCGGATTTTCGCCAAATTTTTGCCGATTTTCCCCAAATTTTTTCCTGATTTCTCCCAAATTTTTTGGGGTCGCACCTGTTCAGGTGAGCACGAGTGGCTCCGCCCCTCTCGGGCGTTCCCGGCGGGGCCGGGGCCGGGGGCGGGGCCGCTGTTCCTGGCCTGGAAATGGGGAAAAATGGGGAAAAATCGGGAAAAGTCGGGGAAAAATGGGGCAAATTGGGAAAAATGGGGAAAATTTGGGGAAAATATGGGGAAATGGGGGAAAATGGGGAAAATTTGGAGGAAAAATGGGGGAAATTGGGGAAAATTGGAAAGAATTGGGGAAAAATAGGGGAAAAATAGAGAAAATTTGGGGAAAAATGCAGGAAATTGGGAAAAATGGGGAAAATTTGGGGGAAAAATGGGGAAAATGGGGAAATTTTGGTAAAAATGGGGGGAAAATTGGGGAAAATGGGAAAGAATTGGGGAAAAAATGGAGGAAATTGGGAAAAATGGGGAAAAGAGAGGGAAAATGGGAAAAAATGAGGAAAATTTGGGGAAAGTGTCCGAAAAATTCGGAAAAATGGGGAAAATGTGAAAAATAGGAAAAATTGAAGGAACGTGGGGAAAAATTGGGGAAAAAGGCAAAAAATTGATTTAAAAAGTGAAAAAAATCCGTAAAAAATCCGTAAAAAATGCAATTTTTTCCGGATTTTTGTCAAATTTTCACCGATTTTCGCCAAATTTTCACCGATTTTCCCCAAATTTGTTCCTGTCTCACCTGTTCAGGTGAGCACGAGTGGCTGCGGCCCTCGCGGGCGTTCCCGGCGGGGCCGGGGCCGGGGGCGGGGCCGCTGTTCCTGGCCTGGGAATGGGGAAAAATGGGGAAAATCGGGAAAAATGGGGAAAGATCAGGAAAAATGGGGAAAATGGGGGAAAATTGGGGAAAAATTGGGAAAAATGGAGAAAATTTGGGGAAAAATGGGGGAAATTGGGAAAAATGGGGGAAATTGGGAAAAATGGGAAAGAATTGGGTAAAAATGGGGGGAAAATGGGAAAAATGGGGAAAATTTGGGGAAAGAATGGGGGAAATGGGAAAAATTGTGGGAAAAAATGGGAAAAAGTGGGGGAAAATGGGGAAAATGGGAAAAAATGAGGAAAATTGGGGGAAATGTTGGGAAAATTGGGAAAAATGGAGAAAATTTGGGGGAAAAATGGAGGAAATTGGGAAAGAATTGGGGAAAAGAGAGGGAAAATGGGAAAAAGTGGGGGGAAAGTGGGAAAATTGGGAAAATTGAGAAAAACTGGGAAAAATGGGAAAAATTGTGGGGGAAAATTGTGGGAAAATGGGGAAAAATGGGAAAAATTTGGAAAATTGGGAAAATTTGGGGGAAATGTTGGGAAAATTGGGAAAAATTGAGAAAAAATGGGAAAAATTGTAGGAAAAAATTCAAAAAATGGGAAAAATTGGGGGAAAAATGGGGAAAAAAATTGGAAAAATGGGGAAAATTGGGGAAGAATGGGATAAAATGGGAAAAATGGGAAAAATTTTGGGAAAAAATAAAAAAAAAGGGAAAAAAATCGGGTAAAATGGGAAAAAGTGGGGAAAATGGGTAAAACTGGGAAAAAATGGGGGAAACGTGAAAAACTGGGGTGAAATGGGAAAATGGATAAAAAATGGATGAAAAATGTGGGAAAATGGGAGAAAAATTGATAAAAAATGCGAAAAAATCGGAAAAAAATCTGTAAAAAATCTGAATTTTCGCCGATTTTCGTCGGATTTTTTGCCGATTTTTTCCAAATTTTTGCCAAATTTTTTCTGATTTCTCCCAAATTTTTTCCTGTCTCACCTGTTCAGGTGAGCACGAGTGGCTGCGGCCCTCGCGGGCGTTCCCGGCGGGGCCGGGGCCGGGGGCGGGGCCGCTGTTCCTGGCCTGTCTCCAGGGATCCTTCGCCTACGGTGGCTGGAACTTCCTCAACTACGTCACCGAGGAGCTGCGGCAGCCACGCAGGTGCGGGGAAAATGGGGAAATTTGGGAAAAACAATGAAAAAATGGGGGGGATTGGGGAAAGAATGGGGGAAATTGGAGGGAAACAGTGAAAAAATGGGGAAAAACGGTGAAAAAATGGAGAAAAACGGTGAAAAAATGAGGGAAAATGAGGAAAAAATGGGAGTAAAATGGGGGGAAATGGGGGAAATCGGGGAAATGAGGGAGAATGGGGGAAAATGGAGAAAAAATGGGAGTAAAATGGGGCAAAAAAGGGGGGAAAACGGGGAAAAAATGGGGGGAAAATGGGGGGAAAATAGGGGAAAACGGGGAAAAAATGGGAGTAAAATGGGGGAAATGGGGAAAAACGGTCGAAAAATGGGGAAAAACGGGGAAAAAATGGAGAAAAACGGTGAAAAAAATGAGGAAAAACGGTGAAAAAAGGGGGGAAAATGAGGAAAAAATGGGAGTAAAATGGGGGGAAACGGGGAAAATTGGGGAAAATGGGGGAAAATGGGGAAAAATGGGGGGAAATGGGGAAAAAATGGAGGAAAACAGTGAAAAAATGAGGAGAAACGGTGGAAAAATGAGGAAAAATGGTGAAAAAATGGGGGAAATGGGGGAAAAATGGAGAAAAATGGTGGAAAAATGGGGGAAAATGGGGGAAAATGGGGAAAAATGGGGAAAAATGGGGAAAAATTTGGGGGAAAAATGGGGGGAAATGGGAGTAAAAAGGGGGGAAAATGGGGAAAAACGGGGGAAAACAGAGAAAAAATCGAGAAAAAGTGAGAAAAAATGGGGAAAATATGAGGAAAAATGGGGGAAATGGGAGAAATAGGGAAAAATCGGGGGAAAATTGGGGGGAAATGGGGGAAATTGGGGAAAAATGGGGGGAAAATGGAGGAAAACGCTGAAAAATGGGGAAAACGGTGGAAAAATGGGGGAAAGCGGTGAAAAATGGGGGGAAACGGGGAAAAACAGGGAAAAAATGGGGGGGAAATGGGGGGAAATGGGGGAAATGAGGGAGAATGGGGGAAATGGGGAAAAATAGGGAAAAAATGGGGGAAAATGGGGGAAAACAGGGAAAAAATGGGAGAAGTGGGAAAGAAATGGGGAAAAATGGGGGCAAAATAGGGGAAAATGGGGAAATCGGGGAAAAATGGGGGAGAAATGGGGAAAATGGGGGGAAATGGGGAAAAATGGAGAAAAATGGGGAAATGGGGGGGAAATTGGGGGAAAAATGGGGGAAAATTGGGAAAATGGGTAAAAATGGGGAAAAAATGGGGGGGAAATGGAGAAATTTGGGAATAATGGTGAAAAAATGGGGGAAATGGGGGAAATTGGGGGAAATGGGGAAAAAACGGGGGAAAATGGTGGAAAAATGAGGAAAAATGGGGAAAAAATGGGGAAAATGGTGAAAAACTGGGGAAAAACGGTGAAAAAATGGAGAAAAATGGTGGGAAAATGGGGGGAAACAGGGGAAATAGAGGGAAAAGAATGGGGAAAATGGGGAAATTGGGGAAAAATGGGGAAAATGGGGGAGAAATGGGAAAAGGGGGAAAATGGGGGGAAATGGGGAAAAAATGGGGGAAAAACGGGGGAAAACGGTGAAAAAATGGAGAAAAACGGTGGAGAAATAAGGAAAAACGGGGGAAAAATGGAGAAAAACGGTGAAAAATTGGGGGAAAAAAAAGAAAATGGGGAAAAATGGGGGAATGGAGAAAAATGGGGGAAAATGGGAGAGAAATGGGGGAAAATGGGGGGAAAAACAGGGAAAACTGGGGAAAAAATGGGGAAAATAGGGAAAAATTGGGGAAAATGGGGAAAAAACAGGGAAAATGGGGGGAAATGGGGAAAATGGGGGAAAGATGGGGGAAGAATGGGGGAAATTGGGGGAAATAGGGAAAAAATGGGGAAAAATGGGGGGAAAATGGAGAAAAATGGTGGAAAAATGGGGGGAAACGGGGAAAATGGGGGAAAATAGGACAAAAATGGGGGGAAATGGGGGAAAAAATGGGGGAAAATGGGGAAATAATTGGGGAAAATTGGGGGAAATGGGGGAAAATGGGGGAAAAATGGGGTGAAATGAGGGAAATGGGGGGGAAATGAGGGAAATGGGGAAAAAAATGGGGGAAATGGGGAAAAATGGGGGAATGGGGGAAAACGTGGAAAATGGGGAAAAACGGGAAAAATGGGAGAAAAATGGGAGAAAATGGTAGAAAATGGGGAAAAAATGGGGGAAATGGAGGAAAAATGAAGGAATGAGAAAAAATGGGTAAATGGGAATTTTGGGGTGAAAAATGGGGATCTTAGGGGGAAAATGGGAATTTTTGGGAGGAAAATGGGGATTTTTGGGTGAAAAATGAGGGAATTTTGGGGGAAAAAAATGGGGATTTTGTCTCACCTGTCCCACCTGAGGAGGTTTCGGGGTGGTTTTTCGGGGTTTTTTTGTGTTTTTGTCCCACCTGAACCAGTTTTGGAGATTTTTTGGAGTAGATTTTGGGCTGAATTCTGTCATTTTTGGGTTTTTCGGGCAGGAACCTCCCCCTGGCCATCGGCATCTCCATCCCCCTCGTCACCTTCCTGTACGTGGCGGCCAACGTGGCGTACCTGGCGGCGCTGAGCCCCCGCGAGATCCTGCAGAGCCCCGCCGTGGCCGTGGTGGGCAAAATGGGGCAAAAAGGGGTGAAAATGGGAAAAAAGGAAAAAAAAATGGGAAAAACAAAAAAAAAATGGTGAAAATCGGACGAAAAATGGGGATTTTAGAGGGGAAAATGGGGATTTTGGGGGGGAAAATGGGGATTTTAGAGGGGAAAATGGGGGAAATTTGGGTGGAAAATGGGGAAAAATGGAGAAAAAAAGGTGAAAATGGGGTGAAAAATGGGGAAAAAAAAAATGGTAAAAATTGGGTGAGAAATGGGGAAAAAAAATGGGGGAAATCGGGTGAAAAATGTGGATTTTAGAGGTTTCGGAAAATGGGGATTTTGGGGGTAAAAATTTGGGTGGAAAATGGGGAAAAATGGGAAAACAAATAAAAGGTGAAAATGGGGTAAAAAATGGGGGGAAAGGGGGAAAATGTGGAAAAGCAAAAAAAAATTGGGTAAATTTGGGGGGAAAATGGGGAAAAATGGGGAAAATCGGGTGAAAAATGGGGAAAATAGGGAAATTGGGTGAAAAATGGGGAAAAACAAAAAAAATGGTGAAAAATGGGGATTTTGGGAAGGGAAAATGGGGATTTTGGGGGAAAAATATGGAATTTTTTGGGGAAAAATGCGGGAAATTTGGGAAAAATTCGGGGGAAATTTCTGAAATCGGGAAAAATCCAAAAAAATGGAAAAAAATGAAGGAAAAACGGGAAAATTTGGGTAAAAAATGCGGATTTTGGGGGGGGGATGTGGAATTTTTGGGGAAAAATTGGGAATTTGAGGGGAAAATTGGGAAATTTTGGATTTTTAGTGGAATTTTTTTTGAATTTTGTTTTTTTTTCCCGCAGACGTTTGGGGAGAGGGTTTTGGGTCCCCTGGCCTGGGTGATGCCTCTGGCCGTGGCTCTCTCCACCTTCGGCGGCGTCAACGGCTCCCTCTTCACCTGCTCCAGGTCAGGAATTCCCAAAATTCCCAAAAATTCCCAAAATCCCAAAAATTCCGGGAATTTCCCCCAATTTTTCCTGATTTTTTCCCGATTTCCCCCCATTTTTTGGTCATTTTTCCATGAAATTTCTCCATTTTTACCCCAAATTTCCCCTTCCTGACCCCCTCTTCACCTGCTCCAGGTGAGGAATTCCCAAAATTCCCAAAAATTCCCAAAATTCCCCAAATTCCGGGAATTTCCCCCAATTTTCCCTGAAATTTTCCTGATTTTTTCCCAATTTTTTCCTGGTTTTTTTTTTATTTTTTCATCCTTTTTTTTTTACCATTCTTACCCCAAAATTCTCCATTTTTACCCCTCTTCCCCTTCTCCAGATGAGAAAAATTCCCAAAAATTTCCAAAATCCCAAAAATTCCCGAAATTTCTCCCAATTTTTCCTGATTTTTTCCCGATTTTTCCCCATTTTTTGGTCATTTTTCCATCAAATTTCTCCATTTTTACCCCAAATTTCCCCTTCCCGACCCCCTCTTCACCTGCTCCAGGTGAGGAATTCCCAAAATTCCCCAAATTCCAGAAAAATCCCTAAAATTCCAGGAATTTTCCCCAATTTTTAATGAAATGTTCCTGATTTGTCTCGATTTTCCCCCATTTTTTTGTCATTTAGCCATCAAATTTCTCCATTTTTACCCCAAAGTTCCCCTTCTCGGCTCCCTCTTCACCTGCTCCAGGTCAGGAATTCCCAAAATTCCCAAAAATTCCCAAAATCCCAAAAATTCTGGGATTTTTCCCCAATTTTTCCTGATTTTTTCCCAGTTTTTCCCCATTTTTTGGTCATTTTTCCGTCAAATTTCTCCATTTTTACCCCAAATTTCCCCCTCCCAACTCCCTCTTCACCTGCTCCAGGTCAGGAATTCCCAAAATTCCCAAAAATTCCCAAAATCCCAAAAATTCTGGGATTTTTCCCCAATTTTTCCTGATTTTTTCCCAGTTTTTCCCCATTTTTTGGTCATTTTTCCATCAAATTTCTCCATTTTTACCCCAAATTTCCCCTTCTTGACCCCCTCTTCATCTGCTCCAGGTGAGGAATTCCCAAAATTCCCAAAAATTCCCAAAATCCCCAAAATTCCTGAAATTTCCCCCAATTTTTCCTGATTTTCCCCCCCTTTTTCTCCATTTTTCATCATTTTAAATCAAATTTCTATATTTTTCCCCAAATTTCCCCCTCCCGTCCCCCTCTCCCCCTGCTTCAGGTGAGGAATTCCCAAAATTCCCCAAATTCCAGAAAAATCCCTAAAATTCCAGGAATTTTCCCCAATTTCTAATGAAATTTTCCTGATTTTTCCCCATTTTTTTGTCATTTTTCCATCAAATTTCTCCATTTTCATCCCAAATCTCCCCAAAATTCCCCAATTTTCACTCTAAATATCCCCAAAATTTTCATTTCCTACCCAAAATTCCCCATTTCCCCCCAAATTTCCCCAAATTTCCCTTATTTTCCTTCCCAGAATTCCCAATTTTCCCCAAATCTCCCAAAAATTCCCCAAATCCCCCCAAAATTCCCCATTTTTATTCCCATATTTCCCCAAAATCAAAAAAAAAATCCCATTTTTCCCCAAAATCCCCCAAATTTCTCTTTTTTCCCCCAAAATCAGAAAACATTCTGATTTTTCCTTCAAAATCCCCAAAATTTACAATTTTCTCCCAAAATTCTCATTTTTTCGGCCAAAATCCCCCAAAATTCCAGTTTTTCCCCCTCAAAATCCTCAACATTTCTCATTTTCCTCCGAAATCCCCCAAAATTTACATTTTTCTCCTGAAAATCCCCCAAATTTCCTATTTTTCCCCCCAAATCCCCCCAAATTTACAGTTTTCTCCCCACAATCCCCCAAATTCCCCATTTTTTCCCCAAAATTCACAATTTTCCCCTGATTTTTTCAATTCTTCCCCAAAATCCCAATTTTTTCCTTTTTCAGAACCCCCAAAAATTTCTGATTTTCCTCCAAAATCCCCATTTCCTCCAAAACTACCCAAAATTTCCATTTTTTTCCCAAAACTTTCCCTTTTTCCCTCAAAATCCCCATTTTTCCCCACAAAATTCCCATTTTTTCCCCAAAAATCCCCATTTTCCGCTTCCCAAACCCCCCAAATTTCCCATTTTTTCCCCAAAATTCCCCTTTTCCCCCTAAAATCTCCATTTTCCCCCCAAACCCCCCGATTCCCTCCATTTTTTCCCGTTTCCCCTCATTTTCCCCTCATTTCCACCCCCGTTCCGATGACATCACATCCCCACCGATGACATCACTGCCCTGCTGATGACGTCACTGCGCTGTTCCGATGACATCACCATCCCGGTCCGATGACGTCACGCCCCCGCCTGCAATGACGTCACCGCCATTTTGTGATGACGTCGCGGTCCCGTCCCCGATGACGTTGCTGCCCCATTGCGATGACGTCACTGGCGTGTTCCAATGACGTCACCCCCACGTTCCGATGACATCACCTCCCCACCGATGATATCACTGCCCGTTCCGATGACGTCACCGCCCCGTTCCCGATGACGTCACGGCCCCGATTGCGATGACGTCACTGCCCCGCCGATGACGTCACCGTCCTGCCCCAATGACATCATGGCGCCGTCCTGATGATGTCACCGCCCGTTCCGATGACATCACTGCCCCGCCTGCAATGACATCACCACCCCGCCCTGATGACATCACCGCCCCGTCCCCGATGACGTCACCGCCCCATCGCGATGACATCACCGCCCCGTCGCAATGACGTCACCGCCCCGTTCCAATGACGCCACCACTCCGTTGCGATGACGTCATGGCCCCGTTATGATGACATCACCGCCCCATGGGATGACATCACCACCCTGTTCCGATGACGTCACCGCCCCATCTCAATGACGTCACCGCCCCCGTTCCAATGACGTCACCACCCCCGTTCTGATGACATCACCGCTCCCTTCTGACGACGTCACCACCCCGTTCCGATGACGTCATGGTGCCACCCCGATGACGTCATGGTGACGTCACTGATGACATCACTGCCCCGCCCCCCCGTCGATGACGTCACGGTGACGTCACTGATGACGTCACGGCCCCGCCCCGTGGCGATGACATCTCGGTGACGTCACTGATGACGTCACGGCCCCGCCCCGTGTCGATGACGTCACGGTGACGTCCCCAGGCTGTTCTACGCCGGCGCCAGGGAGGGGCAGCTGCCGGCGCTGCTGGCCATGATCCACGTGCGGCGCCACACGCCCGTCCCCGCCCTGCTCCTCACCGTGAGACGGGGGGAAATGGGGCTAAAAACAGGGATTTTGGGAAAAAATATAAAAATGGGGAAAAACAAAAAAAAAATGGGGAAAATCGGGCGAAAATCGGGCGAAAAACGGGTTAAAAATGGGCAAAGGATGAGTCAGGGAAGGGTTAAAAGTGGGTGAGGAAAGGGTTAAATGGGTAAAAAAATTGGTTAAAAACGGGTAAAAACGGCAAAAAAAGGGTTCAAGTTGGGTTAAAAATGGGTCAGGAAAGGGTTAAAAATTGGGTGAGGAAAGGGTTAAAAATAGGTTGAGGAAAGGGTTAAAAATGGGTAAAAATTGGTTTAAAAATGGGTAAAAAAAAGGTTAAAGTTGGGTTAAAAATTGGTTAGAACCAGGTCAGGAAAGGGTTAAAAATCAGGTAAAAATTGGGTTAAAAACCAACAAATTTGGGAATTTTGGGGATAAATTTGGGGATAAATTTGGGAAATTTGGGGATAAATCTGGGAATAAATTTTGGGACAAATTTTGGGTTAAGTTTGGGAAATTTGGAGACCAAATCAGGAAATTTGGGGACAAATTTGGGAATAAATTTAGGGATAAATTTGGGGTTGAGTTTGGGAAATTTGGGGATAAAATTGGGAAATTTGGGGATAAATTTGAGAAATTTGGGGATAAAATCAGGAAATTCGGGAATAAATTCAGGGATAAACGGGAGTTTTGGGGCAAAATTTGGGAATAAATTTAGGGATAAATTTGACGTTAAGTTTGGGAAATTTGGGGATAAAATTGGGAAATTGGGATAAATTTGGGGATAAATCAGGGAATATATCTGGGAATAAATTTTGGCATAAATTTGGGAATAAATTGGGAAAACTTGGGGATAAATTTGGGAAATTTGGGGATAAATCTGGGAATAAATTTAGGGATAAATTTGGGGTTAAGTTTGGGAAATTTGGGGATAAATTTGGGGACAAATCTGGGGATAAATTTGGGGACAAAACCGGGAAATTTGGGGATAAATTTGGGGATAAATTTGGGGATAAATTTAGGAATAATGGCCTGAGCCCCTCCCCCCCCCTTTAGTGCGTGTCGACGCTGCTGATGCTGGTGACGGGCGACATCGACACGCTGATTAATTACGTGGGGTTCGTTAATTACCTGTGGTACGGCGTCACCGTGGCCGGGCTGCTGCTGCTGCGCCGCCGGGAGCCGCGGCTGCCCCGCCCCATCAAGGTCAGACACGCCCCCTTCCGGCCAAAACCACGCCCACTTCTGCCCCAAACCACGCCCATTTCTGTCCTAAACCACGCCCACTTTGGTGTGGCGCTGCCGCCCCTTTAAGGGTTAAGCCACGCCCACTTATGGGCTGAAACCCCACCCCTTTAAGGGTTAAACCACGCCCACTTATGGGCTGAAACCCCGCCCCTTTAAGGGTTAAACCACGCCCACTTATGGGCTGAACCGCCGCCCCTTTAAGGGTTAAACCACGCCCACTTATGGGCTGAAACCACGCCTCTTTAAGGGTTAAGCCACGCCCACTTTTATGCAGATTTAAAATTATTTTCCCGCACTAAGCCCCGCCCCCTGCGGGATTCCCACACTCTCCATTCATAAAAAATGTTACTATGAATGTCCCCAGAGAATTCCCACGGTCCCCATTCATAAAAACGATTACAATCAGTGTCTCCAGTGGGTTCCCACGCTCTCCATTCATAAAAATGTTACTATGATCACCCCCAGAGAATTCCCACGCCATCCATTCATAAAAACCATTACTACGATTGCCCCCAGCAGGTTCCCATGCTCCCCATTCATAAAAAACGTTACTACGATCACCCCCAGAGAATTCCCACACCTTCCATTCATAAAAATCATAACTAGGATCGCCGCTAGAGAATTCCCACGCTCCCCATTCATAAAAAAACATTACTACAATTGCCCCCAGTGGGTTCCCACACTTCCCATTCATAAATATCATCACTATGAGTGCCCCCAGAGAATTCCCACGCTCTCCATTCACAAAAAAACGTTACTATCAACACCCCCAGAGAATTCCCACACTTCCCATTCATAAAAAACTGTTACTATCAACACCCCCAGAGAATTCCCACGCTCCTCATTCATTAAAAACCGTTACTATCATACTATCATCGCCCCCAGTGGGTTCCCATGCTCCCCATTCATAAAAAACTGTTACAATGAATGTCCCCAGAGAATTCCCACATGGTCCATTCATAAAAAACCTGTTACTATCAATGTCCTCAAGGAATTCCCATGCTCCCCATTCATAAAAAAGGTGTAACTACTATCGCCCCTAGGGAATTCCCACGCTGTCCATTCATAAAAAAGCATTACTACGAGTGCCCCAATGGGTTCCCACACCTTCCATTCATAAAAAAAATATTACTATCAATGTCCCTAGAGAATTCCCATGCTCCCCATTCATAAAATCCATAACTAGGATTGCCCCCAGTGCATTGTCACGCTCCCCATTCATAAAAATCATCACTATGAGCACCCCCTATAGAATTCCAACGCTCCCCATTCATAAAAAAAATATTACTATCAATGTCCCTAAGAGAATTCCCACGCTCCCCATTCATAAAAACCGTTACTATCATTGCCCTCAAAGAATTCCTACACTCCTCATTCATAAAAAACGTTACTACGATCGCCCCCTATAGAATTCCCACGCTCCCCATTCATAAAAATCTGTTACTACAATCGCCCCCCGAGAATTCCCACGCTCCCCATTCATAAAAAACCATTACTATCACTGCCCCCAGTGGGTTCCCACGCTCCCCATTCATAAAAAAATATTACTATCAATGTCCCCAGAGAATTCCCATGCTTTCCATTCATAAAAACCGTTACTATCATCACCCCCCGAGCATTCCCGTGCCCCCCATTGACCAAATCCCCCCTCGGGGCCGCCCCTCCCCCCGCAGGTGCCGCTGCTGTGCCCCGCCCTGTACCTGCTGTTTTGGGGGGCTCTGCTGCTGTTCTCGCTGTGGACGGAGCCGTTGGTCTGCGGCATCGGTTTGGCCGTCACCGCCACCGGGGCTCCCGTTTACCTGCTCTGCCTGCGGGGGGGACCCCGGCCCCCCGCCCTGCGCCGCGCCCTGGGTGAGATTGGGGGGTTTTGGGGGGGTTTGGAGGGGATTTATGCAGATTTGGGGGAGTTTGGAGGGGATTAGGGGGGATTTATGGGGTTTGGGGGGGTTTGGAGGGGGATTGGTGGAGTTTATGGGGGTTTGAAGGCGATTTATGGGGGATGGAAGGGGATTTATGGGGATTTGGGGGGGTTTTGGGGGGGTTTGGGGGAATTTGGGGGTTTGGAGGGGATTTGGGGGGGATTTGTGCGGGTTTGAAGGGGATTTGAGGGGGTTTATGGGGATTTGTGGAGTTTGGAGAGGATTTGGGGGGGATTGGGGGGGTTTGGGGGGGATTTATGGGGGTTTGGGGGTGATTGATGGGGATTTGGGGGGATTTGGTGGAGTTTATGGGGGTTTGAAGGGGATTTATGGGGGATTGAAGGGGATTTATGGGGATTTGAGGGGGATTTAAGGGGGTTTGGGGGGATTTTTGGGGGATTTATGGGTGTTTGAAGGGGATTTATGGGGTTTGGGGGGGTTTGAGGGGGTTTAAAGGGGATTTGGGGGGATTTGAGGTGGATTTATGGGGTTTGGGGGAGTTTGAGGGGGATTTATGGGGGTTTGGGGGGATTTATGGGGGTTTGTGGGGCTTTGAGGGGAATTTGGGGGATTTTATGGGGTTTTATGGGGATTTATAGAGATTTGAGAGCAGTTTGGGGGGATTGCAGGAGATTTGGGGAGTTTTTATGGGAGTTTGGGGGGATTGATGGGGTTTGAGGGTATTTGAGGGGGATTTGGGGGGGATTTATGGGGGATTGGGGAGGTTTGAGGGGATTTATGGGGGTTTGTGGGGGTTAGGGGGGGTTTGTGGGGGTTTATGGGGGTTTAGGGGGGATTTGGGGTGGTTTGAAGGAGTTTTGGGGGGCTTTGAGGGGGATTTATGGAGATTTGGGGGGATTTGGGGCGATTTGGAAGGGATTTTAGGGAAATTTGGGGTGGTTTGAAGGCTTTTATGGGATTTTGGGGAAATTTGGGGGATTTGGGGAGATTTTCGGGGAATTTGGGGAGGTTTGTGGGTATTTGATGGGAAATTTGTGGGGCTTTGATGGAGATTTGTGGAGGTTTGGGGCAAATTTTGGGAATTTTCGGCAGATTTGGGACCATTTTACAGGATTTGGGATTTGATGAATTTTGTGGGTGTTAAAGCGAATTTTGGGACAAATTTGGGCAGAATTCGACACAAATTTCCACATTTCTGACGGAATTTTTTTGGAATTCCCCAAAATTCCCCATTTTTGCTGTTTGTGCGACTGAATTTCCCCCTAAAAAATTTAATTTTTGGGTATTTTCCCCATTTTCCAGCCCGTCTGACGCTGTTCGGGCAGCGCCTCCTGCTGGTGGTGTACCCGGGGGGGGGAGGGGCTCCCGAGCGCCCCTCCCCCACCCCCGAGCCCCTCAAACGCCCCTCCCCCACCTAAACCACGCCCCCTTCTTTTTAACCACGCCCATTTCCCTTTAAACCACGCCCCCTTCCATTTAAACCACGCCCCTTTCCCTTTAACAATGCCCATTTGTCTTTTAGCCACGCCCCTTTCCCTTTAAACCACGCCCCTTCCCCTTTAACCACGCCCATTCCCTTTAAACCACGCCCCTTTCCTTTTAACCACGCCCCTTTCCCTTTAACCACGCCCCTTTCCCTTTAAACCACGCCCCTTTCCCTTTAACCACGCCCCTTTCCCTTTAAACCACGCCCCCTTCCCTTTAAACCACGCCCCCTTCCCTTTTAACCACGCCCCTTTCCCTTAAAACCACGCCCCCTTTCCCTTTAAACCACGCCCCCTTCCATTTAACCACGCCCCTTTCCCTTTAAATCACGCCCTCTCCCTTTTAACCACGCCCCTTCCCTTTAAACCACGCCCCTTTCCCTTTAACCACGCCCCCTTTCTTTTAAACCACGCCCATTCCCTTTAAACCACGCCCCCTTCCCTTTAGCCACGCCCCCTTCCTTTTAAACCACGCCCCTTCCCTTTAAACTACGCCCCCTCCCTTTAGCCACGCCCCTTCCCTTTAACCACGCCCCCTTCCCTTTAGCCACGCCCCCTTCCCTTTAAACCACGCCCCTTTCCCTTTAAACCACGCCCCTTCCCTTTAGCCACGCCCATTTCCTTTGGCCCCGCCCATTTCCTCCATTTCCCTCTTTGGCCCCGCCCCTTTCCCTCATTGGCCACGCCCCCTTTCTCTTGGCCCCGCCCCTGAGCCCGGCGGGGCCGCCCCTCCCCCACCCGGTGCCTCAATGGGGGCGTGGCCTCAGTCCCCGCCCCCTCGGTGACGTCACGGGCAGAGCCGGCTCCGCCCCTTCAGCTGATTTGAATAAGGGGCGTGGCCTGGGAATAAAATACCTTTGGCAAAAAAAAGAAAAAGTAGTTGTGTTTTTTTATTATTATTATTATTATTATTATTATTATTATTATTATTATTATTGTTATATTATTGTTATATTATTATTATTATTATTACTATTATTATTATTGTTATATTATTATTATTATTATTATTATTATTATTATTATTATTATTATTATTATTATTATTATTATTATTTATGATTTTTATTTTAGTTATTCTCATTATTATTGTTATAATTTATTAATTAATTCAATTATTATTATTATTTTTATTTTAGTTATTCTCATTATTGTTGTTATTATTAATTTATTTATTTAATTATTATTATTATTTTTATTTTAGTTATTCTCATTATTATTATTTTGTTGTTATTTTAATTATTTCTGTTATTTTTTATTATTTTATTACTATTACTGTTTTTACTTTATTAATTATTTTTATTATTTTGGTCTTTTATTAGTTTTTATTATTTTATTATGACTATTTTTATTTTCTTTATTATTATTATTATTACTATTATTTTTATCATTTTATTATTTTTACTATTTTTATTATTTTTATTATTATTATTTTATTATTTTATTATTGTATTATTACTATTTTTATTTTATTTATTATTATTACTATTATTATTATGTCGTTTTTATTATTATTATTTTATTATTATTATTTTTATTTTATTTATTAGTATTATGTTATTTTTATCATTATTATATTATTATTATTTTTATTTTATTTATTATTATGATTTTATTTTTATTTTTATTTATTATTATTTATTATTATTACCATTTTGATTTTATTACTTTATTTATTATTGTTACTATTCTTATTTTTTTATTTTTAATTATTTTATTATTATTTTTATTATTTTATTATTACTATATTTTATTTATTATTATTACTATTATTATGTTATTTTTATTATTATTTTATTATTATTATTTTAATTTTATTTATTATTATTATTTTATTTTTATTTTTATTTCTTATTATTTTATTATTACCATTTTCATTTTATTATTTTATTGTTATTATTACTATTATTATTTTTTGTTTTATTATATTATTATCATTTTTATTATTTTAGGTTTATTATTATTATTACTATTATTATTATATTATTATTTTATTAACTTTTATTATTTTATTTTTATTATTACTATTATTATTACTATTAGTAGTAGTAGTATCATTATTATTATTACCATTATTACCATTATTATCATTATTATCATTATTATCATTATTATCATTATTTTCCCGAAATCTCCACAATTCCCCCCAAATTTTTCACTTTTTAATTAAAATTCCCCAACTTTTTAACAGAAATTCCCCAAATTTCAACCAAAACTCCCCAAATTTTTTTTTTTTAAATTTATTTTTTTGCGGCGTGGAGGAATTTCTCGAGAATCAAAAAAAAATCACCAATTCTACGAAAATTCGCCCAAAATTTAATTTTTTTGGGGATTTTTGACGAAAATCTCCGATTTTTTCCGATCCTTCCCGGAACCGGAAACACCCGAAGAACACCGGAAACACCCGAAGAGTTCCGGAAATACCCGAAGTTTTCCGGAAACACCCGAAGTTAACCGGAAACCCCCGAAGCTCTTTACGGAGAGCCACGAAGAGTTCCGGAAGTTGCCGAACTGCTGGCGGAAGTTGCCGAATCGCCTCTCCGGAAGTTGCCGAAGGCGCGGCGCAAGCGGCGCCACACAAGATGGCGGACGGGGAGGAGGTGACTCTGGACGGGCGACCGCTCCATTTGCTGCGCGTCGCCGACCTCAAAGCGGCTCTGGAGCAGCGCGGCCTCGCCAAGAGCGGCCAGAAGAGCGCCCTGATCAAACGGCTGCGAGGGGTGAGAAACGGGAGAGGAAAAGCGGCGGAAATGGCGGCGCCGCTGAGGAGAAACCGCCGTGAGGGGAGAGGGGGGGGCGGGAAAATGGCGGCGCATGCGCGGGATGGGGGGGGGGAAGGTTCCCCCTCAGGGTTTTCCCGCCAACGCGTGAGGGGGGAAAAAAGGCGGGAAGGAGGAGACCCCCCCTCATATAGGGTGAGTGGGGGTGAGGGAGGATTTGGGGGGAAAAAAGGGGATTTTGGGTGGGTGGGAGTTGGTTTTTTGGGGTGAAAGTTGGGGGTTTTGGGGTTGGAGTTGGGGGTTTGGTTATTTGGGGTGAAAGTTGGGAGTTTTGGGGTTGGAGTTGGGGGTTTGGGGGTTTAGGGAAAAGGCTGAGGGGGTTTAGGGGGTTGTGAGGGGATTTGGGGTGAAAATCGCGGTTTCGATGAGTTTGAGGAAAATTCTGAGGGGGTTTGGGTTTAAAACTCCGGGTTTGAGGTTTTTGTGAGGGGATTTGGGGTGAAAATCGCGGTTTTTAAGACTTTCAGGGAAAATCTGAGGCGATTTGGGGTTAAAGGTCGGAGTTTGAGGTTTTTGTGAGGGGATTTGGGGTGAAAATCCCGGTTTTTAAGAGTTTGAGGGGAAATCTGAGGCGATTTGGGTTTAAAACTCTATGTTTGAGGTTTTGGTGAGGAGATTTGAGGTGAAAAACTCAGTTTTGATGAGTTTGAGGAAAATTCTGAGGGGATTTGGGTTTAAAACTCCGGTTTTGAGGTTTTTATGAGGAGATTTGAGGTGAAAATCCCGATTTTGATAAGTTTGAGGAAAATTCTGAGGGGATTTGGGTTTAAAACACCGGTTTTGAGGTTTTTGTGAGGGGGTTTGAGGTGAAAATCGCGGTTTTTAAGAGTTTGAGGAAAAATCTGAGAGAATTTGGGTTTAAATCTCTGATTTTGAGGTTTTTGTGAGGGGATTTGGGGTGAAAATCCTGGTTTTGATAAGTTTGAGGAAAATTCTGAGAGAATTTGGGTTTAAAGCTCTGATTTTGAGAAGTTTTTGAGGAGATTTGAGGAGAAGTTGCAGTTCTGAGGGGATTTGGGTTTAAAACTCCGGGTTTGAGGGTTTTGTGAGGGGATTTGGGGTGAAAATCTCGGTTTTAAAGAGTTTGAGGAAAAATTATTAGGATTTGGATTTAAAGCTCCGGCTTAGAGGTTTTTGTTAGAGGATTTGGGGTAAAATCCCGGTTTTGATGATTTTGAGGAAAATTCTGAGGGAATTTGGGTTTAAAACTCCGCGTTTGAGAGTTTTGTGAGGGGATTTGGGGTGAAAAACTCGATTTTAAAGAGTTTGAGGGAAAGTCTGAGAAGATTTGGGGTTAAAGGTCAGGATTTGAGGTTTTTATGAGAGCATTTGGGGTAAAATCCCGGTTTTGATGATTTTTAGGAAAATTCTGAGGGAATTTGGGTTTAAAACTCCGGTTTTGAGGTTTTTGTGAGGGGATTTGGGGTGAAAATCCTGGATTTTATGAGTTTCATGAAAAAGCTGAGGGGATTTGGGGTAAAAGTTGCAGTTTTGATGAGTTTGAGGAAAATTCTGAGGGAATTTGGGTTTAAATCTCTGGTTTTGAGGAGTTTTTGTGGAGATTTGATGTAAAAGTTGCAGTTCTGAGGGGGTTTGGGTTTAAAACTCCGGATCTGAGGTTTTTGTGAGGGGATTTGGGGTAAAATCCCGGTTTTGATGATTTTGAGGAAAATTCTGAGAGAATTTGAGTTTAAAACTCCGGGTTTGAGGTTTTTGTGAGGGGATTTGGGGTGAAAAACGCGGTTTTAAAGAGTTTGACGGAAAGTCTGAGACGATTTGGGGTTAAAGGTCGGGTTTGAGGGATTTGTGAGGGGATTTGGGGGTAAAATCCCGGTTTTGATGATTTTGAGGAAAATTCTGAGGGAATTTGGGTTTAAAACTCCGGTTTTGAGGGTTTTGTGAGGGGATTTGGGGTGAAAATCGCGGTTTTGATGATTTTGAGGAAAATTCTGAGAGGATTTGGGTTTAAAACTCCGGTTTTGAGGTTTTTATGAGGTGAAAATCTCGGTTTTAAAGAGTTTGACGGAAAGTCTGAGACGATTTGGGGTTAAAGGTCGGGATTTGAGGGTTTTATGAGGCGATTTGGGGTGAAAATCGCGATTTTAACGAGCTTGAGGGAAAGTCTGAGACGATTTGGGTTTAAAACTCCGGGTTTGAGGGTTTTGTGAGAGGATTTGGGGTAAAAATCGCGGTTTTGATGAGTTTGAGGTAAAATTCTGAGGGAATTTGGGTTTAAAACTCCGGGTTTGAGGGTTTTGTGAGGGGATTTGGGGTGAAAATCCCGGATTTTATGAGTTTGATGAAAAAGCTGAGGGGATTTGGGGTAAAAGTTTCAGTTTTGATGAGTTTGAGGAAAATTCTGAGGGGATTTGGGTTTAAATCTCTGATTTTGAGGAGTTTTCTAGGAGATTTGAGGTAAAAGTTGCAGTTCTGAGGGGATTTGGGTTTAAAACTCCGGGTTTGAGGTTTTTGTGAGGGGATTTGGGGTGAAAATCTCGGTTTTGATAAGTTTGAGGAAAATTCTGAGGGAATTTGGGTTTAAAACTCCGGTTTTGAGGTTTTTGTGAAGGGATTTGGGGTGAAAATCGCGGTTTGGATGATTTTGGGGAAAGTTTTATTAGTATTTGGATTTAAAGCTCTGGTTTAGAGGTTTTTGTGAGGAGATTTGAGGTGAAAATCCCGGTTTTGATGATTTTGAGGAAAATTCTGAGGGGATTTGGGTTTAAAACTCCGGGTTTGAGGGTTCTGTGAGGGGATTTGGGGTGAAAATCCCGGTTTTAAAGAGTTTGAGAAAAATTCTGATGGAATTTGGGTTTAAAACTCCGGTTTTGAGGTTTTTATGAGGTGAAAATCTCGGTTTTAAAGAGTTTGACGGAAAGTCTGAGACGATTTGGGGTTAAAGGTCGGGATTTGAGGGTTTTATGAGGCGATTTGGGGTGAAAATCGCGATTTTAACGAGCTTGAGGGAAAGTCTGAGACGATTTGGGTTTAAAACTCTATGTTTGAGGTTTTGGTGAGGAGATTTGAGGTGAAAAACTCAGTTTTGATGATTTTGAGGAAATTTCTGAGGGAATTTGGGTTTAAAACTCCAGTTTGGATGTTTTTATGAGGAGATTCGAGGTGAAAATCCTGGTTTTGATGAGTTAGAGGGAAATTCTGAGAGAATTTGGGTTTAAATCTCTGATTTTGAGGTTTTTGTGAGGGGATTTGGGGCGAAAAACTCGATTTTAAAGAGTTTGAGGGAAAGTCTGAGACGATTTGGGGTTAAAGGTCGGGGTTTGAGGGTTTTGTGAGAGGATTTGGGGTGAAAATCCAGGATTTTATGAGTTTTATGAAAAATCTGAGGGGATTTGAGGTAAAAGTTGCGGTTTTGATGATTTTGAGGCAAATTTTGTAGGAATTTGGGTTTAAAGCTCCTTTTTTAGGAGTTTTTTAGGGGACTTGAGGTAAAAGTTGCAGTTCTGAGGGGATTTGGGTTTAAAACTCCGGTTTTGAGGTTTTTGTGAGGGGATTTTGGGTAAAAATCATAATTTTGATGAGTTTGAATTTAATTCTGAGGGGATATTGGGTAAAAGTCGCATTTTTCATAATTTTGAGGAAAATTTTGTAGGTTTTTGGGTTTAGAACTCTGGTTTTGAGGAGTTTGTGAGGGGATTTGGGGTGAAAATCCTAGTTTGAATGAATTTGATGAAAATTCTGCGAGAATTTGGGTTTAAAACTCCCACTTTGAGACATTTGTGAGGGAATTTGACGTAAAAGTTGCGGTTTTGATGAATTCGAGTAAAAATCTGAGGCAATTTAAGTTTTAAATCCCAATTTTTGGGGAATTTGGGGTAAATGTTACAGTTTTAAGGCGGAATTTTGGGGCAAAACTCGGGTTTTTATCATTTTGAGCAGATTTTTGGGGGTGATTTGAGATAAAATCATTGTTTTGAGGTGATTTAGATTAAAAAATCGTAATTTTTGGTGGCGTTGGGAGAGAATTTGAGGTAAAACTTGATGGTTTGGGGACTTTGAGAAGGGCCTGAGGCGCTTTGAGATAAAAAGTGAAATTTTTGTTAAATTTCCAGCGGATTTGAGGTAAAATTTAAATTTTTTGTGCATTCCAGAAGGATTTGAGGCCAAATCCCCATTTTTCACATGTTTGTGTGGGGATTTTAGGTTAAACCTGCAGGTTTTGGGGTGTTTTGATACAAAAAAAAAAAAATCACAATTTTGTTGAGGTTTTGAGAGGATTTGAGGCAAAAATCACTTTTTTTGTGGCTTTCTGAGGGGATTTTGGGCAAAAAAACAATATTTGGTTACTTTGTGAAGGATTTTGAGGTGAAATTCAGAGTTTTTGAGGAAATCTGTGTCAGAAATGCAGAATTTGGTGGGTCTTGGGTTAATTATGGGCGTTTTGTGGGGATTTTGGGGGAAATTCTGGGGATTTTTGGGGGGATGGTGACAAAAAAATGAATTTTCAAGAAATTAAATTTCAAGGAGTTCTAAATTTGCCGAAATCTGCCCAAATTCAGGCGCTGATGTTGGAGAACCTCCAGAAGCACTCGAGCCCCCACCCCACCTTCCAGCCCAACTCCCAGGTGAGACCCCAAAAATACCCAAATTCTCCAAATTTTCAGAAATCCAACCAAAATTCCAGCAAATTTCCCCAAAATTCTCTGAAATCCACCCAAAATTCTCTTGAATCCACCCAAAATTCCCCAAAATTCTCTTGAATCCGCCAAAAATTCTCTCAAATTCCTCCAAAACCTCCCCAAATTCCCAGCAAAATTTCATTAAATCCACCCAAATTCTTTCAAAATTTGCCAAAAATCCCCCAAAATTTCTTTAAAACCCCCAAAATTCCCCAAAATCTTCCCAAATCCACTTTTAAGTTCTACCAAATTCCCCAAAATCCCCCCAAATTTCCCCAAATTCCGACAGATTTGCCCAAATTTTCCCCCGAAATCCCAAATTTAAAAAAAAAATTTGATCAAATTTTCCCCAAATCTCCTCAAATTTCCTCAAAAAATCCCAAAAATGGCAGGAAAATCAGAAATCACAAAAAAAACCCCCAAATTTTTGGGATGTGAGGCAGCAAAACCCCCAAAAACCATCAAAAATCACTAAAAACGGACAAAAAATGATTAAAAAATCACCAAAAAGTGTCAAAAAATTCCCAAAAAAAAAAAAGGGAAAAAACTCCAAAAGTCCTGAAATTTTCCCAAATTTTTGGTAATTCCCAATTATAGGCTTTACTTATTTCCAAAAAAACATTCCAAATATCATTAAAACTGTTTTAAAATTACTAAAAATCTCCAAAAATGGTCAAAAATCCCCAAAAAAGCTCAAAAATTTGGGAAAAATTGCCCAAAATCCCAAATAGTTCCCAAATTTTTAGGAATTCTGAATTTTTGGGATCTGGGGGTGGAAAGGCTTCACTTAATCCAGAAAAACCATTACAAATAATTAAAAATAGTTGTAAAAATGACTAAAAATATTTTAAAATTTCAATAATCACCCAAAAAACCAAAAAAAATTGGGAAACATTTGGGAAAAAGTCCCCAAAATCCCAAATCATTCCCAAATTTTTGGGAATTCCAAATTTTTGGGATCTGGGGGTGGAAAGGCTTCACTTAACCCATGCAGAACCCCAAAAAAATGTTGAATAATTGCCAAAAATCACCAAAAATCACCAAAAATCATCCAAAAAATCCCCAAAAAAGCAAGCAAAAAAAAGGAAAAAATGGGGAAAATTGCCCAAAATCCCAAATAATTCCCAAATTTTTGGGAATTCCCAATTTTTAGGATCTGGGGGGGTGGAACAGCCTCAATTAACCCATGCAGAACCCCAAAAAAATGTTGAAAAATCGTCAAAAATCACCAAAAAGTCACCCAAAATCATCCAAAAATCCCCAAAAAAGCAAAGAAAAAAAGGAAAAAATGGCAAAAAATTCCCAAAAATCCCAAATAATTCCCAAATTTTTGGGAATTCCCCATTTTTGGGATCTGGGGGTGGAACAGCCTCACTTAACCCACGTGGAACCCCAAAAAAAAGTTGAAAAATCGCCAAAAATCACCAAAAATCCCCCACAAAAGCTTAAAAAAACAGGGAAAAATGGGGAAAATTGCCCAAAATCCCGAATTGTTCCCAAATTTTTGTGAATTTTGTGTTTTTTGGCAGATGGGCGAGGCCATGGGGCAGAACAGTTTCATCAAGCAGTACCTGGAGAAGCAGCAGGAGCTGCTGCAGCAGCGCCGCGACGCCCCCGAGCCCCACGGTGAGAGAAAATTCACCCCAAATTCACCCCAAATTCACCCCAAAATCCACCCAAATTTATCCCAAAATTCACCCCAAATTTATCTCAAAATTCACCACAAAATAACCCCAAATTTGTCCCAAATTCACCACAAAAATCCCCCAAAATTCACCCCAAATCCACCCCAAATTTATCCCAAATTCACCACAAAATTCACCCCAAATTTATCCAAAAATCCACCCCAAATTCACCCCAAATTTATCCCAAATTCACCACAAAAATCCCCCAAAATTTACCCCAAATTTATCCCAAAATCCACCCCAAATTCACCCCAAATTTATCCTAAATTCACCACAGAAATCCCCCAGAATTCACCCCATATTTATCCCAAAATCCACCCCAAATTTACCCCAAATTCACCCCAAATTCACCACAAAAATCCCCCAAAATTCACCCCAAATTTGTCCCAAAATTCACCCCAAATTTATCCCAAATTCACCACAGAAATCCCCCAAAATTCACCCCAAATTTATCCCAAATTTATCCCAAAATCCACCCCAAATTCACCCCAAATTTATCCCAAATTCACCACAAAAATCCCCCAAGATTCACCCCAAATTCATCCCAAATTTATCCCAAATTCACCACAAAAATCCACCCAAAATTCACCTCAAATTTATCCCAAATTTACCCCAAAATTCACCCCAAATTTATCCCAAATTCGCCCCAAAATTCACCCCAAATGTATCCCAAATTCACCCCAAAATCCTACCAAAAACTACTCCAAAATTCACCCCTAATTTATCCCAAAATCCACCCAAAATTCACCCCAAATTTATCCCCAAATCCACCCCAAATTCACCCCAAATTCATCCCAAAAATCCCCCAAAATCCACCCCAAATTCACCCCAAATTTATCCCAAATTACCCCAAATCCCACCAAAAAATACCCCAAAATTCACCCCAAAATTCTACCCCAGTATCCCCCAAATTCACCCCAAATTTACCTCAAATTCACCACAAAAATCCCCCAAAATTCACCCCAAATTTACCCCAAACTTATCCCAAAATCCACCCAAAATCCACCCCAAATTTATCCCAAAATCCACCCAAAATTCACCCCAAATTCACCACAAAAATCCCCCAAAATTCACCCCAAAATTCCACCGTAAAATTCCCCAAAATTGTACCCTGATATCCCCCAAATTCACCCCAAAATTCACCCTAAATTTGTCCCAAAATCTACCCCAAATTCACCCCAAATTTATCCCAAAATCCACCCAAAATTTGTCCCAAATTTATCCCAAATTCACCACAAAAATCCCCCAAAATTCACCCCAAATTTATCCCAAAATCCACCCCAAATTCACCCCAAATTTATCCCAAATTCACCACAAAAATCCCCCAAAATTCACCCCAAATTTATCCCAAATTCACTACAAAAATCCTCCAAAATTCACCCCAAATTTACCCCAAATTTATCCCAAAATCCACCCCAAATTCACCCCAAATTCACCCCAAATTTATCCCAAAATCCACCCAAAATTCACCCCAAATTCACCACAAAAAACGCCCAAAATTCACCCCAAATTCATCCCAAATCCACCCCAAATTTACCCCAAATTTATCCCAAATTCACCACAAAAATCCCCCAAAATTTACCCCAAATTTATCCCAAAATCCACCCCAAAATCCCCCCAAATAATACCCCAAAATTCCACTGCAAAATTCCCTAAAATTCTACCGCAATATCCTCCAAATTCACCCCAAATTCACCCCGAATTTATCCCAAATTCACCCCAAATTTATCCAAAATTCATCCCAAAATCCCACCAAAAACTACCCCAAAATCCCACCCCAAAATTCACCTCAAATTTATCCCAAATTCATCCCAGAATCCACCAAAAAATACCCCAAAATTCCCCAAAATTCTACCCCAATATCCCCCAAATTCACCCTAAAATCACTCCAAATTTATCCCAAATTCACCTGAAATTTATCCAAAATTCTCCCCAAATTTATCCAAAATTCATCCCAAAATCCTCCAAAAACTACCCCAAAATCCCGTCCAAAATTCACCCCAAATTTATCCCAAATTCATCCTAAAATCCACCAAAAAATACCCCAAAATTCTACCCCAATATCCGTCAAATTCACCCCAAAATTCACCCCAAATTTATCCCAAAATCCACCCCAAATTCACCCCAAATTTATCCCAAAATTCACCCCAAATTTGCCCCAAAATTCACCCCAAATTTATCCCAAAATTCACCCCAAATTTGCCCCAAAATTCACCCCAAATTTGTCCAAAAATTCACCCCAAATTTGTCCCAAAATTCACCCCAAATTTATCCCATTATTTCTCCCAAAATTCCCGAATTTTCCCAAATTTCCTTAAAATTCCCCCTAAAATCTCCAAATTTTCCCAAAATTCCTTTCGAAATTCCCCAAAAATCCTCAAATTTCCCCCAAAATTCCCAGAATTTCCCCCAAAATTCCCGAATTTCCCCCCAAATCCCCGAATTTTCCCGAATTTTCCGGATTTTGTTATTTTTGCAGCCTCGGAGCCGGGGGAGGAGGAGGAGGAGGAGGAGGAGGAAGGAGCGGGGAGGAAGGAGCGGCGCCGGATGGTGAGGGAAACTGAGGCATGGGCCCAATTTTGGGTTAATTTTGGGCTTTTTCAGTTAATTTTAGGGGTTTTTATTTAATTTTGTGGGTTTTCCCTTTTAATTTGGGCTTTTTGGGTTAATTTTAGGGTTTTTTTTCCTTTAATTTTGGGGATTTTGGGTTTAATTTTGGGTTTTTTTCCTTCAATTTGGTGGTTTTTTTTCCTTTAATTTTGGGATTTTGGGGTAAGTTTTTGGTTTTTTTCCTTTAAATTTTGGATTTTTGGGTTAATTTTGGTTTTTTTCATTTAATTTTGGGGATTTTGGGTTAATTTGGGATTTTTTTGTTAATTTTGGGGGGTTTTCCCTTTAATTTTGGGATTTTTGGGTTAATTTTGGGCTTTTTTTTCTTTAATTTTTCAGAATTTTGGGTAAATTTTGTTTTTATTTTTTAATTTTTGGGATTTTGGGTTAATTTTGGTTTTTTTTCCTGTAATTTTGGGGATTTTGGGTTCGTTTTGGGAGTTTTGGTTTAATTTTTGTTTTTTTTCCCTTTACTTTTGGGAATTTGGGGTTAATTTTGGGGTTTTTTTCCCTTAATTTTGGGGATTTTGGGTTAACGGAGTTTTTTCCTTTAATTTCGGAGTTTTTTCCTTTGATTTTGGGGATTTTGGGTTAATTTTTGTTTGTTTCCCTTTAATTTGGGGATTTTTGGGTTAAGTTTGGGGTTTTTTTCCTTTAATTTTAGGATTTTTGGGTTATTTTTTGGGTTTTTTCCTTTAATTTTGGGTTTATTTGGGGGTTAATTTGCTTTAGTTTCATTTTTTGGGGGTTTTGGGTTAATTTTTGGTTTTTCTTTCCTTTAATTTTGGGGATTGTGAGTTAATTTGGGGTTTTTTTTTCTTTAATTTTGGTTTATTTGGGTTAATATTGGGTTTTTTCCTTTAATTTTGAGGCTTTTGGGTTAATTTTGTGGTTTTTTCCTTTAATTTTGGGGATTTTGTGTTAATTTTGGAGTTTTTTTTCATTTAGTTTTGGGGTTTTTGGGTGAATTTTGGGGTTTTTTTTCATTTAATTTTGGGATTTTTGGGTTAATTTTGGGGTTTTCTTTCCTTTAATTTTGGGGATTTGGGGTTTAATTTTGGTGCTTTGGGTTAATTTTTGGGTTCTTTTCCTTTAATTTTGGGGATTTTGGGTTGATTTTTAGGTTTTCTTCTTTAATTTTGGGTTAATTTTTAGTTGTTTTCTTCAGTTTTGGGGATTTTTAGTTAAGTTTTGCATGTTTTTCTTTAATTTTAGGGATTTCGGTTTAATTTTTGGTTTTTTCCTTTAATTTTTGGATTTTTGGGTTAATTTTGGGGGTTTTTTCCTTTAATTTTTGGATTTTTGGGTTAATTTTGGTGGTTTTTTTCCTTTAATTCTGGGATATTTGCGTTAATTTTTTTTTTCCTTTACTTTTGGGGATTTTGGAATACTTTGGGGTTTTTTTCCTTTAATTTTGTTTTTTTTTGGGTTAATTTGGGGTTTTTTTCCCTTTAATTGTATAGATTTTGGGTTAATTTTGGCGTCTTTTTCCCTTTAATTTTGGGTGAATTTTGGGGTTTTTTTTTCCTTTAACTTTTGGGATTTTGGGTTAATTTTGAGGTTTTTTCCTTTAGCTTTGGGTTAATTTGGGGGTTTATTTTCTTTAATTTTGGGGTTTCCTTTTCCCGCCAGAGCCGCGTGGCCCCGCCCCCCTCCGGCCCCGCCCCCTCTGGCCCCGCCCCCCGGCGCCGCCGCCCCGCCCCCGGCGCCGAGGATGAGGATGAGGAGGACGAAGACGATGACGAAGACGAAGAAGAGGAAGAAGAAGATGAAGAAACCCCAAAAATCACCGAAATCGCCCCAAAATCCCCCCCGGAGGGGGCGGAGCCAAACCCGGAAGTGGAGCGGAAAGAGGCGGAGCCAAAGCAGGAAGAGGAGAAGGAGGAGGCGGAGCCAATGGAGGCCACGCCCCTTGTGGAGGAAGCCACGCCCACCAGCGGGGGAAGCCCCTCCCCTCCCCCGCTAAAGGGGGCGGGGCCTGAGGAGGAAAAGGGGGCGGAGCTTCAGATAAAAGGGGCGGAGCTTCCATTGGAGGGGGCGGAGCTTCAGATAGAAGGGGCGGAGCTTCCAGAGGAGGGGGCGGAGCTTCAAATGGAGGGGGCGGAGCCTCCACCCCCTAATTTAAATGCCGAAGCCCCGCCCCCGCCCCGCCCCTCCCCCTCCTCCTCCTCCTCTTCGGCCTCCTCGGCCCCCCCCTCCCCCCCCGGGGGCGGGGCTCAGGTGAGCGGGGGCGGGGCTAAGGGGGGAAAGGGGGCGGGGCTCGGGGAGGCCACGCCCACCGCGGCCAAAATATGGTAATTGTGTTCCTCAGGAGGGGGCGGGGCCACGGCGGGACACGCCCCCGGAGGAGAGGTGAGAGGGGGGGAGGGGCGGGAAATTTGGGGGGATTTTGGGGGAATTTGGGAATTTGAGGGAAATTGGGGAAAATCGTGGATTTTAGAAGGAAATTGGGAAATTTTAGGGGAAATTTTGGGGAAGTTTTTGAGAAATCAGGAAAAATTGGGGAATTTAGGGGAAAAATTAAAGAATTTTGGGGTAAATTTGGTGGAAATTGGGGAATTTTGGGGATTTTAGAAGGAAATTGGGGAATTTAGGGGAAAATTGGGGAATTTTAGGGGAAATTTGGGGGAAATCGGGAAAAATCGGGGATTTTATGGGAAAATTGGGGAATTTTGGGGGAAATTGGGGAAAATTGGGGAGTTTAGGGGGAAATTGGGCAATTTTAGGGGAAATTTGGGAGAATTTTGGGGAAAATTTGGGGAAAATTGGGGAAATTGGGGAGTTAAGGGGGAAATTGGGGATTTTAAAAGGAAACTGGGCAATTTTAGGAGAAATTAGGGAATTTTGGGGATTTTAGGGGAAAATTGGGGAATTTTGGGGGAATTTGGGTAATTTTAGGGGGAATTTGGGGGAAATTGGGCAATTTTGGGTGAAATTGGGGAAAATCTGAGAAGTTTGGGAGAAAAGAGGAAATATTGGGGATTTTAGGGGAAAATTGGGGAATTTTGGGGGAAATTGGGTGATTTTGGGGGAAATTTGGGGGAAATTGGGAAAATCGGGGATTTTAGGGAAAATTGGGGAATTTTAGGGAGAAATTGGGGAGAAATTGGAAAAATTAGGTGATTTTAGGGGAAAATTTGGGGAACTTTGGGGGAAATTGGAAAAAGTTGGGGATTTTAGGGGAAAATTAGGGAGAAATTGGGAAAATTAGGTGATTTTACGGGAAAATTGGGGAAATTTGGGGGAAATTGGGAAAAGTTGGGGATTTTAAAGGGAAGTTGGGAAAAGTTGGGAGGAAATTTGGGGTTTTAGGGGGAAATTGGGGAATTTTACGGGAAATTTGGGGAGAAATTGGGAAAATTTGGTGATTTTACGGCAAAATTTGAGAATTTTAGGGGAAAATTGGGTAAATTCAGGGGAAATTGGGAAAAATTGGGGATTTTAGAAGGAAATGGGCAATTTTAGGGAAAAATTGGGGAGAAATTGGGAAAATTTGGTGATTTTACGGGAAAATTGGGGAATTTTGGGGGAAAATTGGAAAAAGTTGGGGATTTTAGGAGGAAATTGGGGAATTTAGGGGAAAATTGGAGAATTTTGGGGAAAATTGGGGGAAAGTGGGAAAAGTTGGGGATTTTTGGGGAAAATTGGGGAATTTTTTGGGGAAATTGGGGAATTTTGGGTGTTTGGGGGAAAATTTGGGATTTTTAGGGAGATTTAGGGAATTTTTTGGAGAAATTGGGAAAATGTTGGGATTTTAGGAGGAAATTAGGCAATTTTGGGGGAAATTTGGGAGAATTTTGTGAGAAATTTGGGGGAAATTGGGAAAAATTGGGGATTTTAGGGGAAAATTGGGGAATTTTTAGGGGAAATTTGGGAATATTTTGGGGAAGTTTTGGAGAACTGAGGAAAAATTGGAGATTTTAGGGGAAAATTGGGGAATTATAGGGGAAAATTGGGGAATTTTGGGGATTTTAGAAGGAAATTGGGTAATTTTGGGGGAAATTTTGGAGGATTTTGGGGAAGTTTTGGAGGAATTAGGAAAAACTGAGGATTTTAGGGGAAAATTGGGGAATTATAGGGGAAAATTGGGGAATTTTGGGGATTTTAGAAGGAAATTGGGCAATTTTAGGGGAAATTTCTGAGAATTTTGGGGTAGCTTGGGAGAAATTAGGAAAAATGAGGGATTTTGGGGGGAAATTTGGGAATTTTGGGTGAAATTGTGAAAATTTGGGGATTTTAGGGGAAAATTGGGGAATTTTAGGGGAGATTTGGGAGAATTTTGGGGACGTTGGGGAGAAATTGGGGAAAATTTGGGAATTTTGGAGAAAATTGTGGAATTATAGGGGAAAATTGGGGAATTTTGGGGATTTTAGGGGAAAATTGGGGAATTTTAGGGAGACTTAGGGAGTTTTAAAGGGAACTTGGGGAATTTTCGGAGAAATTGGGAAAATTTGGGGTTTTAGGGGAAAATGGGAAAATTTGGGGATTTTAGGGGGGAAATTGAGGAATTATAGAGGGAAATAGGGGAATTTTGGGGGTTTGGGGGAAAATTGGGGAATTTAAGGGAGATTTAGGGAATTTTAAAGGGAACTTGGGGAATTTTGGGGAAAATTGGGGAGATTTAGGGGGAAATTTGAGAGAAATTGGGAAAATGTTGGAATTTTAGGGAAAAATTTTGGATTTTACGGGGAAAATTAAGGATTTTTGGGGGAAATTGGGGAATTTTAGGGAGATTTAGGGAATTTTAAATGGAACTTGTGAAATTTTTGGAGAAATTGGGAAAATTTGGGGATTTTAGGGGAAAATTAAGGAATTTTGGGGGAAAATTGGGAAAAGTTGGGGATTTTAAAAGGAAATTGGGCAATTTTAGGGGAAATTTGGGAGAATTTTGGGGGAAATTTGGGGGAAATTTGGAAAAATTGGGGGTTTTAGGGGAAAATTGGGGAGAAATTGGGAAAAGTTGGCGATTTTAGGGGAAAATTGGGGAATTTTGGGGAAAATTTGAGGGAAATTGGGAAAAATTGGGGATTTTTAGCGAAAATTTCTGAGAATTTTGGGGAAGTTTGGGAGAAATTAGGGAAAGTTGGGGATTTTAGGGGGAAATTGGGGAATTTTGGGGAATATTTGGAAAAATTTGGGATTTTAGGGGAAATTTGGGAGAATTTTGGGGAAGTTTTAGAGAAATTAGGAAAAATAGGGGAGTTTAGGGGAAAATTGGGGAATTTTAGAGGGAAACTGGGGAGAAATTGGGAACATTTAGTGATTTTAGGGGTAAATTGGGGAATTTTAGGGGGAAATTTGGGAGAAATTCGGAAAATTAGGAGATTTTAGGGGAAAGTTGAGGAATTATACGGGGAAAATGTGGAATTTTCGGGATTTTAGGGGAAACTGGAGAATTTTAGGGAATTTTGGGGAAGTTTTTGAGAAATTATGAAAAATTGGGGAATTTTGGGAGAAAATTGGGAAAGTTGGGGATTTTAGAAGGAAATTGGGTAATTTTAGGGGAAATTTGGGAGAATTTTGAGAAAGTTTGGGAGAAATTAGGGAAAATTGGGGAATTTAGGGAAAAATTGGGGAATTTAGGGAAAATTGGGGAAATTTGGGGGTAATTGGGAAAAATTGGGGATTTTAGAGGGAAATTGGGCCATTTTAGGGGGAAATTTGGGAGAATTTTGGGGAAGTTTTGGAGAAATTAAGGAAAATTGGGGATTTTAGGGGAAAATCAGGAAATTTAGGGGAAAATTGGGGAATTTTGGGGATTTTAGAAGGAAATTGGGTAATTTTGGGGGAAATTTTGGAGGATTTTGGGGAAGTTTTGGAGGAATTAGGAAAAACAGGATTTTAGGGGAAAATTGAGGAATTATGGGGGGAAATTGGGGAATTTTGGGGATTTTAGAAGGAATTTGGGCAATTTTAGGGGAAATTTGGGAGAATATTGGGGAAGTTTGGGAGAAATTAGGAAAAATTGCGGATTTTATGGGAAAATTTGGGAATTTTGGGGGAAATTAAGAAAATTTGGGGATTTTAGGGGAAAATTGGGGAATTTTAGGGGAGATTTGGGAGAATTTTGGGGACGTTGGGGAGAAATTGGGGAAAATTTGGGAATTTCAGGGAAAATTGTGGAATTATAGGGGAATATTGGGAAAAATTGGGGATTTTAGGGGGAAATTGGGCAATTTTAGGGGAAATTGGGGAGAAAATGGGAAAATTTGGGGATTTTAGGGGGCAAATTGAGGAATTATAGAGGGAAATAGGGGAATTTTAGGGGAAAATTGGGGAATTTAAGGGAGATTTAGGGAATTTTAAAGGGAACTTGGGGAATTTTGGGGAAAATTGTGGAGATTTAGGGGGAAATTTGAGAGAAATTGGGAAAATGTTGGAATTTTAGGGAAAAATTATGGATTTTACGGGGAAAATTAAGGATTTTTGGGGGAAATTGGGGAATTCTAGGGAGATTTAGGGAATTTTAAATGGAACTTGTGAAATTTTGGGAGAAATTGGGAAAATTTGGGGATTTTAGGGGAAAATTAGGGAATTTTGGGGGAAAATTGGGAAAAATTGGGGATTTTAGAGGGAAATTGGGCAATTTTAGGGGGAAATTTGGGAGAATTTTGGGGAAGTTTTGGAGAAATTAAGGAAAATTGGGGATTTTAGGGGAAAATCAGGAAATTTAGGGGAAAATTGGGGAATTTTGGGGTAAATTTGAGGGAAATTGGAGAAAAATTGGGGATTTTAGGGAAGAAATTGAGGAATTATGGGGGAAATTGGGGAATTTTGGGGGAAATTGGGGTATTTTTTGCGGAAATTGAGGATTTTTGGGCCAATTTTGGTGAAATTGGAGGAAATTTTAGGGGTTTTAGGGAGAAATTGGGAAATTTTGGGTGGAAATTGGGGGAAATTTAAGAATTTTTGAGATTTTTTTGCTAATTTGGAGGAAATTTGGGGGATTTTTTGGGTAATTTAGAGGAAATTTGGTTATTTTAGGGGGAAATGGGGGAATTTGGGGGATTTGTGGGCAAATTTGGGCAAATTTTGGAAAAGTTTTAGGGGAAATGTGGGATATTTGGGGCAAATTGAGGAAATTTTGGGCTAATTGGGAAGATTTTGGGGGGAATTGGGGAAATTTGGGGGAAATTAAGGAAAGTTTAGAGAATTTTAGAGCGAAATTCAGAGATTTTGGGGGAAAATTTGGGAAACCTGAGAATTTTGAGTCATTTTGAGGGAATTTTTGGAGTTTGGGGGAATTTTGGGGATTTTTGGGGGGATTTTAGGGGAGTTTTGTGGATTTTTGGGCGGATTTTTACAAAAATTTAGGGGATTTGGGGGATTTTTGGGGATAAATTTGGAAATTTAAGGGAATTTTGGTAGAATTTGAGGGGATTTTGGTAGAATTTGGGGAGTTTTTTTGGGAGGTTTTGGGATTTTAGGGGGATTCTGGTAGAATTTCGGGGGAATTTTTGGGACACTTTTTGGAAATTTTGGTGAATTTTATGGAATTTTGGGGGGATTTTAATGCAATTTTAGTGGATTTGGGGGGACCCCAGGATTTTAGGGGAATTTGGGGATTTTTTGGGGTAATTTTTGAGATTATTTGCGGATTTCGGGGGGATTTTGGTACAATTTTAGGGGATTTAGGGGTAATCTTGGATTTTAGGGGACTTTTGGGGGATTTTAGAGTGATTTTGTGGATTTTTTTGGGGGGATTTTGGTAGAATTTGAGGGGATTTTGGGATTTTTTGGAGGGATTTTGGTACAATTTTAGAGTATCTGGGTAAACTCTTGGATTTTAGGGGAATTTTGGGCTTTTTTGGGAATTTTTTGGGGTTTTTTTGGGGATTTTTTGGTGATTTTGGGGAATTTTTGGTTCCCCCATTGAGTCTGAGGGGTGGTCGCGGTGGGCGTGGCCTGACCATAATTTACATTTTTCATTTGCATAACCACGCCTTTCATTAGCATAAACCCCGCCCCGCATCCCCATATAATGCCGTGACCACGCCCCCTTTTCATTCATTACACGGCCTCACCTCTGTCCTTAACCCCGCCCACCCCTCGCTCTGATTGGCCGCTCCCTTCCCGCCGCGCCCCTTTCGGCGTCGCCGATTGGCCCCGCCCTTTGGCCACGCCTCCTCGGCGGCGCGGGGCATGCCGGGCTCGCGGCAAGATGGCGGCCCCGGCCGGCAGCGGCCGCCCCGCACAATAGCGGGGGGGGGAGGGGGCGCGGGGTGAGGCGAAAAGGGCCAAAAATGGGCAAAAAACGGGAAAAACGGGGCGGAAATGGGGAGAAATGAGGGAAAAATGGGGAAAAATGGGGAAAAATGGGGAAAAACGGGAAAAAATGGGGGGGAAAGGGGGAAAATGGGGAGGGGGAGCGGCGGGGAAAAGGCGGGAACGGGGCAGGGAGGGGAAAAAAAGCGGATTTTGTGGGGAAAATGGGGATTTTAATGTAAAAAATGGTGATTTTTGTGGGGAAAATGGGGTTTTTGAGGGGAAATTTGGGGGTTTTGAGGGGAAAATTGGGATTTTTGAGGGAAAAATTGGGGGTTTTTGAGGGGAAATTTGGGGGTTTTGAGGGGAAAAATGTGATTTTTGAGGGAAAAATTGGGGGTTTTGTGGAGAAAATTGGGGTTTTTGTGAAGAAAATGGGGGTTTTGTGAGGGGAAAATGGGGATTTTTGTGGAAAAAATGGGGATTTTTGTGGGAAAAATGTGGGTTTTGGGGGAGAAAATGGGGATTTCTGTGGGGGAAAAGGGATTTTTTGTGGGGAAAATTGGGGTTTTTGTAGGGAAAATTGGGATTTTTGTGGGGAAAATGAGGATTTGGGGGGAGAAAATGGGGATTTTTTGGGAGAAAATGTGGGTTTTGTAGGGGAAAAGGGGATTTTTGTGTAAATAATGTGGATTTTTGTGAAGAAAATGGGGGTTTTGTGAGGGGAAAAGGGGATTTTGTGAGGGGAAAATGGGATTTTTGTGAGGGAAATTGGGATTTTTGAGGGGAAAATTGGCATTTTTGTGGGGAAATTGGGGATTATGGGGGAGAAAATGGGATTTTTTGGGGGGTTTTTGTGGGAAAAGGGTTTTTTTGTGAGGATAAGGGGGGTTTTGTGAAGAAAATGGGGATTTTGTGAGGGAAAATCTGAATTTTGTGGGGAAAATCAGGATTTTTGGGGGAAAATGGGGATTTTTTTGGGCAAAATGGGGATTTTGTGAGGGAAAAACAGATTACTGTAGGAAAAATGGGGATTTTGTGGGGAAAATGGGGATTATGGGGGAGAAAATGGGATTTTTTGGGGGGTTTTTGTGGGAAAAGGGGCGGTTTTTGAGGGGAAATTGGGTTGTTTTGTGGGGAAATTGGGGTTTTTGTGGGTAAAATGGGATTTTTGGGGGTTTTTTGTGAGGATAACGGGGTTTTTGTGAAGAAAATGGGGATTTTTGTGGGGAAAATGGGATTTTAGTTGGTAAATTGGGATTTTTGAGGGGAAAATTGGGATATTTGTGGGTAAAATGGGGATTTTGTGAGGGAAAAACAGGATTTTTGTGGGGAAAATGGGGATTTTTGGGGAAGAAAATGAGGATTTTGTGGGGAAAATCAGGATTTTGTGGGGAAAATCGGGATTTTTGGGGAAAATGGGGATTTTGTGGGGAAAACAGGGATTTTTGTGGGGCAAATGGGGATTTTTCTAAAAAAAATGGGATTTTTGTGTAAAAAGATTTTTTATGGGGAAAACGGGGATTTTTTGGGGGGGAAATGGGGATTTTTGGGGAAAAATGGGATTTTATTGGGAAAATGGAGATTTTTGTAGGAAAAATGGAATTTTTGGGTAGAAAATGGGGTTTTTATGGGGAAAATGGGGATTTTTGGGTGAAAAAAGGGGATTTTATGGGGAAAACGGGGATTTTTGGGGGAAAATGGGGATTTTTAGGGAAAATTGGAGATTTTGGACTAAAATGGGGTTTTCTTTCAGGATAATCGGGATTTTTGTGAAAAAAAGGGATTTTATTTTTAAAAAATGGGATTTTTATGGGAAAATGGGCATTTTTGTGGGAAAAATGGGATTTTTGTGTAAAAAAAGGGGTTTTTATGGGGAAAACGGGGATTTTTTGGGGAAAATGGGGATTTTTTGGGGGGAAAACGGAGATTTTTGGGGAAAATTGGAGAGTTTGGGGAAAATTGGAGATTTTGGACTAAAACTGGGATTTCTTTTGGGATAATAGGGATTTTTGGGGGAAAAAAAGGGATTTTTTTTTAGAATGACATTTTTATGTAAAAATGGTGATTTTTATGCAGAAAATAAGGTTTTTGGTGGAAAAAAAAGGCGTTTTTTGGGGAAAAAAAGGCGTTTTGGGGCGAAAAAAAATGGAATTTTTTCTGGTAAAAAAAGGGGATTTTAAAGGGCGAATTGGGGGTTTCGAAACTCCCCAAAATCGCCCAAAACGCCCCAAAATTGCCGAATCCGCAGCTCGGAGCCGGCGCCGCCCATGGAGCCGAGAGCCGCCCCCGGCCCCGCCCCCCCCGAGGTAACCCCGGCGGTGGGGGAGGGGCGGGACCCCAAATTGGGGGGGGGAGGGGCGGGGGGGGGAGGGGGAACCCCCAAAATCCACCCAAAAATCGGGGGGGGGGTGTGTCAGAAATTGGGGGTTTTATCCAAAAAATTGGGGTTTTGTCACTTAAAAATGAGGTTTTTAACCCAAATATTCACCTAAAATTTGGGGTTTTAACCCAAAATTTGGGGTTTTTAAACCCAAATATTCACCTAAAATTGGGGTTTTATCCAAAAAATTGGGGTTTTGTCACTTAAAATGGGGGTTTTTGACCCAAAAAATTGGGGTTTTGTCACTTAAAATTGGGGTTTTTAAACCAAAAAATTGGGGTTTTAACCCAAAATTTGGGGTTTTGTCACTTAAAATTGGGGTTTTTAAACCAAATATTCACTGAAAATTGGGGGTTTTACCCAAAAATTTGGGGTTTTGGCCAAAAAATTTGGGGTTTTGTCACTAAAAATTGGGATTTTAACCCAAAAAATTGGGGGTTTTAACCCAAAAAATTGGGGTTTTGTCACTTAAAATTGGGGTTTTTGACCAAATATTTGCTGAAAATTGGGGGTTTGAACCCAAAAAATTGGGGTTTTGACTGGAAATGGGGGTTTTAACCCAAAAATTTGGGGTTTTGGCCCTAACACAAAAATTGGGGTTTTTAACCCAAATATTCGCCTAAAATTGGGGGTTTTAACCAAAAAAATTTGGGGTTTTGGCACAAAAATTGGGGTGTTAAACCCAAAAATTTGGGGTTTTGTCACTTAAAATTGGGTTTTTTTAACCTAAATATTCGCTGAAAATTGGGGGTTTTAACCCAAAAATTTGGGGTTTTGGCCCTTAAAATTTGGGGTTTAACTCAAAAAATTTGGGGATTTGGCCATAAAACAAAAATTGGGGTTTTTACCCAAAAATTTGGGGTTTTGTCACTTAAAATTGGGGTTTTTAAACCAAATATTCACCTAAAATTGGGGGTTTTAACCCAAAAGTTGGGGAATTTAACCCAAATATTCATTTAAAATTTGGGGTTTTAACCAAAAAATTGGGGTTTTTAACCCCAATATTCGTTTAAAATTTGGGGGTTTAACCCAAAAATTTGGGTTTTTGGCCAAAAATTTGGGGTTTTGGCCAAAAAAATTGGGGGTTTTAACCCAAATATTCACTTAAAATTGGGGGTTTTTAACCCAAAAATTTGGGGTTTTTTCACTTAAAATATGGGTTTTTAAACCCAAATATTTGCTTAAAATTAGGGGTTTTAAACCCAAAAATTTGGGGTTTTGTCACTTAAAATTGGGGTTTTAACCCAAATATTTGGGGTTTTGTCACCTAAAATTGGGGTTTTAACCCAAAAATTTGGGGTTTCCCCCCCAAATTTGTTTAATTTCCCCAAAATGTGGGTTTATCCCCCCAAAATTTGAGTTTATTTCTCCAAAAATTTGCTTTATATCCCCCAAAAAATGTGGGATTTCCCCCAAAATTTAGGGTTTTTCTCCCCAAAATTTTGGTTTATTTCCCCCAAAATTTGGTTTATTTCCCCAAATTTTGGTTTAATTCCCCCAAATTTAATTTATTCCCCCAAAATTTAATTTATTTCCCTAAAAATTTGGTTGAATCCCCCAAAACTTCGCTTTAATTCCCCAAAAATTCACTTTATTTCCCCAAAAATTTGGGTTTAATTCCCCCAAAAATTTGGGTTTATCTCTCTATAATTTGGTTTATTTCCCTAAAAATTTGGTTTAATTCCCCCAAAATATAATTTATTCCCCCAAAATTTAATTTATTTCCCCAAAATTTGGTTTAATTCCCCAAAATTTTTGTTTAATTCCCCAAAAATTTGGGTTTATTTCCCCAAAAATTCGCTTTATTTCCCCAAAATTTAACTTTATTCCCCAAAAATTTGTGCTTATTTCTCCAAAAACTTGGTTTAATTCCCCCAAAATTTGGTTTAATTCCCCCCAAATTTAATTCATTTCCCCAAAAATTCAATTTATTTCCCTAAAAATTCAATTTAATTCCCCCAAAAATTTGGGTTTATCTCCCCAAAAATTTGGGTTTATTTCCCCAAAATTTCACTTTATTCCCCCAAAACTTTGGGAATTGCCCCAAACTTTGGGATTTCCCCCCAAACCCGTTTCCCCCCTCCCCCCCGCGCGTTTTTCCCGAACTTTGTGGTTTTTTCCCCAAATCCGGGGTCTCTCTCTGCGCTCTCAGCGGAACCTCCGGAGCCCCGAGGGACCCCCCAAAACCCCCAAACCCACTTGGGGGGCAGGACCGGCGCCCCACGGCTCCACTTGGGGGGCAGAGACGGAGACCCCAAATCTGTGGGGCAGAAACGGCCCCAAAACTTCACTTATGGGGCAGAGACGGACCTCAAAAACCCCCAAATGTGTGGGGCAGAAACGGCCCCAAAATTCAACTTGTGGGGCAGAAACGGACCTCAAAAACCCCCAAATGTGTGGGGCAGAAACGGCCCCAAAATTCAACTCAGGAACCCCAAAATCTGTGGGGCAGAAACGGCCCCAAAATTCAACTTGTGGGGCAGAAACGGACTCAGGACCCCAAAATCTGTGGGGCAGGAACCCCAAAATCTGTGGGGCAGAAACGGCCCCAAAATTCAACTTGTGGGGCAAAAACGGACTCAGAACCCCAAAACTTCACTTGTGGGGCAGGAACCCCCAAATCTATGGGGCAGAGATGGAGACCCCAAAATCTGTGGGGCAGAAAATGAAGACCCCAAAATCTATGGGGCAGGAACCCCAAAAATCCGTGGGGCAGGACACTGAGACTCCAAAATCTGTGGGGCAGAAACGGCCCCAAAATTCAACTTGTGGGGCAGAAACGGACTCAGAACCCCAAAAATCTGTGGGGCTGAAAATGGAGACCCCAAAAATGTGTGGGGCAGAAAATGGAGACCCCAAAATCTGTGGGGCAGAAACGGCCCCAAAATTCAACTTTTGGGGCAGAAACGGACTCAGGACCCCAAAATCTGTGGGGCAGAAACGGCCAAAATCCACTTGTGGGGCAAGAAAACGAAGACCCCAAAAATTCAACTTGTGGGGCAGAAACGGCCCCAAAATTCAACTCAGGAACCCAAAATCTGTGGGGCAGAAACGGCCCCAAAATTCAACTTATGGGGCAGAAATGGACTCGGGACCCCAAAACTTCACTTGTGGGGCAGAAACGGCCCCAAAATTCAACTCAGGAACCCCAAATGTGTGGGGCAGAAACGGCCCCAAAAACTTCACTTATGGGGCAGAAATGGACTCGGAACCCCAAAATCTGTGGGGCTGAAAATGGAGACCCCAAAATCTGTGGGGCAGGAACCCCAAACATCCACTTGTGGGGCTGGAATGGACTTTGAGACCCCAAAAACTTCACTTGTGGGGCTGAAACCCCGAAAATTCGACTTACGGGGAAGAAAATGGAGACCCCAAAAATTCAACTTGTGGGGCAGAAACGGACTCAGGACCCCAAAAATCTGTGGGGCAGAAACGGCCCCAAAATTCAACTTGTGGGACAGAAAATGGACTCAAAACCCCAGATCCGTGGGGCAGGACACTGAGACCCCAAAATCTGTGGGGCAGAAACGGCCCCAAAAACTTCACTTGTACGGCAGAAACGGACTCAGAACCCCCAAAATATGTGGGGCAGAAAATGGAGACCCCAAAAATCCACTTGTGGGGCTGAAATGGACTCAGAACCCCAAAATCTATGGGGCAGAAAATGGAGACCCCAAAAATTCAATTTATGGGGCAGAAATGGACTCGGAACCCCAAAAATCTGTGGGGCTGAAAATGGAGACCCCAAAAATCTGTGGGGCAGGAACCCCAAAACTTCACTTATGGGGCTGAAAATGGACTTTGAACCCCCAAAATTCCACTGTTGGGGCAGGAACCCCAAAATCTATGGGGCAGAAAATGGAGACCCCCAAAATTCAACTTGTGGGGCTGGAACGGACTCAGGACCCCAAGATCTGTGGGGCAGAAAATGGAGACCCCAAGAAATCCGTGGGGCAGGACACTGAGACCCCAAAATCTGTGGGGCAGAAAATGGAGACCCCAAAATCTTCACTTGTGGGGCAGAAATGGACTCCGGACCCCCAAATCTGTGGGGCAGAAACTGGAGACCCCAAAATCCACTTGTGGGGCAGGAACCCCAAAAATCCACTTGTGGGGCAGAAATGGACTCAGAACCCCAAATGTGTGGGGCAGAAACGGCCCCAAAATTCAACTCAGGAACCCCAAAATCTGTGGGGCAGAAACGGCCCCAAAATTCAACTTGTGGGGCAGAAACGGACTCAGAACCCCAAAATCTGGGGGGCTGAAACGGCCCCAAAATTCAACTTGTGGGGCAGAAACGGACTCAGCACCCCAAAATCTGTGGGGCTGAAATGGACTCGGGACCCCAAAATCTGTGGGGCAGGAACCCCAAAAATCCACTTGGGGGGCTGAAAACGGACTCAGAACCTCAAAACTTCACTTGTGGGGCTGAAAAGGGAGACCCCAAAATCTGTGGGGCTGAAAACGGAGACCCCAGAACTTCAACTTGTGGGGCTGAAAATGGACTTTGAGACCCCAAAAATCCAACTTGTGGGGCAGAGCTGGAGACGCCAAAATCTGTGGGGCAGGAACCCCAAAAATCCACTTGGGGGGCTGAAAATGGAGTCAGAACCCCAAAAATCTGTGGGGCTGAAAACGGAGACCCCAAAATTCAACTTATGGGGCAGAAAACGGATTTTGGAGACCCCAAAACTTCAACTTATGGGGCAGAAACAGCCCCAAAATTCAACTTGTGGGGCAGAAAATGGAGCTGGACCCCCAAAATTTCCACTTATGGGGAAGAAAATCAACTTCAAGACCCCAAAAATTTCATTTTTCGGGGTGAAAAACGAAATTTAAAGTCCCCAAAATTCAATTTTTTGGGGTGAAAAAAAATGGACTCGGAGACCCAAAAATTCAATTTTTTGGACTAAAAAAAATTAACTCAAAGACCCCAAAATTTAGATTTTTTGGGGTGAAAACATGGACTTTGAAACGACCAAAATTTCACTTTTCTGGTTGAAAAGAAACGGACTCAGACACCCCAAAATTTCCATTTTTTTGGGGTGAAAAACGTGAACTTTGGAACCCCGAAAATTTCACTTTTCGGAGCAAAACAAGAAATGGACTCAGAGACCCAAAAATTTCATTTTTTGGGGTAAAATATCGGACTCGGAGCCCCCAAAATTCCATTTTTTGGGGTGAAAAAACCGGACTCGGAGCCCCCAAAATTTCACGTTTTGAGGTGAAAAAAATATGGACTCAGAGACCCCAAAATTTGATTTTTTGGGGTAAAAAACGTGGACTTTGGAACCCCCAAAATTCAATTTTTTGTGGTGAAAAAAATGGACTCAGAGATCCTAAAAATTCCATTTTTTGGGATGAAAACATGGACTTTGGAACCCCCAAAAATTCAATTTTTTGGGGCGAAAAAAACGGACTCAGAGACCCAAAAATTCAATTTTTTGGAGTGAAAAAACCGGACTCGAAGACCCAAAATTTCCCTTTTTTGGGGTGAAAACGGACCCGGACCCCGAAATTCCATTTTGGGGTAAAAATCCCCGAATTTGGGACGTTTTTTTTGGGGTGAAAAAACGGAAATTCCGCCAAAAAAAAGGAAAAGTGGGCGGGGCCTGAGGGGAAAAATGGGCGGGGCCAGGAGGGGCGGAGCTCGAGGCCACGCCCCATCGCTGACGTCATCCCCTTTTGGCCCCGCCCCCTTTTGGCCCCGCCCCCTCTCTCACAGGCCACGCCCCGCGGCGTCAAGAGGAAGATCGCGCTGCTCTGTGAGTGGGCGGGGCTTGCATAATTAATGAGCTCCCGTAATTAACGGGCCCCAGGGCGGGGGAGGGGCTGGGGATGCAAATTAGGGGAAAAAATGGGCGGGGCTTGGAGAAAAAAGCTAAAAAATGGGTTTAATATGCAAATTATACTCAAATTAGATGCGTGGTTTATATGTAAATGAGGTAGGTGTGGCCTAAAGAGGCGTAGTTTAATATGCGTTAATTAATAATTCTTTAATATGCAATAATTAGTAATTAATTAGAAGTAAGTCAAAGTGCAGCGCGATTAAAATATGTAAATGAGCAGTGCAGTTAAAAGTGGGTGTAGTTATGCAAATTAGGAGTTGGTTTGGGTGTTAATTAAATAGCCATTAGGGTGATTAAGTGGTAAATTTATAGTTTATGCAAATTAGGGGTTGGTTTAGGTGTTAAATAAATAGCCATTAGGGTAATTAAGTGGTAAATTAATGGTTTATGCAAATTAGGGGTGGGTTTAGGAGTTAATTAAATGGCCATTAGGGAAATTAAATGGTAAATTAATGGTTTATGCAAATTAGGAGTTGGTTTAGGTGTTAATTAAATGGCCATTGGGGTAATTAAATGCTGAATTTATGGTTTATGCAAATTAGGAGTTGGTTTAGGTGTTAATTAAATGGCCTTTAGGGTAATTAAGTGGTAAATTTATGGTTTATGCAAATTAGGGGTGAAGAGGCGGGGTTGGTTTGGGTGTTAAATAAAAGGTAATTAGCGTAATTAAAGGTTAAATTATGTACTATAAATTAATCTGCATTAATATAAATATCAATATATTAAATTATTCAATAATTTTAAATAATTAATATTATGTTTTAAACATCAAATTTTTTAAATTAGGCACTATTTGCTTAGTTATTAGGAACTAAATTAATTAAATTATTGAATTAGTTATTAATTACTCAATTATTAAGTATTTTAATGTTATTAACTTGCTTTAATTAATGAGTGAATTTTGGATGGTAATGATCGGATTACCAATGCAAATTAGCTAATTAGAATAATCAATCAGCAGCCAGGAGCGGGACCGGGTTTAGAGCTATGCAAATGAGCTAATTAGCATACCCAATCAGTCAGGGGCAGGCTGTAGGTGGGTTAAGATGAGTTCAGGGCTATGCAAATGAGCTAATTAGCATACCCAATCAGCAGCCAGGGCCGGTGCGGAGGCGGACGGGGGCGGGATGAGTTCCTGTCTATGCAAATGAGCTAATTAGCATACCCAATCAAGCAGGGGCGGGCTGCAGGTGGGTGGGGATGAGTTCCTGTCTATGCAAATGAGCTAATTATCATGCCCAATCAGCAGCCAGGGCCATTGCTGAAGCGGATGGGGGCAGGATGAGTTAACGGCTATGCAAATGAGCTAATTAGCATACCCAATCAGCAGCCAGGGCCGGTGCGGAGGTGGACGGGATCGGGATGAGTTAATGTCTATGCAAATGAGCTAATTAGCATACCCAAACAGGCAGGGGTGGGCTGTAGGTGGGTGGGGACAAGCTAATGAATATGCAAATGAGCTAATTACCATACCCAATCAGGCAGGGGTGGGCTGTAGGTGGGCGGGGATGAGTTCCTGGATATGCAAATGAGCTAATTATCATGCCCAATCAGCAGCCAGGGCCAGTGTGGAGGCGGACGGGGGCGGGGATGAGTTCGTGACTATGCAAATGAGCTAATTAGAATACCCAATCAGCAGCCAGGGCCGGTTTTGTGGCAGACGGAGGCGGGATGAGTTCCTGTCTATGCAAATGAGCTAATTAGCATACCCAAACACGCAGGGGCGGGCTGTAGGTGGGTGATGATGATCTAAGGGTTATGCAAATGAGCTAATTAGCATACCCAAACAGGCAGGGGTTGGCTGTAGGTGGGTGGGGATGAGTTAAGAGATATGCAAATGAGCTAATTTACATACCTAATCAAGCAGTGGCGGGCTGTAGGTGGGTGGGGATGAGTTCCTGTCTATGCAAATGAGCTAATTAGCATACCCAAACGTGCAGGGGTGGGCTGTAGGTGGGTGGGGATGAGGTAATGTCTATGCAAATGAGCTAATTAACATACCTAAACAGGAAGGGGAAGGCTGTAGGTGAGTAGGGATGAGTTAATGGCTATGCAAATGAGCTAATTAGCATACCTAAACAGGCAGGGCAAGGCTGTAGGTGGGTGGGGATGAGCTATGGGATATGCAAATGAGCTAATTATCATGCCCAATCAGCAGCCAGGGCCGGTTTGGAGGCGGACGGGGGCGGGGCCGGCGCGGGGGGGCCCCGGAGGCGCCGCTGGGGGGCGACGGCGCCCAAGAGACCCTCCATCAGCATCAGCACCGACAGCCTCAAGGTAATTAACGATTTCTGCTAATTAACTTAATTACCGACCCGCGGGAAACGGTCACCGCTTTTACCCCGCACTTCTGGGCCAAAATTGGCCGTTTTTGGCCCAAAATTCACATTTTTGTCCATTTTTTTGGTTCAAGAATCGAAATATTTTCCCCTTATTTTTAACCTTAAAATCAGATTTTTTTTCTAGGTTTTTATAATTTTTTTTCCCCATTTTTTACATAAAAATTCCCCTTTTTTCCTCCCCATTTTTAGCCAAAATTCCCTTTTTTTTTCTCCCCAATTTTAGGCGATAATTATGATTTTTTTATCCATTTTTTTTCTATTTTTCCCCCCAAATTCCCTTTTTTCCCCCAATTTTACGCCATAATTACGGGTTTTTTTATCCATGTTTTCTTAATTTTTTGCTCAAAATTCCCCTCTTCTCCCTTAATTTTAGCCCAAAACTCCCATTTATTCCCATTTTTTTCAAAAAATTTGGATTTTTTTCCCCCATTGTTCTAGCCAAAAATCCCCATTTTTTTCCCCCACTTTAAAACCAAAAATCCAAACATTTTTTGCCCAATTTTAGCCCAAAATTCCATTTTTTTTCCGGTTTCTGGTCAAAATTCAGATTTTTTATCCCCATCTTTTACCTAAAATTCTTTTTTTCTCCCCCCGATTTTAGTCCATAATTACAATCTTTTTATCCATTTTTTCTGTATTTTTTGTTCAAATTCCACTTTTTCCCCCACATTTTAGCCCAAAATTCACTTTTTTTTCCTTAACTTTTTTTCAAAATTCTGATTTTTTTCCCAGTTTTTGCCCAAAATTCCCTTTATTTTCCATCAATTTTAGTCCAAGTATTTCCCTCATTTTTTGCCCAAACTTCATACTGTTTTTTCCCTACTAATTTCAGCAGAAAATTCAGAATTTGTCCTCATTTTTTAACCCAAAATTCAAAATTTTTTTACCCCTACTTTGAGCCAAAAATTCGCATTTTAAGTCCAAATTTCAAGTTCTTTCCCCCAATTTTTTCCTAAAATACAGAATTTTTTATGCCACTTTCCCCCAAAATTCCTATTTCCCCCCCCCCCATATTTTAACCCCAAAATTCCATTTTTTGTCTCTAATTTTACCCAAAATCCCCTTTTTTCCCCAAAATCCCATTTTTCCCTTTTTCCAGAGCCTGATCCCCGAAATCCGCGCGGGGGGCGGGGCCGAGCCCCCGGAGGGGGGCGGGGACAGCGCCGGGGGGGAGGGGCCGGAAGCGGAGGGGGATGGGCCGGACAAAGGGGGCGTGGCCTGTTCTGGCCCCGCCCCCGGCGCGGACCCGCCCCCGCTGCTGCTCCCCTCCCCCCACCTGAAGATCTGCCGCACCGTCACCCAGGTCAGGCCACGCCCCCCGACCGGAAACCACGCCCACTTTTCATAAACCACGCCCCTTTACCTATAAGCCCCGCCCCCTTTTTTACTCTGCCCTTCTAAGCCCCTCCCCACCATTTCAAGCCCCTCCCCATTTTCAGCCCCTCCCCTCCTCTTTTAGGCCCCTCCCCCATTTTATGCCCCTCCCCCAAACCAACCTCACCCTTTTAGGCCCCTCCCCACCATTAAGCTCCTCCTCTTTTAAGCTCCTCCCACACTTTTAAACCCATTTCCCTTTAAGCTCCTCTCCATCTTAAGACCCTCCCCCATTTTAAGCCCCTCCCCCACCCTTTAAACCCCTTCCAGTTTAATTCTCTCCTTTGTATTTTAAGCCCCTCCCCTTTTAGGCCCCTCCCCCACTCTTTAAACCCCGCCCATTTTAAGCCCCTCCCCTAGAATTTTAATCTCCTCCTTCTTTAAGCCCCTCCCCTTTTTTAAACCTTACCCATTTTAGGCCCCACCCCATTTTAAGCCACTCTCCAAAATTTTTAAGCTCCTCCCCATTTTTAAGCCCCGCCCCCACCTCTTTAAGCCCCTCCTTCACATTAAGCCCCTCCTTTTTTAAGCCCCTCCCCCACCCCTTTAAACCCCTCCTTCACAATTTAAAGTCCCTCTCCCATTTTAAGCCACTCCCCAATTTTAAGCCCCTCCCCCATTCTAAACCCCTCCCATTTTAAGCCCCTCCTCTTTTAGGCCCCTCCCACATTTCCAAGCCCCTCTCCCACCATTTAAGCCCCTCCCCCACTTATTAAACCCCTCCCATTTTAAGCCCCTCCTCTTTTAGGCCCCTCCCACATTTCCAAGCCCCTCTCCCACCATTTTAAGCCCCTCCCCCACTCTTTAAACCTTAACCTAATTAAGCCCCTTCACATTTTAAGCCACTCCCACCTTTCCAAACCCCCCACCACCCCTTTAAGCCCCTCCCCCACTCTTTAAACCCCTCCCCTTTTAAGCCCCTCCCCTCCCATTAAACCCCTCCCCTTTTAGGCCCCTCCCACCTATTTAAGCTTCACCCCCACTATTTAAACTCCTCCCCCTTTTTAAGCCCCTCCCCATTTTAGGTTCCTCCCCTTTATTTTAAACCGCTCCCATTTAAGCCCCTCCCATCTTAAGCCCCTTCCACTTTTCAAGCGCCTCCCCCACGATTTTAAGCCCCTCCCCCACCCATTTATGCCCCTCCCCCACTCTTTAAACCCCTCCCCTTTTAAGCCCCTCCCCTTTATTTTAAGCCCCACCCCCTTTCCCTAGCCCCTCCCCTTTTAAAGCCACACCCACCTTTAATTAAACCCCGCCCCCTTTTTAGAATTAATTTTTTAAAACTCCACCTACCTTTATTTAAGCCCCTCCTGCTTTATTAAGCCCCTCCCCCTTTAAGCTCCTCTTCTATTTTAACCCCCACCCCTTTTCCCAAGCCTTTCCCCTTTTCAAGCCCCACCCACCTTTAATTAAGCCCCACCTTTAATTAAGCCCCTCCCGTTTTCTAACCCCGCCCACCTGTGACTAAGCCCCACCCACCTTTAATTAAGCCCCAACTTTTAATTAAACCCCACCTTTAATTAAGCCCCGCCCACCTATAACTAAGCCCCACCCACTTTATATAATCCTCACCTTTAATTAAGCCCCGCCCACCTTTAATTAACCCCTGCAAGCTTTAATTAAGCCCTGCCCATATTTGATTAAGCCCCTCCCCTTTTTAAAGCCCCCTTTCAAACCCCACCCACCTTTCATTAGGCCCCTCCCCTTTCTCAAGCCCCGCCCCTTTTAAGGCCCCACCCCTTTCTGACTAAGCCCCGCCCCCTTTTGACAAAGCCACGCCCACCTCTGACTCGGCCCCACCCCTTTCTGACTAAGCCCCGCCCCCTTTTCACTAAGCCCCGCCCCTTTTCCAGGTGGTTCCGGCGCCGGGGGAGAACGGGCGGGGGGAGGGGCAGGAGGAGGAGGAGGAGGGGGCGGAGTCGGACGAAGGGGGCGGGGCCTGCAAGCCCAAGCCCCTCCCCCACCCCTCCACAAGCCCCGCCCCTTCCGGAGGGGGAGGGGCCACGCCGGGCCCCGCCCCTCCCCCCGCCGCGGCCACGCCCACATCCGGAGAGGGGGAGGGGAAAGGAGGTAAAAGGGGGCGGGGCTTGAGGGGGAGGGGCCTGAAATGCAAATGAGGTGCTTAAAAATGTCAGGGAGGGGCTTAAAAGGGTGGTGGGAGGGGTCTAAAATGCAAATGAGCTGTTTGAAAATGTGGGGGAGGGGCCAAAATGGTGGGGGAGGAACCTTAAATTGGGGGAGGGGTCAAAAATGCAAATGAGCTGCTTTAAAATGTGGTGGGAGGGGCTTAAAAGGGTGGTGGGAGTGGTCTAAAATGCAAATGAGGTGCTTGAAAATGTGGGGGAGGGACTTGAGAGTGTGGGGGAGGGGGTCAAAGGTGTGGGGAGGGGTCTAAAATGCAAATGAGATGTTTCAAAATGTGGGGGAGGGGCCGAACAGGGAGGGGGAGGGGCAAAAAGTGTGGTGGGAGGGGTCTAAAATGCAAATGAGGTGCTTAAGGAGGTGTGGGAGGGGCTTAAAGTAGTAAAGGAGGGACCAAAAAAAATGAGAGGGGTGTGGCCTAAAAATGCAAATGAGCTGCTTGAAATTGTGGGTGGGGACTGAAATAATGAGGAGGGGATTAAAATGTGGGGGAGTGGCCTAAAAATGCAAATAAGCTGCTTAAAAATGTGAGGAAGGAGCTTAAAATAAAGGGGAGGGACTTTAAAGTGAGTGGGAGGGGCCTGAAATGTAAATGAGCTGATTAAAAATGTGGAGGAGGGGCTTAAAATAAACAGGAGGGGCTTAAAGTTAGGGGGAGGGGCTTAAGACAAATGGGAAGGGCCTAAAATGTAAATTAGGTGTATAAAAATGTGGGGGAGGGGCTTAAAAAGGGCAGAGGGGCCTAAAGTGTAAATGAGCTGCATAAAAATGTGTGGGAAGGACTTAAAATGAGGGGGGGGGGCCTAAAATGTAAATGAGCTGATTAAAAATGTAGGGGAGGGGCTTAGAAGAAAGAAGAGGAGTTTAAATGAGAGGGAGGAGTCTAAAAATGTAAATGAGGGGCTTAAAATAAGGGGGAGGGACCTAAAATGTAAATCAGCTGAATAAAAATGTGAAGGAGGGGTTTAAATGAGGGGGAGGGGTGTAAAATGCAAATGAGCTCATTAAAAATTTGGGGGAGGGGCTTAAAAAGGGGGAGGGGCTTAAAAAGAGGGGGAGGAGACTAAAATTTCAATGAGGTGCTTTAAAATGTGGAGCAGGGGCTTAAAATAAAGAGGTGGGGCTAAAAATGTGGAGGAGGGGCCTAAAATTCAAATGAGCTCCTTAAAAATGTGGGTGAGGGGTTTAAGGAGGAGGGGCTTAAACTGAGAGGGAGGGGCCTAAAATGTAAATGAGCTGAATAAAAATGTGAGGGAGGGGCTTAAATTGTGGGGGAGGGGCTTAAAAAGAGGGGGAGGGGCTTGAGCATTTTGGTGGGCGGAGCCTAAAAAGGCGGGAAACTGATTTGTGGGCGTAACTTCTTTTAAAAACCCCCAAAAACGCCCCAAAACCACCGAAAATTTCGGGGTTTTTTGGGGCAATGATGTCATTTCTAAGCCCCGCCCCTTCCAGGCGAGGCCCCGCCCCCCAGGCGCTCCGGGGGCGCCCCCTGGCGGGGGGGAGGGGCGCTGCTGCTGCCGGTGGATGAGCCCGTGAGGGCGGCGCCGCGCCCCTCCCCCCCCCGCCAGCGCCCCTCCCCCATCGTGCACCTCTGCAACCTGGTGAGACTCGGATTTGGGGGGAAATTTCAGGATTTTGGGGTTTTGGGGGGATTTTGGGGGTTTAAGGGGATTTGGGGAGTTTGGAGTAGTTTTTTTTGGATTTCGGGGAAATTTTGGGGGGTTTTTGAATGGGGGAGGGGATTTGTGGGATTTTGAGGGGGTTTGGGGTCGTTTTTGGGGGATTTTGGGGAAATTTTGGGAGTTTGGGGTGGGGCAGGGGAATTTGGGTGGATGAAGGCATTTTTGGGGGGTTTGGGGTAGTTTTTGGAGGATTTCGGGGAAGTTTTGGGGTGGGGAAGGGGATTCTGGGGTGGGGGAAGGGATTTTTAGGAGGTTTGGGGGGCTTTGGGGTGGGGGAGGGGATTTGGGGGATTTTGGGGAAATTTTGGGGGGATTTTGGGGGGTTTGGAGTCGTTTTTTTGGGATTTCAGAGAAATTTTGGGGGATTTTGGGGGGTTTGGGGTCATTTCTGAGGAAATTTTGGGGGATTTTGGGTTGGGGAAGGGGATTTTGGGGGGTTTTGGGGCTTGTGGGGTGGGGGACGGGAGTTTTTGGGAGGTTTGGGGTCGTTTTGGGGGATTTTGGGGAAATTTTGGGGGTTTTGGGGTGGGGGAGGGGATTTTTGGGGGTTTGGGGTTGTTTTTGGGGAAATTTTGGGGGTTTTGGGGTTGTTTTTAGGGCATTTTGGGGGAGTTTGGAGGATTTTTGGGGTAATTATGGGGGATTTTGGAGGGTTTGGGGTCGTTTTGGGGGGATTTTTGGGGTGGGGGACGGGATTTTGGGGTGGGGAGGAGAATTCAAGTGGATTTGGGGGATTTCGGGGGATTTTTGGGGGGTTTTGGGGTGGGGGAGGGGATTCGGGGGATTTTGAGGAGGGGAAAGTGATTTTTGGGAGGGTTGGGGTCATTTTGGGGGATTTCGGGGAAATTTCTGGGAGTTTTCGGGTGGGGGAGGGGATTTTTGGGGATTTTGGGGTGGGAGAGGGGAGTTTGGGGGATTTTTTGGTTGGGGGAAGGGATTTTTGAGGGTTTGGGGTCTTTTTTGGGTATTTCTGGGAAATTTTTGGAGGTTTTGGGATGGGGGAGGGGATTTTGGACTGGAGGAAGGGATTTTAGGGGAGTTTGAAGGAATTTTGCAGATTTTGGGGGATTTTGGTGAGGGGAGGGCATTTTGGGGGAGTTTGGGGTCATTTTTTGGGGGGTGTGGGAAATTTTGGGGGTTTTGGGTGGGGGAAGGGGTTTTGGGGGAGTTTGGAAGAATTTTGGTTATTTTAGAGGATTTTGGGGTGGGGGAAGGGATTTTGGGGAAAATATTGGGGTTTTTTGTGTGAGGAAAGAATTTTGGGGGAATCTGGAGCAATTTTGGGGGATTTCAGGAAAATTTTGTGGGTTTTGGGGTGGGGAAAGGGATTTTGGGGGAGTTTAGAGGAATTTTGGAGAAATTTGGGGAAATTTTTGGGGATTTTGGGGTGGGGAGGAAATTTTGACGTGGGGTGGGGACTTTGGGGTCATTTTTGGGTCATTTTTTGGGTTCCGGGTGGGTCATTTTGGGCAATTTTTGGGTCGTTTTTCTCCATTTTTTGTTATTTTTGAGCCGTTTCCACCCCATTTTTTTCGGGATTTTTTTTGGGATTTTTTTTGGGGGGTGTGGTTTGGACTGACCACGCCCCCCCAAAACTGACCACGCCCCCCCAAAATTGACCACGCCCCATTTTTGGCCCCCCCAGGTGCGTCCGTTCACGCTGGGGCAGCTGAAGGAGCTGCTGGGCCGCACGGGGCGGCTCAAGGACGACGGATTTTGGATCGACCGCATCAAATCCCACTGCTTCGTCACGGTCAGGGCCCAAAAACACCCGAATTTAACCCAAAAATCCAAAAAAATTCATTACCCAAAAATTCCGAAAAAAAATCCGCAAAAAAAGCGCAAAAAACCCGCCAAAAATCCGCTTAAAATCGGCAAAAAAATGAAAAAAATCCACTAAAATTGTCCCAAAAAAATGCATTATTTTCCCTAAAATTTCTCCAAAACAAGTCTGGAAAAATCTGCAAAATTCTGCAAAAAAAAAAGAAATTCCCCCCAAAAAATCCCAAAATTCTGGGAAAAAATGGAAAAAATTTTTCAAAAAATGTCTGTAAGAAGCCCCAAAAATCTTTGAAATTACCAAAAAAAAATTCTCCGAAAATGTCTGGAAAGCCCCAAAAAAAAACCCCCAAAAATAAAAAAATCCTTCCAAAAATGCAAAACCTTAAAAAAATTCCCAAAAAATCTGCAATAAACCCCAGAAACCCCCAAAATTTACAAAATTTTGAAAAAATTTAATCACCAAAAATATCCCTGGAATTCTGCAAAAAATTCCCAAAAAACCCCCCAAAATCTGGATAAAATCGTCAAAATTTCTGCAAAAATTCCTCAGAATCATTCCCAAAAAAATCCTAAAAAATTCACAAATTTTTCCTTAAAAACCTCCAAAAATTCACTTTAAAACCCTCTAAAAACCCCAAATTTCGTCGGATTTTGTCTGGATTTTTCCCCAAAATTACAAATATTCTAAATTTTCCCCAAAATTCCCAAAATCTTTTTAAATCTTTTTAAAATGTTTGAAAAAAATCCCAAAAAATTCAGATTTCATCCTCAAAAACCCCTAAAAATTCCCTTTAAAACCCCGTAAAAAGCCCAAATTTGGTCGGATTTTCGCGGGGTTTTTTTTGGAGAATCCCAAATTTGGTGAATTTTCCCAAAATGTTGTTTTTTTGCCCCAGTACTGCTCGGTGGAGGAGGCGGTGGCCACGCGGGAGGCGCTGCACGGGGCCAGCCCCAAAATCCCCGAATTTTCCTGAAAATTCCTCAAAATTCCATCAAAAAAACTCAAAATTCCCAAAATTACCAAATTTTCCCAAAATTCCTGAAAAATTTTAGAAGTTCCCAAAAATCCTAAAATATTTTCTAAAATTCCTTTCTAAAAAATCACAAAAAAATTAGATTTTATCCTAAAAAATAGCTTAAAAAAATCCCTTTAAAAACTGCTAAAAAAACGAAATTTTACTAAATTTTCTCAATTTTATTTTTCTAAAATTCCAAAATTTCTTAAAAATTCCCAAAATTTTCTAAAATTCTCTGAAATCAGTCAGAAATATCCCAAAAAACCATGAAAAATTCACATTTTACCCTAAAAAGAAACCAACCAAAAATTCTCTTTAAAATCTCCTAAGAATCCCAAATTTTTCCAAATTTTCTTGGCATTTTTTCCCAAAATTCCCAAAAATTCCAAATTTTCCCAAAATCTTCCAAAATCCTCCAAAATCCTTCCAAACCTTTCAAAAAATCTATCGAAAAATCAAATTTTACTCTAAAAAAGACCCAAAAATTCCGTTTAAAACGCCGTAAAAAGCCCAAATTTGGTCGGATTTTCGCGGGGTTTTTTTTGGAAAATCCCAAATTTTGTGAATTTTCCCAAAATGTTGTTTTTTCGCCCCAGTACTGCTCGGTGGAGGAGGCGGTGGCCACGCGGGAGGCGCTGCACGGGGTCAAGTGGCCGCAGTCCAACCCCAAAGTTCTGGCGGCCGATTTCGCCCAGCAGGAGGAGGTCCGAGAATTTCGGGGATTTTGGGACATTTCGGGCGGATTTCGGGGAAATTTGGGCATTTGGGTGAAATTTGGGATTTTGGGGACAAATTTGGGGGGAAATTTGAGCATTTGGGGGGGAAATTTGGGGATTTTGGTGGGAAATTTAAGGATTTTGGGGGATTTTTAGGGGAAATTTGGGCAGTTTTGGGCGGAATTTGGGGGGAAATTTGGGGATTTTTGGAGGAAATTTCAGGCTTTGGGGGGGAAATTTGGGGGATTTTGGGGAATTTTTAGGGAGAAATTTGGGGATTTTAGGGGGAAATTTGGGATTTTTGGGGGGAAATTGGGGGATTTTGGGGGGATTTTTGGGAATTTCTTGAGGAAATTTGGGAATTTTTGGGGAAATTTTGGAATCTTGGGGGAGGAATTTCGGGATTTCGGGGGGATTATTTTAAGGGAATTTTGGGGGGGAAATTTGGGGATTTTTAGGGGATTTAGGGGGATTTTGAGGGAAAATATGGGGATTTTTGGAGGAAATTTGGGAATTTGGGGGGAAATTTTGGAATCCTGGGGGAGAAATTTGAGGAGTAAATTCTGCTATTTTGGGGGGGAAATTTTTGGATTTTGGGGCAAATTTGGGGATTTTGGGGGGAAATTTGGGGGTTTGGGGAATAATTTGGGGATTTTTGGGGAGGAATGTGGGGATTTTGGGGGGGAAATTTGGGGATTCTTGGGGGGAAGTTTGGGAAGTTTGGGGGAAATTTGGGCGGAATTTGGGGGTTTTGGGGGGAATTTGGGGGTAAATTTGGGGATTTTTATGGATTTTTGAGGAGAAATCTGGGGATTTTGGGGGAAAATTTGGGGGTTTTGGGGGGAAATTTGGGAATTTTGGGGAATTTTTGGGGAGGAAATTTGGGGATTTTAGGGGGGAAATTTGGGGATTTTGGGGGATTTTTGGGAAGGAATTTAAGGGTTTGTGGGGGAAATGTGGGGATTTTGAGGGAAATTTGGGAATTTTGGGGGATTTTTGAGGAGAAATTTGGGGGTTTGGGAGAGAAATTTGGGGATTTTTAGGGATATTTTGGGATTTTTATGGGATTTTGAGGGGGAAATTTGGGGATTTTGGAGGAATTTTGGAAAGGAATTTGGGGGTTGGCGGAATATTTGGGGATTTAGGGGAAAATTTGGGGATTTAGGGGGTAATTTGGGGATTTTTGAGGAGAAACTTTGGGGTTTGCAGGGGCAATTTGGGCATTTTTTAGGGGGAAATTTGGGGATTTTGGGGAATTTTAAGTATAATTTTGGGGGAATTTGGGGAATTTTGGGGAGAAAACTTTTGGGTGGAAAATCGTGTAAATCTCATGTACGAATCAGCAGATTAGGGGTAAAAACCCTTATTTTATGCAAATTTTATGCACATTTTATGCACATTTTATTCAAATTTTGCATTTTGGATGGAAATTTGGGGGTTATGAGGAGTAATTTGGGGATTTTGGGGGAAATTTGGGTATTTTGAATGGGATTTTGAGAATTTTTGGGGAAATTTGGTAATTCTGTGGGATTTTTTGGGGGAAATTTTGGGATTTTGGGGGGAAGTTTTGGGGTGATTTTCAGCGAGGAATTTGGGATTCTGTGTGGAGAAATTTAGGGGTTTGCAGGGAAATTTGGGGATTTAGGGGAATTTTGGCTATAATTTGTGGATTTTGAATGGGATTTTGGGAATTTCTGGGGAAATTTGGGAATCTTGGAAGATTTTTGAGGAGAAATCTGCGGATTTTTTAGGGACTTTTGAGGAGAAATTTGGGGAATAACTTGGGAATTTTTCGGGGAACTTTGGATATTATTTGGGGATTTTTGGGGAAATTTGGGGATTTTTGGGGAGAAATTTGGGGGATATTTGGGGAATAATTTGGGAATTTTTGGGGAATTTTTGAGGAGAAATTTGGGGATTTGGGGCAGGAAATTTGGTAATTTTGTGGAGAAAACTCTTGGGAGGAAAATTGTGTAAATCTCAAGTACAAATGAGCAGATCGGGGATAAAAAAAAAATAATCTTAATTTATGCAAATTTAATGCAAAACATATGTAAATTATATGCAAATTGATGCAAATTGCATGCAATTTTAACTAAATTTTTCATTTTTCCCACTCCAGCTGGACTTCCACCGCGGCCTCCTGGCCCCGCCCCCCTCCGGCTCTGGCCCCGCCCCCTTCCCTCCCCACTCGCGCCCCTCCCCCCCTTTCCCCGCCGGCCCCGCCCCCTCCGGGGGCTCAGGGGGCGTGTCCCCGCCGTGCCCCGCCCCCCGGGGGGCGGAGCCGTGGCAGTGGGCGGAGCGGGAGCGGGAGCGGCACCGGCGGGAGCGGGAGCGGTCGCGGGAACAGCGGGAGTGGGACCGCGGGAAGAGCCCCGCCCCCCCCGGAACGGCCCCCGGGACACGCCCCCCGGGGGGCGGGGCCAGCCAGGGACACGCCCCCTCGGGCAGGGAGGGGCGGGGCCAGCGCGGGACACGCCCACAGGGGGAGAAGGAGAAGGGGCGGGGCCAGAGGGAGGCGCGGCCCGAGAGGAAAGGTGGGCGGGGCTTAAAATAGGGGGGAGGGGCTTAATTTGGGGTGGGCGGAGCCTAAATGGGGGTGGGGTTTTTGTGGGGTGGGCGTGGCTTTTAAAGGGGGAGGGGCCTAAAATAGGGAGGGGCTTAATGGGGTGGTGGGTGGGGCTTAAAGAAATTGTGGGTGTGGCTTAAATGGGGGAGGGGCTTGAGGTGGTGGGCGGGGCTTAAAATTGGGAGGAACTTATGTAGGGTGGGCGGGGCCTAAAATGGGGGCGGGGTTTGTGTGGGGTGGGCGTGGCTAAAAAGGGTAATGGGTGTGGCTTAAATGGGGAGGGGCTTAATGGGGAGGTGGGAGGAGCTTAATGGGTGGTGGGTGTGGCTTAAAATAAGGGGAGGGGCTTAAACTGTGTGTGGGCGGGGCTTAATGGGTGGGGCTGGGGCTTATAATGTGGAGGGGCTTAATGGATTTTTGGGAAGGGATTTTTGGGGAGGAATTTTGAAGATTTTTGTGAGGGGATTTTGGAGGATTTTTGGGGAGGAATTAGAGGATTTTGGGCAATAATTTGCAGATTTTTGGGGGAAATTCAGGTTTTTGATGGGATATTTGGGGAGAAATTTTGGGATTTTGAGGGGGTAAATTTCAGGATTTTAAGGGGAAAGTTTCGGGATTTTGGGGGGGAAAATTTAGGATTTAGGGGAATTTTTGGAAGGGATTTCGGGGGATTTTTGAGGAGGAATTTAAGGATTTGGGGAAAATTTGGGGATTTTGGGGGGGAAATTTCGGGATTTTTGAGATTTTTGGGAAGGGATTTTGGGGTATTTTTGGGGAGGAATTTAAAGATTTTCGGGGAAATTTGGGAAATAAATTGGGGATTTCTGGGGGAAATTTCGGGGTTTTTGATGGGATTTTTGGGGAGAAATTTGGGGATTTAGGGGGGAAATATTGGAAGTTTGGGGGGAAATTTGGGAATCTTGGGGAGGAATTTGGGCATTTTGGGGGGGAAATTTCGGGATTTTCGGGGGGAAATTTCAGGATTTTGGGGGGAAATTTCGGGAATTTTTGGATTTTTGGGAAGGGATTTTGGGGGATTTTTGGGGAGGAATTTAAAGATTTTCGGGGAAATTTGGGAAATAAATTTAGGATTTTTGGGGAGCAATTTGGGGATTTTTGGGGGAAATTCAGGTTTTTGATGGGATTTTTGGGGAGACATTTGAGGATTTAGGGGGAAATTTGGGAATTTTGGGGGAAATTTGGGGAATAAAATGGGGATTTTTTTGGGGAGCAATTTGGAGATTTTTGGGGCAAATTTCGGGTTTTTGATGGGATTTTTTAGGAGAAATTTGGGTATTTTTGGGGAGAACAATTTTTTGGGGAGAATCGTGTAAATCTCACATACAAACAAGAAATGGGCGGGGCTTAAAAGATGTGGGCGGGGCTTAGAGATGTGGGCGTGGCTTAACATAGTGGGTGTGGCTTAAGGAGTGGTGGGCGGGGCTTAAATACCAACGGGCGACCTCTTCATTACCATATATGCAAATGGGAGTGACCTAAAGGAGAGTGGGCGGGGCTTAGAGGCCATATTTAAATGTGGGAGGGGCTTAAAATATGTGGGAGGGGCTTAACACCCATTCAACCTCATTAGCATAAAGTAGTGGCAGTTTAGGGTGGTGGGAGGGGTTTAATTATGCAATATGGTAATTTGGGGATTTTTGGGGGGCAATTTGGGGATTTTTGGGAGGAAATTTGGGGATTTTGATGGGATTTTTGGGGAGAAATTTGGGGGATTTGGATGTGGGAGGAGCTTAAAATTGTGGGAGGAGCTTAACACCCACTCAACCTCATTAGCATAAAATAGGAGCGGTTTAGGGCAGGGGAGGGGTTTAATTATGCAATATGGTAATTTGGGGATTTTTGGGGGTAATTTGGGGATTTTTGGGGGAAATTCAGGTTTTTGATGGGATTTTTGGGGAGAAATTTGGGGAATTTGGATGTGGGAGGAGCTTAAAATTGTGGGAGGAGCTTAATTCCCATAGAACCTCATTAGCATAAAATAGGAGCAGTTTATGGCTGTAAAATGGGGTTTAATTATGCAATATGCTAATTAGGGGTGGGAGGGGCTTAAATAGCGATGTGTGACCTCTTCATTACCATATATGCAAATGGGAGTGGCCTAAAAGAGAGTGGGCGGGGCTTAGCGGCCATATTTAAAAGTGGGAGGGGCTTAACACCCACTCAAGCTCATTAGCATAAAATAAGAGCGGCTTATGACTGTAAAATGGGGTTTAATGATGCAATATGCTAATTAGGGGTGGGAGGGGCTTAAATAGCGATGTGTGACCTCTTCATTACCATATATGCAAATGGGAGGGGCCTAAAGGAGACTGGGCGGGGCTTAGAGGCCATATTTAAATGTGGGAGGGGCTTAAAGTATGTGGGCGGAGCTTAATGTTTATTTCAGCTCATTAGCATAAAGTAGGAGCGGTTTAGGGCACTGGGAGGGGTTTAATTATGCAATATGGTAATTTGGGGATTTTTGGGGGGCAATTTGGGGATTTTTGGGGGGAAATTTGGGGAATTTTTGGGAAGAAAAATTTTTTGGGGAGAATCGTATAAATTTCATATGCAAAAAAGAAATGGGCGGGGCTTAGAGATGTGGGCGGGGCTTGGAGTTGTGGGCGGGGCCTAAAGTGGTGGGTGTGGCTTAAAGGATGGTGGGCGAGGCTTAAATAGCGATGTGTGACCTCTTCATTACCATATATGCAAATGGGAGTGGCCTAAAGGAGAGTGGGCGGGGCTTAACGGCCATATTGAAATGTGGGAGGAGCTTAAAATATGTGGGAGGGGCTTAATGCCCATAGAAGCTCATTAGCATAAAATAGGAGAGGGTTATGGCGGTGGGAGGGGTTTAATTATGCAATATGGTAATTTGGGGATTTTGGGGGGCAGTTTGGGGATTTTGATGGGATTTTTGGGGAGAAATTTGGGGAATTTGGATGTGGGAGGAGCTTAAAATTGTGGGAGGAGCTTAACGCCCACAGAAGCTCATTAGCATAAAATAGGAGCGGCTTAAGGCTGTAAGAAGGGGTTTAATTATGCAATATGTTAATTAGGGGTGGGAGGGGCTTAAATAGCGATGTGTGACCTCTTCATTACCATATATGCAAATGGGCGGGGCCTAAAGGAGAGTAGGCGGGGCTTAACAGCCATATTGAAATGTGGGAGGGGCTTAATGCCAATTCAACCTCATTAGCATAAAATAGGAGCGGCTTATGGCTGCAAAATGGGGTTTAATTATGCAATATGCTAATTAGGGGTGGGCGTGGCTCTGAGGTCACGGCCCCGCCCCTTTTGCCCCTCCTCCCCCCAGAGAAGCCCCCGGAGGAGCCGCCGGCGAAGCTGCTGGACGATTTGTTCCGCAAGACCAAAGCGGCGCCGTGCATCTATTGGCTGCCGCTGACCGACTCCCAGGTGCTCATTTGCATGCGTTTGCATATCGACCGACGGGGCCCGGGGGGGATTTGGGGGTGATTTGGGAGAAATTTGGGAGAAATTTGGAAGTTTTGAGTGGAAATTTCGGGATTTTGGTACAAACTTGTTGCATTTGGTTGATTTTGGGAGGAATTTGGGAATTTTCAGTGGAAATTTTTATTATTGGGGGACGTTTGGGCAATTTTGGGAGAAATTTTAGGTTTTGGGTGGAAATTGGGTATTTTTTGCGGAAGATTGGAATTTTGGGGGGACTTTTGGGTGGAAGTTTTTTCTTTTTGGGAAATTTGGGGGATTTGCAGGGAAATTTGGGGGTAAATTTGGAGTTCTGGGTGAAATTTGGGATTTCAGTGGGAAAATTGCCGAAGTATTACATAAAAACGCTCAAAACGGATGTAAAAAAATCCGATTTTTGGGGGTTGAAAAATGTGAATAATCCTGAAGATTTAAGGTGAAAAAAGGAGTAAATTTGGCTTTAAAAAAACTAAATTTTGGGGGGGGGAAATCTGCGTAAATTTCATGTATGAACAAACAGAACGTGCGTAAAAAAGTCTGTTTTTTTTGTGTTTAAAAAGCGGGAATTCCATGCAAAAATTTCTATTAATTTGGGAGGGGAGAGGGCAAGATGTACTTCCAAAAAACGGAATTTTGGGGGGAAAAAATCGCGTAAATTTCATGTATGAACAGGCATAAAAAAATCTAATTTTTTGGGTTTAAAAAATGGGAATTCCGTGGCAAAAAATTTATTAAATTGGGAGGGAAGAGGGCAAAATTTACTTTGAAAAAACTGAATTTTAGGGTGAAAAATCTGCATAAATTTCACGTATGAGCAAGCAGAATGGGCATAAAAAAATGTAATTTTTTTGGGTTTAAAAAACAGAAAATCCGTGGCAGAAAAATTTATTAATTTGGGAAGAGAGAGGTCAAATTTTGCTTTAAAAAATTGAATTTTGGGGAAAATTTATGTAAATTTTTGTGTAAAATGGGCATAAAAAATGTGATTTTTTCGGGGTAAAAAGCCCCAAATCCCCACTTACCCTCCCGCCCAATGGTGTGCGGCCCCGGGCTTTGCTCATTAGCATGAATTTGCATACACAGCTGCAGCAGAAGCAGGCGGAGCGCGCGGCGCGGGCGCGGGCTTTGCTCATTAGCATGAATTTGCATACACAGCTGCAGCAGAAGCAGGCGGAGCGCGCGGCGCGGGCGCGGGCTTTGCTCATTAGCATGAATTTGCATACAGCTGCAGCAGAAGCAGGCGGAGCGCGCGGCGCGGGCGCGGGCTTTGCTCATTAGCATGAATTTGCATACGCAGCTGCAGCAGAAGCAGGCGGAGCGCGCGGCGCGGGCGCGGGCTGGCTCATTTGCATACATTTGCATACGCAGCTGCAGCAGAAGCAGGCGGAGCGCGCGGCGCGGGCGCGGGCTTTGCTCATTAGCATGAATTTGCATACGCAGCTGCAGCAGAAGCAGGCGGAGCGCGCGGCGCGGGCGCGGGCTTTGCTCATTAGCATGAATTTGCATACAGCTGCAGCAGAAGCAGGCGGAGCGCGCGGCGCGGGCGCGAGCTTTGCTCATTAGCATGAATTTGCATACACAGCTGCAGCAGAAGCAGGCGGAGCGCGCGGCGCGGGCGCGGGAGCGGGAGCGGCGCCGGAAGGAGCAGGAGGAGGAGGAGCTGCGCACGCGCCAGGGGGGCGGGGCCAAGGAGGGCGGGGCCAAGGAGGGCGGGGCTTCCTCGGGCCCCGCCCACCCGCGCACTTCCGGGGGCGGGGCCGGAACCAGGGCGCCCCCCGGTGGCTCCTCCCGGAAGCGCCGCAGCCGCAGCCGCAGCCCCCGGCGGCGCTAAAGGGACCGAAATCCGCGGAATTCGGCCCAAAATCCGGGAATAAAAACGGAAAAATACAGAGAAGGTTTCAGAGGGTTTTTTTGGAGGGAAAACGGTGGATTTTGGGGAAAAATACGGTATTTTTGGAAAAAAAAAATCGGATTTTGGGGGAGGAAAATGGGATTTTTCGGGAAAAAAATGGGATTTTTGGGGATGGATTTGGAGGTTTTGGGGAAAATATTGAGAATTTTGGGGGAGAATTGTGGATATTTGGAAGAAAAAAGAAAATTTAGGGAGAAATTATGGATTTTTTGGAAAAAGATTGGATTTTGGGGAGAAAATGGAATTTTGAAGGTAAATCTGGGTTTTGGGGAAGAAATCAGGAATTTTTTGGGAAAAATTAGTATTTTTTAGGTGAGGTTAACGTTTTTGATGGAAAACCAGAAAATTTGAGGAGAATTTCTGGATTTTTGGGAAAAAGATTGGATTTTTGGGGGAAAAATGGGATTTTTTAGGGAAAAATGGGATTTTTGGGGAAAAATGGGATTTTTGGGGGGAAAAATGGGATTTTGGGGGAAAAATGGGATTTTGGGGAAAAAAAATGGGATTTTTGGGGGGAAAAATGGGATTTTTGGGGGGAAAAAATGGGATTTTTGGAGGTGGCTGTGGAGATTTTTGGGGAAAAATGGGATTTTGGGGAAAAATGGGATTTTGGGGGGAAAATGGGATTTTGGGGGGAAAAATGGGATTTTTGGGGGGAAAATGGGATTTTTGGGGGAAAAAATGGGATTTTCAGGAAAAAAATGGGATTTTTGGGGATGGATTTGGAGGTTTTTTTGGGGGAAAAGGTTGAGGATTTTGGGTGGAATTTTGGAATTTTTTTGGGGAAAAATACGGAATTTTGGGGGGAAAAAACGGGATTTTTGGTTAAAAAATGGGAGTTTTTGGGGGAAAAATGGGATTTTGGGGAAAAATGGGATTTTGGGGGGAAAAATGGGATTTTGGGGGGAAAAAATGGGATTTTTGGGGAAAAAAAATGGGATTTTTGGGGGGAAAAATGGGATTTTTGGGGGGAAAAAATGGGATTTTGGGGAAAAAAAATGGGATTTTTGGAGGTGGCTGTGGAGATTTTTGGGGAAAAATGGGATTTTGGGGGGAAAAAATGGGATTTTTGGGGGGATTTTGGGGAGGAAAATGGGAATTTTGGGGGGAAAATGGGATTTTGGGGGAAAAATGGGATTTTTGGGGAAAAATGGGATTTTGAAGGGAAAAATGGGATTTTTGGGGGGGAAAAATGGGATTTTGGGAAAAAACCAGGATTTTGGGGGGAAAAAAATGGGATTTTGGGGGAAAAAATTTGGGTTTGGGGGGAAAAATGGGATTTTGGGGGGAAAAATGGGATTTTGGGGGGAAAAATGGGATTTTTGGGGAAAAAATGGGATTTTTGGGGATGGATTTGGAGGTTTTTTTGGGGGAAAAGGTTGAGGATTTGGGGTGGAATTTGGGATTTTTTTGAGGGGAAATGGGGTTTTGGGGGGAAAAATGGGATTTTGGGGAAAAATGGGATTTTTGGGGGGAAAAATGGGAATTTGGGGGAGAAAATGGGATTTTGGGGGGAAAATGGGATTTTGGAAGGGAAAAACGGGAATTTTGGGGGGAAAAATGGGATTTTGGAAGGGAAAAATGGGATTTTTGGGGATGGATTTGGAGATTTTGGGGAGGAAAAGGTTGAGAATTTTGGGGGAGAATTGTGGATTTTTGAAAGAAAAAAGAAAATTTAGGGAGAAATTCTGGATTTTTTGGAAAAAGATTGGATTTTGTGGGGGGAAATGGGATTTTGGGGGAAAAAATGGGATTTTTTGGGGAAAAAAAGGGATTTTTGGGGATGGATTTGGAGGTTTTTGGGGAAAATATTGAGAATTTGGGGTGGAATTTGGGATTTTTTTTGGAGGGGGAAATGGGGTTTTGGAGGTAAGTCTGAGATTTGGGATAGAAATCGGGAGTTTTTTGGGGAAAATTTGGGGTTTTGGGTGAGATTTTGGATTTTTGGGGGGGAAATTGAGGATCTTGGTGGGAAATTGGGATTTTGGGAAAAAATTGGGAATTTTGGGGGGAAAAATGGGAAATTTGAGAGAAAATTAGGAATTTTGGAGGTAAATCTGGGATTTAGGAGTGAAATTGAGGATTTTTGGAAGAAAATAGAAAAATTCGGTGAGAAATTCTGGAGTTTTGGGAAAAAAATCGGATTTTTGGGGATGAATTGGGAGATTTTTTGGGGGGGGAAACGGAGTTTTCAAGGTAAATCTGGGATTTAGGGGTGAAATTAAACATTTTTGGAAGAAAATGGAAAATTTGGGGCGAAATTATTTATATTTGGGAAATAATTTGGATTTTTCGGGGCGAAATGGTGGTTTTGGGGGGGAAAATGGAGTTTTGGAGGGAAATCTGGGATTTAAGGGAGAAATTGGGAATTGATTAAAAAAATTGGGATTTTTTAGGTGAGGTTAAGGATTTTTGGGGGAAAACCAGAAAATTTGAGGAGAAATTCTGGATTTTTGGGGAAAAAATTGTATTTTGTGGGGGGAAATGGGAGTTTTGGGGAAAAATGGGATTTTGAAAGGGAAAAATGGGATTTTGGGGGGAAAAATGGGATTTTGGGGGGAAAAATGGGATTTTTGGGGGGAAAAAATGGGATTTTTGGAGGTGGCTGTGGAGATTTTTGGGGAAAAATGGGATTTTGGGGAAAAATGGGATTTTGGAAGGGAAAAATGGGAATTTGGGGGGGAAAAATGGGATTTTTGGGGAAAAAATACTGAATTTTTGGGGATGGATTTGGAGGTTTTTGGGGGAAAATGTTAAATATTGGAGGTGGAATTTGGGATTTTTTTGAGGGGGAAATGGGGTTTTGGAGGTAAATCTGGAATTTTGGGGGGAAATTTTGGATTTTTTGGGAAAAAAATTGGATATTGGGGGTGCAATTTGGAGTTTTTTTTGGGAAAAATGGAGTTTTTGAGGTAAATCTGGGATTTTGGGGAGAAATCAGGAATTTTTTGGGAAAAATTGGGGTTTTTCGGGTAAGGTTAAGGATTTTTTTGGGGGAAATTGAGGATCTTGGTGGGAAATTGGGATTTTGGGAAAAAATTGGGACTTTTGGTGGAAAAATTGGAAACTTGAAGGAAAATTTGAGATTTTTGAGAGAAAATCTGGAATTTTGGGGAAAATGGGAATTTGGGAGGAAATTCAGAATTTTTGGGGGGAAATCTGGAATTTTGGGGGGAATTGAGGATTTTTGAAAGAATGGAAAATTTGGGGAGAAATTCTTGATTTTTGGTTAAAAATTTTGATTTTGGGGGAGAATTGGGGATTTTTAGGAAAAAATGGAAAACTTGGGGGGAAAATTGGGGATTTTGAAGGTGAAATTGTGTTTTTTAATTGAAAAATGTGGAATTTTTTGGGAAATAGGGAATTTTGGGGGTAGTTCGGAGTTTTGGGGCTGGAAATGTGGGATTTTAGGGAACTTTGGAATTTTGGTGGAAAATTTGGGCTTTTTTTTGGAGGAATTTGGGGATTTGGGGTGGAAATTTTGGGGTTCTGGGGAAAATGAGAAAATTTGATTTAAATTTGTTGTGAAAAATTTGGGTCAAAAACCTCAAATCCCGATGGCGAACACAAGAATTGGATCCAAAACCCCAAATCTGGGTAAAAAACGTGAAAATTCGGAGACGTTTGGGTGAAATTTGGATAAAATGACCAAAAATTGAGGCTGGGGAGAAATTTGGGGGAATAAATGGAATTTTGGGGGAAATAAATGGAATTTTTGGGACCCTGGGGATAAACCACGGCGTTCTGGGCGGGTTTGGGTGGATAAAATGGAATTTTGGGGGTAAAAATTGGAATTCTTGGGTAAAAAATTGGAATTTTGGGGGCATTTTGAGTGGCGGGCGCTTGTGAGTAAATTCTCGCTTCCCATTGGCCGCCGGGCCTGTCAATCATAGATTTCATGGCTGCCATTGGTTAATTCCCCTTGTTAAGGCGGGACGCGCGTAATCCCGCCTTTCTCCTTCCCTATTGGTCAGTTTATCTCCTTTCCGCAATCTGATTGGTTGCAGTACTTGTCAATCATTTCTTCACGGCTGCGCGGGAGTATTTCCGCGTTGGGCGGGACTTTCTCGGCTTCTCGCCTTTTGATTGGCCGCCGAGTGGCGCGGCGCGCTCTGATTCGCTTTTAAAGCTGTCAATCATTTCCTCCCCGCTGTCTGCTGAGGGCGGGACTCTTTCGCGCTTCTCGCGCTCTGATTGGTTCATGAGCGGGACTCTTCCGCGTTTCTCGCGTTCTGATTGGTCGCTGCGTGGCGGGCCGCGCTCTGATTGGCTGTTCATTTCCCCCTCACGCTCATTCCCAACATGGCGGCGTCGGAGGCGGTCGCGCTGCTGGAGACGCTGCGGGCGCAGGTCAGACCCCAAAAAACCCCCAAAAAACCCCAAAAAAACCCCAAAAAACCCCAAAAAAGGCTCGATTTGCCCCAAAATGACGATTTGGGGCCGTGCAGGCGGCGGAGGTGGCGGCGCACGGGCGGGAACTGCTGCGGAGAGTGCGCGGGGGGCGCCTGGAGACCAGAGAGGTACCGGGGGGGGGAAAGGGGATTTTGGGGGAATTTCGGGGAATTTTGGGGTTCCTGAGAGGATTTTGGGGTCCCTGAGGGGATTTAGGGGTGAATTTTGGGGAATTTTGGGGTCCCTGAGGGGATTTTGGGGTTTTCAAAGGAATTTTAGGGGGAATTTTGGGGGATCCTGAGGGGATTTGGGGGTCCCTGAGGGGATTTGGGGTCCCTGAGGGGATTTGGGGTTTTTAAAGGGATTTTTGGGTTGAATTTGGGGATTTTTTAAAGGGATTTTGGGGTTCCTGAGGGAATTTTGGGGTGAATTTGGGGGAATTTTGGGGGGTCCTGAGGGGATTTGGGGTTTTTAAAGGAATTTTGGGGTGAATTTGGGTGAATTTTGGGGGGTCCTGAGGGGATTTGGGGTTTTTTAAAGGGATTTTTGGGGTGAATTTGGGGGAATTTTGGGGGGTCCTGAGGGGATTTTGGGGTGAATTTGGGGGAATTTTGGGGTCCCTGAGGGGATTTTAGGGTCCCTGAGGGGATTTTGGGGTTTTTAAAGGAATTTTAAGGTGAATTTGGGGGAATTTTGGGGTTTTTAAAGGGATTTTCGAGGGAATTTGGGGGAATTTTGGAGGTTCCTGAGGGGATTTTGGGGTCCCTGAGGGGATTTGGGTTTTTAAAGGGATTTTTGGGGTGAATTTGGGGGAATTTTGGGATTCGTGAGGAGATTTTTGGTTTTTAAAGGGATTTTTCGGGGAATTTTGGGGTCCCTGAGGGGATTTTGGGGGTTTTAAAGGGATTTTGGGGGTAATTTTGGGGGGTCCTGAGGGGATTTTGGGGTCCCTGAGGGGATTTTGGGGTTTTTAAAGGGATTTTGGGGTTTTTAAAGGGAATTTGGGGCTTTTAAAGGGATTTTGGGGTGATTTTGGGGGAATTTTGGGGTCCCTGAGGGGATTTTGGGGTCCCTGAGGGGATTTGGGGTTTTTAAAGGGATTTTTGGGGCGAATTTGGGAGAATTTTGGGGTCCCTGAGGGGATTTGGGGTTTTTTAAAGGGATTTTGGGGTGAATTTGGGGGAATTTTGGGGTCCCTGAGGGGATTTGGGGTTTTTAAAGGGATTTTTGGGGTGAATTTGGGGGAATTTTTGGGGGTCCTGAGGGGATTTGGGGGTCCCTGAGGGGATTTCGGGTTTTTAAAGGGATTTTTGGTGTGAATTTGGGGGAATTTTGGGCGGTCCTGAGGGGATTTTGGGGTCCCTGAGGGGATTTTGGGGGTTTTAAAGGGATTTTGGGGTGAATTGGGGGATTTTGGGGTGGATTATTGGGCAGAATCTGGGGAATTTTTGGGTGGATTTTTGGGGTGAATTTGGGGGATTTTTGGGTGGATTTTTGGGCTGAATTTTGGTTAAAGTTTGACAGAATTTCGCGGTGACTTTTGGGCTGAGTTAGTGGAATTTTGGGGCTGAATTTTGGGGTGAATTGGGGGATTTTTGAGTGGATTTTTGGGGTTAATTTGGGGACTTTAAGGGTGGATTATTGGGGTGAATTTGGGGGATTTTTGGGATGGATTTTTGGGGTGAATCCGGGGATTTTTGGGGTGGATTTTTGGGGTGAATCGGTGGATTATTGGGGTGGATTATTGGGGTGAATTGGGGGATTTTTTGATTTGATTTTTTGGGTGAATCCAGGGATTTTTAGGTCGATTTTTGGGGTGAATTGGGGGATTTTGGGCGTATTTTTGGGGTGAATCTGGGAGATTTTTGGGGTGTATTTTTGGGCTAAATGTGGGGGATTTTTGGGCGGAATTTTGGGGTGAATTTTGAAGTTTTTTGGGTTAAATTTGACAGAATTTCAGGATAAATTTTGGAGTATTTCGGGCAGGATTTTTGGGTTAAATCTGACGGAATTTTGGGATGAATTGGGGGAATTTTGGGGTTGATTTTTGGGGTGAATTGTGGTGTTTTTGGGGTGGATTTTTGGGGTGAATTGGGGTGTTTTTAGGTTGATTTTTGGGGTGAATTGTGGTGTTTTTGGGGTAAATCTGGGGGATTTTTGGGTGGATTTTTGGGGTGAATTGGGGGATTTTTGGGATGAATTTTTGGGGTGAATCGGGGTGTTTTTGGGTCCGCAGGGGCTGTCCCTGCTGGAGCTGCGGCCGCAGCTGCTGCTGACGTATTTTGGGATGAATTGTGGTGTTTTTAGGTTGATTTTTGGGGTGAATTGTGGTGTTTTTGGGATGATTTTTGGGGTGAATTGGGGGATTTTTGGGTGGAATTTTGGGGTGAATTTTGGGCTGAGTTAGTGAAATTTTTAGGTTGATTTTTGGGGTGAATTGTGGTGTTTTTGGGGTGGATTTTTGGGGTGAATTGTGGTGTTTTTGGGTCCGCAGGGGCTGTCCCTGCTGGAGCTGCGGCCGCAGCTGCTGCTGACGTATTTTGGGGTGAATCTGGGGGATTTTGGGGTAGATTTTTGGGTTAAATCTGACTGATTTTTGGGGTGAATTGTGGTGTTTTTGGGTCCGCAGGGGCTGTCCCTGCTGGAGCTGCGGCCGCAGCTGCTGCTGACGTATTTTGGGATGAATTGTGGTGTTTTTAGGTCGATTTTTGGGGTGAATTGTGGTGTTTTTAGGTTGATTTTTGGGGTGAATTGGGGTGTTTTTAGGTTGATTTTTGGGGTGAATTGTGGTGTTTTTGGGGCTGAATTTTGGGGTGAATTTGGGGGATTTTGGGCTGAATTCAGGAGTTTCAGTGCCCTGCAGTGACTCCTCCCGGCCACCAGGGGGAGCCGCTACTTCGGCCTAAATTTGCGTTAAATTTGACAGAATTTCGGGCTGAATTTTGGAGTATTTTGGGCGGGGTTTTTGGGTTAAATCTGACAGAATTTTGGGGTGAATTGTGGTGTTTTTGGGTCCCCAGGGGCTGTCCCTGCTGGAGCTGCGGCCGCAGCTGCTGCTGACGTATTTTGGGGTGAATTGGGGGATTTTTAGGCTGAATTTTGGGGTGAATCTGGGTGTTTTTGGGTCCGCAGGGGCTGTCCCTGCTGGAGCTGCGGCCGCAGTTGCTGCTGACGTATTTTGGGGTGAATTGGGGGATTTTTAGGCTGATTTTTGGGGTGAATTGGGGGATTTTTAGGTTGATTTTTGGGGTGAATTTTGGAGCATTAGGGGCGGGATTTTTGGGTTAAATCTGACGGAATTTTGGGATGAATTAGGGGAATTTTGGGGCTGATTTTTGGGGTGAATTGGGGAATTTTTGGGGTGGATTTTTGGGGTGAATTGGGGTGTTTTTAGGTTGAATTTTTGGGGTGAATTGTGGTGGTTTTGGGTCGCAGGGGCTGTCCCTGCTGGAGCTGCGGCCGCAGCTGCTGCTGACGTATTTTGGGGTGAATTGGGGGATTTTTAGGCTGAATTTTGGGGTGAATCTGGGTGTTTTTGGGTCCGCAGGGGCTGTCCCTGCTGGAGCTGCGGCCGCAGTTGCTGCTGACGTATTTTGGGGTGAATTGGGGGATTTTTAGGCTGATTTTTGGGGTGAATTGGGGGATTTTTAGGTTGATTTTTGGGGTGAATTGTGGTGTTTTTGGGGTGGATTTTTGGGGTTAATTGGCTGATTTTGGGGCTGAATTTTGGGGTGAATTGGGGTATTTTTAGGTTGATTTTTGGGGTGAATTGTGGTGGTTTTGGGGTGGATTTTTGGGGTGAATTGGGGTGTTTTTGGGGTGGATTTTTGGGGTGAAGTGGAGGATTTTTGGGTGGATTTTTGGGTGAATTGGAGGATTTTTGGGTGGATTTTTGGGGTTAATTTGGGGACTTTCGGGGTGAATCCGGGAATTTTTGGGGTGGATTTTTGGGTGGATTTTTGGGTGAATTGGAGGATTTTTGGGGTGGATTTTGGCCTGAACTTGAGTTAAATTTGACGAAAATTTGGGATGAATTTTGGAGTATTTTGGGCGGGATTTTTGGGTTAAATTTGACGGAATTTCGGGGTGAACTTTGGAGTATTTTGGGCAGGATTTTTGGGTTAAATCTGACGGAATTTTGGGGTGAATTGTGGTGTTTTTAGGTTGATTTTTGGGGTGAATTGTGGTGTTTTTAGGTTGATTTTTGGGGTGAATCTGGGTGTTTTTGGGTCCGCAGGGGCTGTCCCTGCTGGAGCTGCGGCCGCAGTTGTTGCTGACGTATTTTGGGGTGAATTGGGGTGTTTTTGGGATGAATTTTGGGGTGAATTGGGGTGTTTTTGGGCCGCAGGGGCTGTCCCTGCTGGAGCTGCGGCCGCAGCTGCTGCTGACGTATTTTGGGGTGAATCTGGGGGATTTTGGGGTAGATTTTTGGGTTAAATCTGACTGAATTTTGGGGTGAATTGGGGTGTTTTTGGGTCCGCAGGGGCTGTCCCTGCTGGAGCTGCGGCCGCAGCTGTTGCTGACGTATTTTGGGGTGAATTGGGGTGTTTTTGGGGTGGATTTTTGAGGTGAATTGGAGGATTTTTAGGTTGATTTTTGGGGTGAATCTGGGTGTTTTTGGGATGAATTTTTGGGGTGAATCTGGGTGTTTTTGGGTCGCAGGGGCTGTCCCTGCTGGAGCTGCGGCCGCAGCTGCTGCTGACGTACCTGCAGGACCTGACGCTGCTCGCCGGCTCCAAGGCCCGGGGGGGGTCCCTCGGCCTCCAGGGGGCGACGCTGGGGCGGCTGCTGGAGACCCGCGTGGTGAGAGACTTTTGGGGCGAAAAACGGCGGTTTTGGGCAAATTCGGGGAAATTTGGGCGATTTTTGGGGAAATTTGGGCGATTTTCAGGGGGGGTTTTGGTGGGGAATTCCAGGGAATTTGGGCCGATTTCAGGAGGTTTTGGGGGAAATTTTGGGGGTTTTGGGTCAATTCAGGTGGAATTCTGAGGGGTTTGGGGGGAATTCTGGGGGTTTTGGGAAAATTTCGGGGAATTCTGGGGGTTTTGGGAAAATTTGGAGAAATTTGGGCGATTTTCAGGGGAGGAATTTGTGTAAATCTGGGAGGGGTTTGGGCAAATTTTGGGAGGTTTGGGGGAGGAATTCTGGGGAATTCTGGGAAATTTGGGGGGAATTCTGAGGGATTTGGGGGAATTCTGGGGGTTTGGGGAAATTTTTGGGGGAATTCTGAGGGATTTTGGGCAAATCTGGGGAAATTTGGGTGATTTTCAAGGGGGGAATTTGTGCAAATCCAGGACGGGGTTTAGGCAGATTTGGGGAGGTTTTGGGGGGAATTGTGGGGAATTTGGGTCAATTCGGGGGGAATTCTGGGGGATTTTGGGGTGAAATCCGGCGATTTTGGGAAAATTCGGGGAGTTTTGGGGGAAATTTGGGCGATTTTCGGGGGGGGATTTGTGCAAATCCATGACGGGGTTTGGGCAAATTTTGTGAGGTTTGGGGGGAATTCTGGGAGGTTTTGGGGGAATTCTGGGGAATTTGGGGAGAATTCTGGGGGTTTCAGGAAAATTTTGGGCAAATTCGGGGAAATTTGGGCGATTTTCGGGGAGGGGAATTCTGGGGAATTTGTGCAAATCCGGGAGGGGGTTGGGGGGAATTCTGGGGGATTTGGGCAAATTCTGGGAGGTTTTGGGGGGAATTCTGGGGAATTTGGGGGGAATTCTGAGGGATTTTGGGGGAATTCGGGGAAATTTGGGCGATTTTCGGTGGGGGAATTTGTGCAAATCCAGGACGGGGTTTGGGGGGAATTCTCGGGAATTTGGGGGTATTTCTGAGGGATTTTGGGGAAATTCTGAGGGTTTTGGGAAAATTTTGGGGGAATTTTTGGGGTTTTGGGCAAATTTGGGCAAATTTGGGCGATTTTCAGGGGGGGAATTTGTGCAAATCCATGACGGGGTTTGGGCAAATTTTGGGAGGTTTTGGGGGAATTCTGGGGAATTTGGCGGAAATTCCGAGGGATTTTGGGGGAATTCTGGAGGTTTTGGGAAAATTTTGGGGGAATTCTGGGGGTTTTTGGGGAAATTTGGGATCCTGGGTGGGATTTTAGAGAATTCGGGGGGTTTGGGTGGGATTTTTGGGACAATTTTGGTATTTCTGTGGAATTTTGGGATCCTGGATGAGATTTTGGGATCCTGGATGGAATTTTTGGGACAATTTTGTGATTTTTGGGTGGAATTTTGGGATTTTGGGAGGAATTTTGTGATTTTGGGTCAATATTGTGATTTTTGGGTGGAATTTTGGAATTTTTTGGGGGAATGTTGGGATTTTAAGGCAATTTTATGATTTTTGGGTGGAATTTTGGGATTTTTGGAGGGAATGTTATGATTTTGGGTCAATTTTGTGATTTTTGGGGAACTTTGGGATCCTGGGTGGGATTGTAGAGAATTTGGGGATCTTGGGTGGAATTTCTGGGAAAATTTTGGTATTTCTGTGGAATTTTGGGATCCTGGATGAGATTTTGGGATCCTGGATGGGATTTCTGGGTGGAATTTTGGGATTTTTGGGGGAATGTTGGGATTTTTGTCAATTTTGTGATTTTCGGGTGGAATTTTGAGGGAATGTTGGGATTTTGGGACAATTTTGTGATTTTTGGGTGGAATTTTGGGATTTTTTGGGAAAATGTTGGGATTTTGGGTCAATTTTGTGATTTTTGGGGAACTTTGGGATCCTGGGTAGGATTTTAAAGAATTCGGGAATTTTTGGGACAATTTTGGTATTTCTGTGGAATTTTGGGATCCTGGATGAGATTTTCAAATCCTGGATGAAATTTTTGGGTGGAATTTTGGGATTTTCAGGTGGAATTTTGGGATTTTTGGGGGAATTTTGGGATTTTGGGTCAATTTTACGATTTTTGGGTGGAATTTTGGGATTTTTGGGGGAATGTTCAGATTTTGGATCAATTTTGTGATTTTTTGGGGGAATGTTGTGATTTTGGCTCAATTTTACGATTTTTGGGTGGAATTTTGGGATTTTTGGGGAAATGTTCAGATTTTGGGTCAATTTTGTGATTTTTGAGTGGGATTTTGGGGAAAAATGTTGTGATTTTGGGTCAATTTTGTAATTTTCGCTGGAACTTCAGGATCCCGGGTGGGACTTTCGGGATTTTACCAAATTCGGGATTTTTTGGGGGTGAATTTCGCTCCCCGGCCCCGCCCCTGACCGAAGCCCCGCCCCTTTTGCAGGTGCTGGAGAAGCTCCGCCCCCTGGAGCAGCGGCTGCGACACCTCCTGGAGAAGCTGCTGAGGGCGGCGGCCGCGGGGGGGCGTGGTCAGTGCCGGCCCCGCCCCCTTCCTGACCACACCCACCTATTTCCATTGATCCCCTTTGATTGACAGCTGTCAATCACCCACAGGCGCCGAGGACCCGCTCAGCTTCCGCCCCGCCCCCTTCAACATGGCGGCGCAGGTGAGGGCGGGGCTTGGGGTGAAGGGGCGGGGCTTAAGGGGGAAGGGGCGGGGCTTAAGAGGAAATACGCAAATTCACCCAAAATTCACGTAAAATTCACCTAAAATCAACCCAAAATTCCATCAAAATATACCCAAAAGTCCATCAAAATTCCATCAAAATTCACCCTAAATCAACCCAAAATTCACCCAAAGTTCCATCAAAATTCACCCAAAATTCCCCCAAAATTCGCCCCAAATTCACCCCAATTCCATCGAAATTCACCCGAATTCACCCAAAATTCCATCAACATTCACCCAAAACCACTCCAAATTCGCCCAAAATCCCATCAAAATTCACCCAAAATTCCATCACAATTCACCCAAATTCAACCCAAAATTCCATCAAAATTCACCCAAAATTCCATCAACAATCACCCAAAATCAATCCCAAATTCACCCAAAATCCCTTTAAAATTCACCGAAAATCAACCCAAAATTCACCACAAATTGACCCAAATTTCCTTCAAAATTCACCCAAAATTCCACCAAAATTCACCCCAATTCCATCAAATTTCACCCAAATTCACCCAAAATTCACCAAAAATCCCATCAAGATTCACCCAAAATCCCATCAAAATTCACCCAAAATCCCATCAAAATTCACCCTAAATTCCACCAAAATTCTACCAAAATTCGCCCCAAGTTCACCCCAATTCCATCGAAATTCACCCAAATTCACCCAAAATTCCATCAACATTCACCCAAAATCAACCCAAAATTCCATCAAAATTCACCCAAAATCCCATCAAGATTCACCCCAAATCAACCCAGAATGATCCCAAAATTCCATCAAAATTCACCCCAATTCCATCGAAATTCACCCAAAATTCCATCAAAATTCACCCAAAATTCCATTAACATTCACCCAAAATCAACCTGAAATTCACCCAAAATCAACCCGAAATTCACCCCAAATTCACCCAAAATCCCATCAAAATTCACCCAAAATCTTCCCAAAATTCACCCCAAATTCACCACAAATTGACCCGAAATTCCATCAAAATTCATCCAAAATCAACCCAGAATTCACCCAAAATTCCACCAAAGTTTACCCAAAATTCACCACAAATTACCCAAAATTCCATCAAAATTCACCCAAAAGGACCCAAATTTCATCCCAAATTCACCCAAAACTCCATCAAGATTCACCTAAAATTAACCCAAAATTCACCTGAAATTCCATCAAAATTCACCCAAAATCAACCCAAAATTCCGTCAAAATTCACCCAAAGTTCCATCAAAATTCACCCAAAATTCCACGAAAATTCACCCCAATTCCATCAAAATTCACCTAAATTCACCCAAAATTCCATCAACATTCACCCAAAGTCAACCCAGAATGATCCTAAAATTCCACCAAAGTCCACCCAAAATTCACCCAAATTCTTCCAAAATTCACCCAAAATCCCATCAAAATTCACCCAAAACTCCATCAAGATTCACCCAAAATCAACCCAAAAATCACCCAAAATTCACCCAAAATTCCATCAAAATTCACCCCAAAGTGGGCGTGGCTTAAGGGAAAAGTGGGTGGGGCTTAAAGGTTTAAATGGTGTCATTTAAGGGGTTAAATGGGCGTGGCTTAAGGGAAAAGTGGGCGGGGCTTAAAGGTTTAAATGGTGTCATTTAAGGGGTTAAATGGGCGTGGTTAAAGGGTAAAGTGGGCGGGGTTTGAGTGCTGTGGGCGTGGCCTGAGTGGGCGTGTCCCGCAGGATGAGGAGGAGGAGGATGATGAAGGCCGAGGGGGCGGAGCCAAAGCGCCGGGGCTGGGGGGGGGGCGGCGCTACGTCCCCCCACGCCTGGTGCCCGTGGCCTGCGGTGAGTGACCCGAAATCGCACGAAATGCACCCAAAATCCACCCGAAATTCACCTGAAATCATCCCAAAATTCACCTGAAATCATCCCAAAATTCTATCGTAATTCCACCAAAATCCACCCGAAATCATCCCAAAATTCACCCAAAATCGTCCCGAAATTCACCCAAAATCCACCCGAAATCATCCCAAAATTCCATCAAAATTCCACCAAAATACACCCCAAATCACCCCAAAATCATCCCAAAATTCACCCAAAATCATCCCAGAATTCCCTCAAAATTCCACCAAAATTTATCCCAAAATTCCACCAAAATACATCCCAAATCATCCCAATATTCACCCAAAATCAACCCAAAATTCACCCAAAATCGTCCTGAAATTCACCCAAAATCCACCCGAAATCATCCCAAAATTCACCTGAAATCTTCCCAGAATTCCACCAAAATTCACCCCAAATCATCCCAAAATCACCCGAAATCATCCCAAAATTCACCTGAAATCACCCCAAAATTCACCCGAAATCATCCCTAAATTCACCTCCAATCATCCCAAAAATAACCGGCAATTCATCCCAAAATTACCCAAAATCATCCCAAAATCATCCCAAAATTCACCCAAAATCATCGCAAATCATCCCAAATTCACCCCAAAATTCACCTGAAATCATCCCAAAATTCCATCAAAATGCCACCAAAATTCACCCCAAATCATCAAAAAATCACCCGAAATTCACACAAAATCATCCCGAATTTAACCCAAAATCATCCCAAATTTAACCCAAAATCATCCCAAATTTAATCCTAAATCCACCTGAAATCATCCCAAATCTCCATCAAAATTCATTCAAAATCATCCAGAAATTCAACCAAAATATCCCAAAATCCACCCAAAATTCCCCCCAATCATCCCAAAATTGCATCAAAATTCACCCGAAATCATCCCAAAATTCACCCCCAATCATCCCAAAATTCCATGAAAATTCACCCCAAATCATCCCAAATTTCACCCAAAATCATTCCAAAATTCCACCAAAATTCCATCAAAATTTATCCCAAAATTCCATCAAAATTCACCCAAAATTCACCCAAAATTCACCCGAAATTCACCCCAAATTTCACCCAAAATTCCATCAACATTTTTGCCGTTTTTTCCCATATTTCCCCCATTTAATTCCCATTTTTTCCCTTTTTTTTTAACCATTTTCACCCTTTTTAACCCCACTTTAAACCCATTTTTTCCCCTTTTATCTCCATATTTCAGCCTCATTTTCAGCCATTTTAACCCCATTTTTTCCCCGAATTTCACCGTTTTTTTACCGTTTTTTCCCCAAATTTCACCATTTTTTCGCCATTTTCCCCTTTTAACCAATATTTCCGTTTTTCACCCCATTTCAGACCCCCCGGAGGAGCCGGAGCAGCGTTCCCGACTCCGCGCCCGGCGCCGGGCCCTGACCCTGTTCGGACGCCACTTTTCCCTTTTCCCCCATTTTAATCGAATTTTTTACCATTTTCTCCCTTTTTTTCGCCTTTTCCCCATTTTTCTCATTTTTAACCATTTTCACCCTTTTTAAACCCATTTTAACCCCATTTTAGCCCCACTTTAACCCCATTTTTTCCCTTTTTATCTCCATATTTCAGCCTCAATTTCCGCCATTTTAACCCCGTTTTTTACCCGAATTTCACAGTTTTTTCGCCATTTTTTCACCGTTTTTTACCCGAATTTCACCGTTTTTTCGCAGTTTTTTCCTATTTAACCAATATTTCCGTTTTTCACCCCATTCCAGACCCCCCTGAGGAGCCGGAGCAGCGTTCCCGCCTCCGCGCCTGGCGCCGGGCCCTGACCCTGTTCGGACGCCACTTCTCCCCCATTTTTTCCCCAAATTTCACCGTTTTTTCGCCATTTCTTACCCGAATTTCACCGTTTTTTCACTGTTTTTTCGCCATTTTTTCCTATTTAACCAATATTTTCGTTTTTCACCCCATTTTAGACCCCCAGGAGCAGCCGGAGCAGCGTTTCTGTCTCCGGGCCCAGCACTGGGCCCTGACCCTGTTCGGACGCCACTTCTCCCCTGTTTTTTACCCAAATTTCGCCGTTTTTTCACCATTTTTTCTCCAAATTTCACCATTTTTTCACCGTTTTTCCCCTTTTAACCAATATTTCCGTTTTTCACCCCATTTCAGACCCCCCTGAGGAGCCGGAGCAGCGTTCCCACCTCCGGGCCCAGCGCCGGGCCCTGACCCTGTTCAGACGCCATATTTTATATTTTCCCCCATTTTAATCTTATTTTTTACCATTTTCTCCCTTTTTTTTCCCATTTCTCTCATTTTTAACCATTTTCACCCTTTTTAATCCCATTTTCCCCCACTTTAACCCCATTTTTCCCTTTTAATCCCCATATTTCAGCCTCAATTTCCGCCATTTTAACCCCGTTTTTCCCCCAAATTTCACTGTTTTTTCGCCGTTTTTTCCCCAAATTTCACCGTTTTTTCGCCGTTTTTCACCGTTTTTTCCCCAAATTTCGCCGTTTTTTCGCCATTTTCCCCTTTTAACCAATATTTCCATTTTTCACCCCATTTCAGACCCCCCTGAGGAGCCGGAGCAGCGTTCCCGCCTCCGCGCCCGGCGCCGGGCCCTGACCTCGCTGGCGCTGCGGGAGCTGCGGGAGGAGTTGGGGGAGGGGCCTCTGCAGGAGGGGGCGGGGCCAGGCCCGGGACACGCCCCCCCGCAGGAGAGACACAGGTGGGAAATTCGGGAAATTTGGGGAAAATTTGGGGAAAATTTGGGGTTTTTATTGAGAAAATTTGGGTGGGTTTTGGGAAAATTATTTGGGATTTTTAGGGATTTTTTTTGGGGTGATTTTTTTGGGATTTTTTTTTTGTTTTTTTTTTTAATTTTAGGGGATTTTTGGGGGATTTTTGAGGATTTTTTTTTATTTTTTTAGGATTTTTCTGAGGATTTTTGGGGAGTTTTTAAAGATTTTTTTAGGGGGATTTTTAGGGAGTTTTTAAGATTTTTTTGGGGTGATTTTTAGAGGATTTTTTGGGGTGATTTTTTTCAGAATTTTTGGGGTTTTATGGGGATTCTTCTGGGATTTTTTGGGGATTTTTCTAGGATTTCTTTTGGGATTTTTTTCAGGTGTAATTTGGGGATTTTTTCATAGTTTTTTGGGAATTTTTGGGGGATATTTCAGGATTTTTTGGGGAATTTTTTTTAGGATCTTTTCAGGTATTATTTGAGGATTTTTTAGTGGATTTTTGGGGGTTTTGGGGGATTTTTTTGGATTTTTTGGGCCCTTTTTTGGGAATTTTTGGGGATTTTTTGGTAGTTTTTTTAAATTTTTCTGGAATTTTTTGGGATTTTTTTAGGGTATTTTTGGGGATATTTTGGGATTTTTTTGGGTGATTTTTGGGGGAATTGTTAGAGAAAATTATTTGTGATTTTTAGAAATTATTTAGGGATTTTTTTTTAATTTTTCGGTAAGATTTTTTTTGGGTGAAATCTGGGTGGTTTTTACTCTTTTGGTCAATTTTGCTCCATTTTGGTGCAGATTTTGGGGTAAATTCGGGGGATTTTTGTCCATTTTGGGTTAAATTCAGAGGATTTCGATCCATCTCAGTGGATTTTTCTGGATTTGGGGTCAGATTTTGGGGTAAATTTGGGGGATTTTTGTCCATTTTGGGTAAATTTGGGGATTTTGTTCCATCTCAGTGGATTTTGCTGGGTTTGGGGTCAGATTTTGGGGTAAATTTTGGGGATTTTGGCTCCGCAGGCGCCGCTGGGAGGAGTCGATGCTGCGGCGCCTCAGCGCCCCCCGGAGGCCACGCCCACAGGGGGCGGGGCCAGGCCTGGATGACGTCACCAACCTCGGGGCTTTCCCCGCCCTCCTGGGAGCGGCCAATCAGGTGAGGGGGCGGGGCCTGGCGGGGAAAAAAGGCGGGAAAAGAGGAAAAAAGGCGGGAAAATCAAATTTTTGGGTTAATTTTGGCAATTTTGAGTTTCTTTTTTCGGGAATTTCAGGATCAAATTTACGGATTTTGAAACTGAGTTTGGGGGATTTTTGGGGACAATTTTTGCAGAATTTTGGGATCAATTTGGGGGAATCTTGGGCTGAATTTGGGCAATTTTGGGATCCGCTCTCAATAATTTTTTGGGTCAATTTGTGGAGAATTTTGCGATCGAATTTTTGGGGTCAATTTAGGCGATTTTGGGCTGAATTTGGGGGATTTTGGGATCAACTCAGAGGGTTTATTTTTTGGTAAATTTTGGGGTTGGTTTTTGGGAGTTTCAGGCTCAACTTTTTGGGGATTTTTGGGTCTGTTTTGGAGATTTTGGGATGGATTTTTGGGGAATTTTGTGATCCATTTTTGGGGAAATTTTGGGTTAAATTTGGGGTATTTTGGGATTGATTTTTTGGGTAATTTTGGGCTGAATTTTGGGGGATTTTGGGGCTCAGGATTCGTCGGAGCCGCCGCAGAAAAAGAGGAAGAAACAAAAAATGGGGAAGAAGAAAGGGAGGAAGGGTAAGTCCGGTTCAAACCGGTTTAAACTGGTTTAAACCGGTCCAAACCAGTTCAAACCAGTTCAAACCAGTAACTCCCAGTTCCCCCCCAGGTTTTCGCCGCCGCCGCCGCTGATCCTCCAATAAAATTCCGTGATTTTCTGCCTCATTTGCATCTCGTTTGCATTTTTTCCTGACATCCTCGGGATGGGAAACGGAATTGGGGGGACTGGGGGGGAAAAAAAGGGGAAAATTTTCTGAAAAAAAGAAAGGGATTTGTTGCTGGAAATCGCAGAAAAACACAAAAAATTCCCCAAAAATCTGAAAAAAACCCCCATAAAAAATCCCCAAAAAATTGCCAAAACCATCTTAAAAAAACTGCAAAATCCCACAAAAAAACCCCCAAAAATCTGCAAAAATTCACTAAAAAACCAGAAAAAAATCCTTAAAAAAGGCTAAAAAATCCACAAAAATCCACAAAAAAGTCCCAAAAAAATGAAAAAAAAATCACCAAAAAATCCACAAAAAATCCAGAGAAAATCCCTAAAAAATCCAAAAAAAACCCAAAAAAAATCCTAAAAAATCCCAAAAAATCATCAAAAAATCCACAAAAAATCCCAAAAAAACCCCGAAAAAACCCACAAAAAAATCCTAAAAAAATCACCAAAAAATCACAAAAAATCACAAAAAAATCCACAAAAAAATCCGAAAAAATCACAAAAAATCCCCCCAAAAATCCCAAAAAAACACCCAAAAATCCTCAAAGATTCCCTAAAAAAATACCAAAAAAACCTAAAAAAAATTCAAAAAAATCCACAAAAAATCCCCAAAAAATCACCGAAAAATCCCAAATAAACCCACAAAAAAATCACAAAAAATCACCATAAAATCCACTTATTTCCACTTTTATTCAGAATTTTCCGCACCTCACTCCAGGTACTTGTCCTGCAGCTCGGCGATATCATCGTGTGAAATCTCTTTCCACCCATCCGGCCCAACATGCAGCACCCGCACACATCCCCCGCTGTCGCGTCGCGGTGCGCGGCCTGGGCGATGGCGCCAGAGCAGGGACGTGTGCGCGGGGATTCGCTGGCACCGGGAACCCCAAAAACCAAAAAAAATCCCCAAAAAACCACGTAAAAAATTCCTAAAAACTCACAAAAAAATCCCCAAAAAATCAAAAACATCACGAAAAACTCCCCAAAAAATCTCCAAAAATGCACAGAAATTTCCTAAAAAAACAGAAAAAAATCCTTAAAAAATCCACAAAAATCCACAAAAAATTCCCCTGAAATCCACAAAAAAATACTAAAAAATCCTAAAAAAAATGCAAAAAAATGCCAAAAAACTGTAAAAAATCCCCAAAAATCCACAAAAAAAAGCCCAAAAAATCACCAAAAAATCCACAAAAAAATCATTTAAAAATCGTAAAAAAATCCTAAAAAGCCATTAAAAAATAGCCCAAAAATCCCAAAAATTTCCACAAAAATCCCAAAAAAAATCAAAAAAAATCCCAAAAAAATCCCCAAAAAATCCACAAAAAAATCACTAAAAAACCCCCCAAAAGAATCCCTTAAAATCACTGAGAAATCCCAAAAAAAAAGCCCAAAAAATCCCTAAAAAATCCCGTAAAACCACAAAAAAATCCTAAATAAACCCACAAAAAAATCACAAAAAATCACCGTAAAATCCACTTATTTCCACTTTTATTCTCCCCAAAATTTCCCATTTCCCCCGTCACTCCAGGTACTTCTCCTGCAGCTCGGCGATGTCGTCGTGCGAAACCTCCTTCCACCCATCCGGTCCCACATGCAGCACCCGCACACATCCGCTGCTGTCGCGTCGCGGTGGGCGGCCTGGGCGATGGCGTCAGAGCAGGGACGTGTGCGCGGGGATTCGCTGGCACCGGGGAAGCCCAAACTCCTAAAAATCCCCAAAAAACTCACCAAAAAGACCTAAAAAAATCCCAAAAAATCACCAAAAAATCCAAAAACCAACACAAAAAAATCCTAAAAAAATCACCAAAAAATCTGCAAAAAAATCCAAAAAAATCCCCAAAAAAATGCCAAAAAACTGCAAAAAATCCCAGAAGTTCACAAAAAAATCCCCAAAAAATTCACAAAAAAATCCGAAAAAATCCCATAAAATCCCCAAAAAAACCCCAAAAAATCCTAAAAAATTCGCAAAAAATCACCATAAAATCCCCAAAAAAAATCCCAAAAAAATAAAAAAAAATCCTAAAAAATCACAAAAAAATCCACAAAAAAATCCCAAAAAAAACCCCAAAAAAATGCCAAAAAATCACCCAAAAAATCCTAAAAAAACCTGAAAAAAACCCCAAAAAATTACTAAAAAATGACCAAAAAACCTCAAAAAATCCTCAAAAATTCCCTAAAAATCACAAAAAAATCCCAAAAAAAATCCGGAAAAATCCACAAAAAAACCTGCAAAAAATCCCTTAAAATCCCCAAAAAATCCCAAATGAACCCTGAAAAAAATCCCAAAAAAACCGCAAAAAAACCCCAAAAAATCACCAAAAAATCACCAAAAAATCCATTTATTTCCACTTTTATTCCCCAAAACTTGACAATTTTTTTTCCCCAAATTCCCCATTTTCCCCGGTTCAGTCCCAATACTTCTCCTGCAGCTCAGCGATATCATCATGCGACACCTCTCTCCACCCCTCCGGTCCCACATGCATCACCCTCACGCATCCCCCGCTGTCGCGTCGCGGTGCGCGGCCTGGGCGATGGCGCCGCGCCAGCTCGCACGCCGCCTCCTCGCTGACACCAGGGACCCCAAAACCCCTAAAAATCCCCAAAATAAACCCAAAATTCCCACCAAAAAATCACACAGAACATGCAAAAAATATCCGCAAACATTCCCTAAAAAACCAGAAAAAAATCCTAAAAAAATCCTAAAATATCCCCAAAAAATCCCAAAAAAATCCTAAAATATCACCAAAAATCCACAAAAAATCCAGAAAAAAATCCCCAAAAAATCAAAAAAAACCCACAAAAAAATCCCAAAAAATCCTAAAAAATCCACAAAAAATCCACCAAAAAATCCCAAAAATATCCTAAAAAATCACCAAAAATCACCAAAAAAATCTCAAAAAATCCCAAAAAATCACCAAAAAATGACCAAAAAATCCCAAAAAAACCACCAAAAAATTCGCAAAAATTCCCAAAAAAACCACTAAAAAATCCTAAAAAAATCCTGAAAAATCACCAAAAAATCCACAAAAAACCCCAAAAATTCCGAAAAAAATCCCAAAAATTCACTAAAAAATTCCCAAAAAAATCCCATAAAATCACTGAAAAATCCCCAAAAGAACCCCAAAAAATCCCTAAAAAATCCCATAAAATCACCGAAAAATCACCAAAAAATCACCAAAAAAACACCAAAAAATCCATTTATTTCCACTTTTATTCAGAATTTTCCCCACCTCACTCCAGGTACTTTTCCTGCAGCTCGGCAATGTCGTGATGGGACACTTCCCTCCACCCCTCAGGTCCCACGTGCATCACCCGTACGCATCCCCCGCTGTATGCGTCGCGGTGGGCGGCCTGGGCGATGGCGCGCCGCGCCAGCTCGCACGCCGCCTCCTCGCTGCGCGCCGCCGCCGCCAGGCCCCGGTCCAGCACCCCGTAGGCGTAGGAGGAGCCCGAGCCCACGGCGAAGGCGGCGCCGGCCACGCGCTGCCCCTCGCTGTCCACGTAGTACAGCCCTGCGGGGGAGAGGGGGTGAAAGGGTTAAAAATTGGTGGGACACCATTTGGAGCAAATTTGGGGGCATGGCTACCAATTTTGGGGGTGTGGCTACTGAATTTGGGGGCGTGGCTACTGAATTTGGGGTGTGTCTACCAAATTTAAACATGTGGTGAGTGAGTTTCGGGAGTGGTGAGGGAGTTTAAAGGGTTAAAAATTGGTTTGAGGGCATTTGGAGCGGATTTGGGGGCGTGGCTACCAAATGTGGGGGCGTGGCTAGTGATTTGGGGGTGTGGCGAGTGAGTTTGGGGGCGTGGCAACCAAATTTAAACACATGGGGAGGGAGTTTAAAGGGTTAAAAATTGGTTTGAGGGCATTTGGAGCAGATTTGGGGGCGTGGCTACCCAATTTGGGGGTGTGGCTAGTGAGTTTCGGGGCGTGGCTACGAAGTTTAAATACATGGCAAGAGAGTTTAAAGGGTTAAAAATCGGTTCGACACCATTTGGAGCAGATTTGGGGGCGTGGCTACTGAATTTGGGGGCGTGGCTGTCAAATTTGGGGGCGTGGCTACCGAGTTTGGGGTGTGGCGAGAGAGTTTAAAGGGTTAAAAATTGGTTTGACACCATTTTGAGTTGATTTGGGGGCGTGGCTACAGAGTTTGGGGGCGTGGCTACTGAATTTGGGGGCGTGGCTAGTGAGTTTGGGGGCGTGGCTAGTGAATTTGGAGGCGTGGCTACCAAATTTAAACACATGGTGAGTGACTTTAAAGGGTTAAAAATCGGTTTGAAACCATTTGGAGCAAATTTGGGGGTGTGGTTACGAATTTTGGGGGTGTGGCTACCGATTTTGGGGGCGTGGTTACCGAATTTGGGGGCGTGGCTAGTGAGTGTGGGCGTGGCTAGTAAATTGCAAAGGGTTAAAAATTGGTTTGACACCATTTGGAGCGGATTTGGGGTCGTGGCTACCGAATTTGGGGGCGTGGCTACTGAATTTGGGGGCGTGGCTAGTGAGTTTAAAGGGTTAAAAATTGGTTTGAGGGCGTTTAAAGTGGATTTGGGGGCGTGGCTAGTAAACTAGAGGGTGTGGCTACTAAATTTGGGGGCGTGGCTACCGAATTTGGGGGCGTGGCTAGTGATTTGGGGGTGTGGCTACCAAGTCTGGGGGTGTGGCTAGTGAATTTGGGGGCGTGGCTAATGAATTTGTGGGCCTGGCTAGTGAGTTTAAAGGGTTAAAAATCGGTTTGACGCCATTTGTAGCGGATTTGGGGGCGTGGTTACGAATTTTGGGGGCGTGGCTACCAAGTTTGGGGGCGTGGCTAATACATTTGGGGGTGTGGCTACTGAATTTGGGGGCGTGGCTAGTAAATTTGGGGGTGTGGCTACCAAATTTGGGGTGTGGCTACCAAATTTAAACACGTGGCGAGGGGTTTTAAAGGGTTAAAAATTGGTTTGAGGGCATTTGGAGTGGATTTGGGGGCGTGGCTACCGAATTTGGGGCTGTGGCTACTGAATTTGGGGGCGTGGCTAGTGAGTTTGGGGGTCTGGCGAGGGAGTTTAAAGGGTTAAAAATTGATTTGAGGGCATTTGGACCAAATTTGGGGGCGTGGCCACCCAATTTGGGGGCATGGCTACCCAATTTGGGGGCGTGGCTAGTGAATGTGGGGGCGTGGCTACCAAATTTGGGGGTGTGGCTACCAAATCGGCCGATGTGGCTACCAAATGTAAAAGCTGATTTTGGTCATTTGGACCATGGGGAACAAATCTGGTGAGGTCAGACATGAATTTGAGGCCAATAAATGCGAATTTTGGGGTGTGGCTACCAAATCCACCGATGTGGCTACCAAAACTAAAAGTGGATTTAGAAACTTTAGGCCATGAGGAACAAATCTGGGCTCATTAGATGTGAATTTGGGGCCGATAAATGCAATTTTTGGGGTGTGGCTACCAAATCGGCCGATGTGGCTACCAAATCTGACAATGGATTTAGAAACTTCCAGCCATGGGGAATGAATCTACTGATGTCAGACACGATTTTGAGGCCAATAAATGTGATTTTTGAGGCCAATAAATGTGATTTTTGGGGTGTGGCTACCAAATTGACCGATGTGGCTACCAAAACTAAAACTGGATTTAGAAACTTTAGGCCATGGGGACCAAATCTGGCATGGTGAGACATGAATCTGAGGCCAAAAAATATGATTTTTAGGGCAAATTTGAGACTGATAAATGCAAATTTTGGGGTGTGGCTACCAAATCTTCCAATATGGCTACCAAAACTAAAAGTGGATTATGGAACTTTTGGGTGTGGGGATTGAATCTAGTGACGTCACACATAAATTTAAGGCCAAAAAACGTGATTTGTTACCGGGCCCGCGCTTGTCCCAGCCGCAGAGCATGGTGCCCAGGCTCAGCCCCAGCCCCTTGTACTGGTACACCAGGTTGGCCAGCAGCTTGGAGGCGGCGGCCACCGACACCGGCTCCTTGTTTGGAGGCCAAAAAAGGTGAATTTTGAGGCCGAAAAAGGTGAATTTTGAGGTGTGGCTACCAAATTGGCCGATGTGGCTACTAAAACTAAAAATGGATTCTGAAAGTTTGGACCACGGGAACCAAATCTGGTGTGGTCAGACTCGATTTTGAGACCAAAAAATGCGATTTTTGATGCGTGGCTACCAAATCTTCCAATGTGGCTACCAAATCTGACAATGGATTTTGGAAGTTTGGACCATGGGGAACAATTCTGGGGTGATCCCACATAAATTTAAGGCCAAAAAAGGTGATTTTGAGGCCAATAAATACGAATTTTGGGGTGTGGCTACCAAATTGGCCAATGTGGCTACCAAAACTAAAAATGGATTTAGAGACTTTAAGTCATGGGGAACGATTCTGGCATGGTCACACACGATTCTGAGGCCATTAAATGCCAATTTCAGGGTGTGGCTACTAAATCGGCCGATGTGGCTACCAAACCTAAAAATGGATTTAGAAACTTTAGGCCATGGGGAATGAATCTACTGAGGTCAGACACGATTTTGAGGCCAATAAATGTGATTTTGAGGCCATTAAATGCCAATTTCAGGATGTGGCTACCAAATTGGCCAATGTGGCTACCGAATCTGACAATGGATTTTGGTCATTTGGACCACGGGGAATAATTCTGGGGTGATCCCACATAAATCTGAGGCCGAAAAATGTGATTTTCGGGACATGGCTACTAAATTGGCCAATGTGGCTACCAAAACTAAAAATGGATTATGGTCATTTGGACCACAGGGAATAATTCTGGGGTGATTAGACGTAAATTTGAAGCTGAAAAATGCGAATTTTTACCGGGCCCGCGCTTGTCCCAGCCGCAGAGCATGGTGCCCAGGCTCAGCCCCAGCCCCTTGTACTGGTACACCAGGTTGGCCAGCAGCTTGGAGGCGGCGGCCACCGACACCGGCTCCTTGTTTGGAGGCCAAAAACGGAGATTTGGGGGCCAAAAAATGCAAATTTTGGGGCGTGGCTACCAAATCTTCCAATGTGGCTACTAAAACTAAAAGTGGATTCTGGAAGTTTGGACCATGGGGACCAAATCTGGTGTGGTCAGACTCCATTTTGAGGTCAATAAATGTGAATTTGAGTCCAATAAATGCCAATTTCAGGGTGTGGCTACCAAATCGACCAATGTGGCTACCAAAACTAAAAATGGATTTAGAAACTTTAGATCGTGGGGAACAAACCTGGCATAGGGAGACATGAATTTGAGGCCGAAAAAGGTGAATTTTGAGGCAATAAAAGGTGAATTTTGGGGTGTGGCTACCAAATCTTCCAATGTGGCTACCAAATGTGACAATGGATTTTGATCATTTGGACCATGGGGAACAAATCTAGTGTGGTCAAAGATAAATTTGAGGTCAATAAATGCAAATTTGAGCCCATTAAATGCAAATTTTGGGGTGTGGCTACCAAATCTTCCAATGTGGCTACCAAAACTAAAAATGGATTTTGGAAGTTTAACCCACAGGGACCAAACCTGGGGTGATCACACACAATTTTGAGGCCAATAAATGCAAATTTCGAGGTGTGGCTACTAAATCGGCCGATATGGCTACCAAACCTAAAAATGGATTTAGAAACTTTGGGCCATAGGGACCAAATCTAATGAGGTCAGACATGATTTTGAGGCCAATAAAGGAGATTTTGAAGCCAATAAATGCGAATTTGAGGCCAAAAAAATGCGAATTTGAGGCTGAAAATGGTGATTTTTGGGGTGTGGCTACCAAATCTTCCAATATGGCTACCAAAACTAAAAGTGGATTATTGAACTTTTGGGTGTGGGGATTGAATCTACTGAGGTCAGACATGAATTTGAGGCCGAAAAATGCGAATTTGAGGCCATTAAATGAGAATTTTGGGGTGTGGCTACCAAATCGGCCAATGTGGCTACCAAAACTAAAAATGGATTTAGAAACTTCAGGCCATGGGGACCAAATCTGGCACGGTGAGAGATGAATTTGAGGCCAATAAACGAGATTTCGAGGCCATTAAATGTGAATTTTGAGGCCAAAAAATGCAATTTTTGAGGTGTGGCTACCAAATCGGCCGATGTGGCTACCAAAAGTAAAAATGGATTTAGAAACTTTGGGCCACAGGGACCAAATCTGGGGTGATCCCACACAAATTTAAGGCCAAAAAATGAGATTTTTACCGGGCCCGCGCTTGTCCCAGCCGCAGAGCATGGTGCCCAGGCTCAGCCCCAGCCCCTTGTACTGGTACACCAGGTTGGCCAGCAGCTTGGAGGCGGCGGCCACCGACACCGGCTCCTTGTTTGGAGGCCAGAAAAGGAGATTTGGGGGCCAAAAAAGGGGAATTTTGGGGTGTGGCTACCAAATCGGCCAATGTGGCTACTAAAACTAAAACCGGATTCTGAAAGTTTGGACCATAGGTAATGATTCTGGAATGGTCACACATGAATTTGAGGTCGAAAAATGCGATTTTTAGGGTGTGGCTACCAAATCGGCCAATGTGGCTACCAAATATAAAAGTGGATTTAGAGACTTTAGGACATAGGGAATTAATCTGGCATGGTCATACATGAATCTGAGGCCAAAAAATGTGATTTTTGGGGCAAATTTGAAGCCATTAAATGCAAATTTTGGGGTGTGGCTACCAAATCGGCCGATGTGGCTACCAAAACTAAAAGTGGATTATGGAAGTTTTGGGTGTGGGGATTAAATCTAATGAGGTCAGACACGATTTTGAGGCCAATAAAGGAGATTTTGAGGTCGATAAATGCGATTTTTGGGGTGTGGCTACCAAATCTTCCAATGTGGCTACCAAAACTAAAACTGGATTCTGAAACTTTAGACCACAGGGAACAATTCTGGGGTGATCCCACACGAATTTTGAGGCCAAAAAATGCGATTTTTGGGGCGTGGCTACCAAATCGGCTGATGTGGCTACCAAAACTAAAAATGGATATAGAAACTTTAAGACATAGGGAATGAATCTGGGGTGATCCCACATAAATTTGAGGCCGACAAATGTGATTTTTGGGGCAAATTTGAGGCCATTAAATGCCAATTTTGGGGTGTGGCTACCAAATCATCCAATATGGCTACCAAACCTAAAAATGGATTTAGACACTTTAGGTCATGAGGACCAAATCTAATGAGGTCAAACATAAATTTGAGGCCAATAAATGCAATTTTGGGACCCACCAACCCCCGTTTCCCCCGTTACCGGGCCCGCGCTTGTCCCAGCCGCAGAGCATGGTGCCCAGGCTCAGCCCCAGCCCCTTGTACTGGTACACCAGGTTGGCCAGCAGCTTGGAGGCGGCGGCCACCGACACCGGCTCCTTGTTGCGCAGCTCCTGCACGCGGCACTGCCGCGCCACCAAACGCTGCCAGAAGGCGCAGTCGGCCGCGCCGCCCGCCATGGTGCCCAGCATGCGCCCGCCGATCGGCAGCACCTTCCGCACCGACTGCGAGGCGATGTACGAGCCCGCCGTGGCGCGGGAGTCCACCGCCACCGTCACGCCGTGAGGGGTCTGGGGGGAAAAAGTAAAAAAAATGGGAAAAAAAAGTGAAAAAAATGGGAAAAATGGGGAAAAAAGTGAAAAAAATACGATTTTTTGATGATTTTTGGTCACTTTTCGGCTTAAAAATACCATTTTTTACTCCATTTTGTCCCTCTAAAATCCCATTTTTCCCACCAAATTTTCCTCCCATTTTTCACACCAAAATCCAATTTTTCCCACCAATTTTCCCCTTTTTACTCTATCTTTTACCAATTTTCCCCTTTAAAATCCCATTTTTCCCACTAGTTTTTCCTTCTTTTTTTTCCATTTCCTTTACATTTTCTCCCTCTAAAATCCCATTTTCCCCACCAATTTTTCCTTCTTTTTTGTCCATTTTCTCCCTCTAAAAACCCTTTTTTTCCACCATTTTCCATTTTTTAGTCCATTTTAGTCCATTTCTTCTCTATAAAATCCCATTTTTCCCACCAATTTTCCCTTCATTTACTTCATTTTTACCAATTTTTTCCCTCTAAAATCCCATTTTCCCCACCAGTTTTCCATTTTTTTCCTCTATCTTTTACCAATCTTTTCCCCTCTAAAATTCCATTTTCTCAACAATTTTCCCTTTTTTTAGTCCATTTTTTCTCTCTAAAATCCCATTTTTCCCACCAATTTTTCCAGTGTTTACGCCATTTTACCTCCATTTCTTCCCTCTAAAATCCCATTTTTCCCACCAATTTTTCCCTTTTTTTACTCCATTTTTTCCCTCTAAAATACCATTTTCCCCACCAATTTTTCCTTTTTCTACTCAATTTTTTACTAAATTTTTCCCACCTAAAATTCCATTTTTTTCCACCAATTTTTCCCTTTTTTACTCCATTTTTACCAAATTTTTCCCACTAACACTAAAATCACATTTTTCCCACCAATTTTCAATTTTTTCTACTCTATTTTATACAATTTTTTCCCATCTAAAATTCCATTTTTCCCACCAATTTTCCCTTTCTTTAGTCCATTTTTTACTAATTTTTCCCTCTAAAATCCCCTTTTTCCCACCACTTTTTCCCATTTCTTAGTCCATTTTCTCCCTTTAAAATCCTTTTTTTTCTACGCATTTTCCCCCATTACTCCCCAAAAATCCCATTTTTTCTCCATTTTCCCCCGCTAAAATCCCATTTTTTCTCCAATTTCCCTGCCATGTACGAGCCCGCCGTGGCGCGGGAGTCGACGGCCACCGTCACGCCGTGAGGGGTCTGGGGGGAAAAATGGGAAAAATGGGGAAAAAAGTCAAAAAAATGGGAAAAAACGGGGAAAAAAAGTGAAAAAATGTGAAAAAATGGGAAAAAAAGGTGAATTTTTGATGATTTTTTGTGATTTTTTAGCTTAAAATTACCATTTTTTACCCATTTTTTCCTCTCTAAAATTCCATTTTTCCCACCAATTTTTCCTTCTATTTGTTCTTTTTCTCCCTCTAAAATCCCATTTTTTCCACCAATTTTCTTCCCACTTTCTCCTCTAAAATCCCATTTTTTCCCATTTTCCCCCATTTTCCTCGTGGCGCGGGAGTCCACCGCCACCGTCACGCCATCCGGGGTCTGGGGGCGGAAATGAGGAGAAAATGTGAAGAAACGGGAAAAAAAGTGAAAAAATGTGAAAAAACGGGAAAAAAAACTGAAAAAATGTGAATTTTTGACTATTTTTTTGCTTAAAAATAGCATTTTTTACCCATTTTTTTCCCTCTAAATTCCCATTTTTCCCACAAATATTTCCATTTTTTTCCTCCCATTTTTCACGCTAAAATAACATTTTTCCCACCAATCTTCCATTTTTTTTTACTCCATTTTTTCCCTCTAAAATTCCATTTTTCCCACTAATTCTTCCCTTTTTTCCTCCTATTTTTTCGGGACAAAATAACATCTTCCCCACCAATTTTCCCTTTTTTTACTCCATTTTTTCCCTCTAAAATCCCATTTTTCTCCAATTTTTCCCGTTTCTTTGTCACTTTTCTCCTCTAAAATCCCATTTTTTCCACCCATTTTCTCCTCCATTTCTCCCCTAAAATCCCATTTTTTTCTCTCATTTTGTCCATTTTCCCCCATTTCTGCCCCTAAAATCCCTTCTTTCCCCCAATTTTTCCAATTTCCCCACATTTCTCCCATAAAATCCCTTTTTTTCCCATTTTCCCCCATTTTCCTCGTGGCGCGGGAGTCCACGGCGACCGTCACGCCGTGCGGGGTCTGGGGGGGAAAAAGTCAAAAAAATGGGGAAAAAAGTGAAAAAACGGGCAAAAAAGTGAAAAAAATGTGAAAAAACAGGAAAAAAAAAGTGTATTTTTGGCGATTTTTGGCAATTTTTTGGCCTAAAATTACCATTTTTTACTCCATTTTGTCCCTCTAAAATTCCGATTTTCCCCCCAATTTTTCCATTTTTTAGTCCATTTTACTTCCATTTCTTCCCTCTAAAATCCCATTTTTCACACCAATTTTACCTCTTTTTACTCCATTTTTTCCCCTCTAAAATTCCATTTTTCCCACCAGTATTTCCTTATTTTTGGTCAATTTTCTCCCTCTAAAATCCCATTTTTCCCACCAATTTTTCCTTCTTTTTTGTCCATTTTCTCCATCTAAAATCCCATTTTTCGCACCCATTTTCCTTTTTTTTACTTCATTTTTTACTCCATTTTTCCCTCTAAAATCCCATTTTTCCCACCAATTTTTCCATTTTTTAGTCCATTTTACTTCCATTTTTTCCCCTCTAAAATCCCATTTTTTCTCCAATTTCCCTGCCATGTACGAGCCCGCCGTGGCGCGGGAGTCCACGGCGACTGTCACGCCGTGAGGGGTCTGGGGGGGAAATGGGGAGAAAAGTCAAAAAAATGGAAAAAAAAGTGAAAAAACGGGCAAAAAAGTGAAAAAAATGTGAAAAAACAGGAAAAAAAAGTGAATTTTTGGCGATTTTTGGTGATTTTTTAGCTTAAAATTACCATTTCTTACCAATTTTTTCCACTCTAAAATCCCATTTTTCCCACCAATTTTTCCTCCCATTTTTTGCGCCAAAATCCCATTTTTCCTACAATTTTCACCATTTTTTTCCATTTCGCCCCCGCTTTTCCCCTCTAAAATCTCATTTTCCTCCAATTTTCCCCAATTGTTCCCAATTTTTCCCTCATTTTCCACTTTTTTCCCAATTTTTCCCGATTTCCCCAAAATTTTCCCATTTTCTCCTCTAAAATCCCATTTTTTTCTTCAATTTTTATCAATTTTCCCCATTTTTTCACTCTAAAATCCCATTTTCCCACCCATTTTCCCCCATTTCTCCCCAAAAATCCCATTTTTCCCCCTAAAACTGAATTTTACCCTCCCCAACCTCAATTTTTACCCCAAAAATGGAATTTTATCCTCCCCAACCTCCATTTTTAACCCCAAAAAATGAATTTTGCCCTCCCAAACCTCAATTTTTTACCCCAAAACTGATTTTTACCCTCCCCAACCTTAATTTTTCCCTCTAAAACTGAATTTTGCCCTCCCCAACCTCAATTATTTACCCAAAAAATGAATTTTACCCTCCCAAACCTCCATTTTTTACCGAAAAACTGATTTTTACCCTCCCCTACTGAAATTTTTAAACCCAAAAACTGATTTTTACCCTCACAAACCTCAATTTTTTACCCAAAAACTGAATTTTACCCTCCCCAACCTCAATTTTTACCCCAAAAAATGAATTTTACCCTCCTCAACCTCAATTTTTTACCCCAAAAACTGATTTTTACCCCCCAAACCTCAATTTTTTACCCCAAAACTGATTTTTACCCTCCCCAACTTCAATTTTTTCCCAAAAAAACTGATTTTTACCCTCCCAAACCTCAATTTTTTACCCCTAAAACTTAATTTTACCCTCCCAAACCTCAATTTTTTCCCTCAAAAAATGAATTTTGCCGTCCCAAACCTCAATTTTTTCCCTCAAAAACTGAATTTTACCCTCCCAAACCTCAATTTTTCCCCCTAAAACTGATTTTTACCCTCCCCAACCACAATTTTTTCCCTCAAAAAATGAATTTTGCCGTCCCAAACCTCAATTTTTACCTCAGAAACTGAATTTTACCCTCCCCAACCTCAATTTTTCCCCCAAAAACTGAATTTTTACCCTCCCCAACCTCAATTTTTCCCCCAAAAACGGAATTTTGCCTTCCCAAACCTCATTTTTTACCCCAAAAACTGAATTTTGCCCTCCCAAACCTCAATTTTTTACCCAAAAACTGAATTTTACCCTCCCCAACCTCAATTTTTCCCCAAAAAACGGAATTTTGCCCTCCCAAACCTCAATTTTTCCCCAAAAAAACTGAATTTTTCAGTTATTTCCCCTCACCTTAAAGGCCAAAGTCGTTGTGCCGTGAAGGATCTGCAGCCCGGGCCCCTCCGGCTCCGCCTCAAAGCCCCACGGCGGAGCCGCCAGAACCCGCGGCGGACCCGGCGGATCCCTCAGGATTTCGGGGATCCCTTCGGAATCATCGGGAAAATCCTCCGGGAAATTTTTGGGAAAATTTTTGGGGAAATTTTTGGGGAAATTTGGGGAAAATTCCGCGAGCTCCGCACGGAGGACGCTGGCCAGCGCCATCTTGGATCCTGGCAGCTGAGGGGAGGGAAATTCAGCGCCCACAAAATGGCGGCGGTGAGGCGGGCGCGGCGCCATCTTTGTTAAGGGCAACGCGCAAACAGCGCGAAATGGCGGCGGCGCATGCGCAAACCGAACTGAAGTCGTGCCCGAAGTCGCTGTCGCCATATTGATTAAGGGCGAAGCGGGAAGCGAAAAAGGCGCCGGCGCCATTTTGGTTGAGGGCATGACTGGACGAGGGGGGGAATAAAACGGGAATTAAAGCGTTAAAATGAGGCGAAAAATTCAAATTTCGGTTAAATTGGAAGTCGGAATTAAAATATTTTAAATTGTTAATTGGAGGTGAAGGGTTTGGGGAAAAATCGCGGAGTTTTGGGGAGGAAAAATGGAATTTTTTGGGTGAAATTCGGCAGGTTCGGAGCGGTGTGAGGAAAGGCCTGAGGAGATTTTGAGGTAAAAAATTGAATTTTTGGGGGTTTTGGGGAGAAAAATGAAATTTTGGGGCAGAAAAATGAAATTTTGGGGGTTTTGGGGGAGAAAAATTAAATTTTGGGGGTTTTGTGAGGGGATTTGGGGTAAATTTGGGGATTTTTGGGCAGTTTGGGGGTTTGGGGAATGGTGGGAGGGGAAATTGGGATAAAGTGAGGGGGGATCGCCCAGTTCAAACCAGTTCAAACCAGTTCAAACCAGTAACCCCAAATTCCATCCCAGTAACCCCAAATCCTCTCCCAGTTCATCCCAGTAAGCCCAAACCCATTCCCAGTTCAAACCAGTACAAACCAGTAACACTAAAATCCATTCCCAGTTCAAACCAGTACAAACCAGTAACCCTAAAATCCATTCCAAGTTCATCCCAGTTCATTCCAGTTCATCCCAGTTTATCCCAGTAACCCCAAAATCCATTCCCAGTCCATCCCAGTCCATCCCAGTTTGATCCCAGTCCCTCCCAGTCCCTCCCAGTAACCCCTAAACCCCTCCCAGTTTATCCCAGTAACCCCCAAAACTCCTCCCAGTTCATCCCAGTGACCTTTAAGCCCCTCCCAGTTCCCTCCCAGTTTGTCTCAGTTCCCTCCCAGTAACCCCAAAACCCCTCCCAGTCCCTCCCAGTAACCCCAAAATCCATTCCCAGTCCCTCCCAGTCCCTCCCAGTCCCTCCCAGTAACCCCAAAATCCATTCCCAGTCCCTCCCAGTCCCTCCCAGTAACCCGGAAACTCCTCCCAGTTTGTCCCAGTTCCCTCCCAGTCCTCTCCCAGTAACCCCCAAACCCCTCCCAGTCCCTCCCAGTCCCTCCCAGTCCCTCCCAGTAACCCCAAATCTCCTCCCAGTGCCCTTTAAACCCCTCCCAGTCCCTCCCAGTCCCTCCCAGTCCGTCCCAGTTCCCTCCCAGTCCCCTCCCAGTTCATCCCAGTTTGTCCCAGTGCCCTTTGCACCCCTCCCAGTCCCTCCCAGTCCCTCCCAGTCCCTCCCAGTTCATCCCAGTTTGTCCCAGTGACCTTTAAACCCTTCCCAGTCTGTCCCAGTCCCTCCCAGTAACCCCCAACCCCCTCCCAGTTCCCTCCCAGTCCCTCCCAGTGCCCTTTAAACCCCTCCCAGTTTATCCCAGTTTGTCCCAGTAACCCCAAAACCCCTCCCAGTCCCTCCCAGTAACCCGGAAACTCCTCCCAGTTTGTCCCAGTTCCCTCCCAGTCCCTCCCTGTTCCCTCCCAGTCCCTCCCAGTAACCCCCAAACCCCTCCCAGTCCCTCCCAGTTTGTCCCAGTCCCTCCCAGTAACCCCAAATCTCCTCCCAGTAACCCCCAAAACCCCTCCCAGTCCCTCCCAGTTTGTCCCAGTCCCTCCCAGTAACCCCAAATCTCCTCCCAGTAACCCCCAAAACCCCTCCCAGTCCCTCCCAGTTTGTCCCAGTTCCCTCCCAGTAACCCCAAAACCCCTCCCAGTCCCTCCCAGTTTATCCCAGTTTGTCCCAGTAACCCCCAAACCCCTCCCAGTTCCCTCCCAGTTTGTCCCAGTTCCCTCCCAGTGCCCTTTGCACCCCTCCCAGTCCCTCCCAGTTTGTCCCAGTCCATCCCAGTCCATCCCAGTAACCCCAAATCCTCTCCCAGTCCCTCCCAGTTCCCTCCCAGTCCCTCCCAGTTTGTCCCAGCGACCTTTAAGCCCCTCCCAGTTCCCTCCCAGTAACCCCCAAACCCCTCCCAGTCCCTCCCAGTTCATCCCAGTAACCCCCAAACCCCTCCCAGTCCCTCCCACTTCCCTCCCAGTTTATCCCAGTTTGTCCCAGTGACCTTTAAACCCCTCCCAGTTTGTCCCAGTCCCTCCCAGTAACCCCTAAGCCCCTCCCAGTTTGTCCCAGTCCCCTCCCAGTCCCTCCCAGTTTGTCCCAGTGCCCTTTAAACCCCTCCCAGTTTATCCCAGTTTGTCCCGGTGCCCTTTAAACCCCTCCCAGTCCCCTCCCAGTCCCTCCCAGTCCCTCCCAGTTCCCTCCCAGTCCCCTCCCAGTTCATCCCAGTTCCCTCCCAGTCCCTCCCAGTCCCTCCCAGTTTATCCCAGTGACCTTTAAACCCTTCCCAGTTTGTCCCAGTCCCTCCCAGTCCCTCCCAGTCCATCCCAGTTCATCCCAGTTTGTCCCAGTCCCTCCCAGTAACCCCGAATCTCCTCCCAGTAACCCCTAAACCCCTCCCAGTCCCTCCCAGTTTATCCCAGTAACCCCCAAACCCCTCCCAGTTCTCTCCCAGTTTGTCCCAGTGCCCTTTGCACCAGTCCCAGTTCCCTCCCAGTCCCTCCCAGTTTGTCCCAGTGACCTTTAAACCCCTCCCAGTTTGTCCCAGTCCCTCCCAGTAACCCCTAAACCCCTCCCAGTTTATCCCAGTAACCCCCAAAACCCCTCCCAGTCCCTCCCAGTGCCCTTTAAACCCCTCCCAGTCCCTCCCAGTCCTTCCCAGTCCGTCCCAGTAACCCCTAAACCCCTCCCAGTTTATCCCAGTAACCCCCAAAACCCCTCCCAGTTCCCTCCCAGTGACCTTTAAACCCCTCCCAGTTCATCCCAGTTTGTCCCAGTAACCCCAAAACCCCTCCCAGTCCCTCCCAGTTTGTCCCAGTCCCTCCCAGTGCCCTTTAAACCCCTCCCAGTTTGTCCCAGTTCCCTCCCAGTCCCTCCCAGTCCCTCCCAGTCAATCCCAGTCCCTCCCAGTTTGTCCCAGTTTGTCCCAGTGACCCCGAAACCCCTCCCAGTTTGTCCCAGTAACCCCCAAACTCCTCCCAGTTAATTCCAGTTCCCTCCCAGTCCCTCCCATTGACCTTTAAACGCCTCCCAGTCCCTCCCAGTTCATCCCAGTCCCTCCCAGTGCCCTTTAAACCCCTCCCAGTTCCTCCCAGTCCCTCCCAGTTCCCTCCCAGTAACCCCAAATCTCCTCCCAGTAACCCGGAAACCCCTCCCAGTCCCTCCCAGTTCATCCCAGTTCCCTCCCAGTTCCCTCCCAGTTTGTCCCAGTCCCTCCCAGTCCCTCCCAGTAACCCCCAATCTCCTCCCAGTCCCTCCCAGTCCCTCCCAGTCCCCTCCCAGTTTATCCCAGTTTGTCCCAGTGCCCTTTAAACTCCTCCCAGTCCCTCCCAGTTTATCCCAGTCCCTCCCAGTCCCTCCCAGTTTGTCCCAGTTTGTCCCAGTGCCCTTTGCACCCCTCCCAGTCCCTCCCAGTCCCTCCCAGTTTGTCCCAGTTCCCTCCCAGTAACCCCCAAAACCCCTCCCAGTGACCTTTAAACCCCTCCCAGTTCCTCCCAGTCCCTCCCAGTTCATCCCAGTGACCTTTAAACCCCTCCCAGTCCCTCCCAGTTTATTCCAGTCCCTCCCAGTATATCCCAGTCCAGATGCGGCTCTCGGCGGCTCTCGGCTCCGTCCCGCGGCTCCTCGAGGGGAAAGTGGCGCTGGTGACGGCGGCGACGGACGGGTGAGTCCCGAAATGCCCGAATTTCACCCCAAAATTCACCCAAAATACACAAAATTAACCAAAATCAGCGCGGAAAAAATCGGATTTTTTACACTAAAAATCTCCCCCGAAATAACCCGAAATAAGCGAAATTAACTCAAAAATAACCCAAAATAATTCAAAATATTCCGATTAAATCTCGGAATCTGAGTGTCCGAAATTCACCCCAAAATCGGCAAAATTCACTCCAAAAATACCCAAAATTCACCCCAAAAATACCCGAAATTAACCAAAAATCAGCTGGGAAAAAATCGGATTTTTTACACTAAAAATTAACCCAAAATTAATCCAAAATAACCCAAAATAAGTCAAATTATTCTGATTAAATCCTGGATTTTGAGTGCTCCAAATTCACCCCAAAAATACCCAAAATTAACCCAAAATCCGCACGGAAAAAATCGGATTTTTTATACTAAAAATTAACCCGAAATTAACCCAAAATAACCCAAAATCCCCCCCAAAATAATTCAAATTAAATCAAAATTTTTCGGATTTATTCCCCATTTCTGACCGCCCCAAATTTACCCCAAAAATACCCAAATTCACCCCAAAATTCACCCCAAAAATACCCAAAAATACCCAAAATTCACCCCAAAAATACCCAAAATTCACCCCAAAACCACCCAAAGTCACCCCAAATAAAACCAAAATTAACCCAAAATTAATTCAAAATTAACCCAAAATGAATCCAAAATTTACCCAAAGTTAACCTAAAATCTCCCAAAAATTAACTCAAAATAAATCCAAAATTACCCAAAATTACCCCAAAATTCATCCCGAAATTAACCCCAAAATACCCAAAATTCACCTCAAAATTCACCCCAAAAATACCCAAAATTCACCCCAAAAATACCCGAAATTCACCCAAAATCAGCGCGGAAAAAATCGGATTTTTTACACTACAAATTAACCCAAAATAACCCCAAAATAACCCGAAATTAATCCAAAATAACCCAAAATTAACCCAAAATAATTCGAATTAAATCGAATTTATTTGGATTTATTCTCGATTTCTGACCCCCACGAAATCCCCAAAATTTGCCCCAAAATTCACCCCAAAAATCACCCCAAAAATACGCCAAAATTCATCCCAAAATTCACCCCAAAAATACCCAAAATTCACCCCAAAATTCACCCCAAAAATCCCCCAAATTCATCCCAAAATTCACCCCAAAACTACCCAAAATTCACCCCAAAATTCACCCCAAAATTCACCCCAAAACTACCCAAAATTCACCCCAAAATTCACCCCAAAAATACCCCAAAATTCACCCCAAAAATACCCAAAAAATACCCAAATTCACCCCAAAATTCACCCAAAAATACACAAAAATACACCAAATTCAGCCCGAAATCAGCGCGGAAAAATCGGATTTTTTATATTAAAAATTAAGCCAAAATTAATCCAAAATAACCCAAAATTAACCCAAAATAAGTCAAATTATTCTGATTAAATCCTGGATTTTGAGTGCTCCAAATTCACCCCAAAATCCACAAAATTCACCCCAAAAAAACCCCGAAATTCACCCCAAAAATCCAAGAATTAACCCAAAATTCAACCAAAATTACCCCAAAAATCCCCAAAATTCACCCCAAAATCACCCAAAATTAACCCAAAATTAACTCAAAATTAACACAAAATTAACCCAAAATTACCCCGAAATTCACTCCAAAATTCACCCCAAAAATCCACAAAATTCACCCCAAAAATACCCAAAATTCACCCCGAAATTCACCCCAAAATTACCGAAATTCACCCCAAAATTCACCCCAAAAATACCCAAAATTCACCCCAAAAATACCGAAATTCACCCAGAAATTCACTCCAAAATTCACCCCAAAATTCACCCCAAAAATCTGCAAAATTCAACCCGAAATTCACCCCAAAATTCACCCCAAAAATACACAAAAATACACAAAATTCAGCCCGAAATCCGCGCGGGAAAATCGGATTTTTTATACTAAAAATTAAGCCAAAATTAACCCAAAATAACCCAAAATTAACTCCAAATTAACCCAAAATAAGTCAAATTATTCAGATTAAATCTCAGAATCTGAGTGTCCCAAATTCACCCCAAAATTGACAAAATTCACCCCAAAAATACCCGGAATTAACCCAAAATAATTAGAATTATTCCGATTAAATCCTGGATTCTGAGTGTCCCAAATTCACCCCAAAATCGGCCAAATTCACCCCAAAAATACCCAAAATAACCCAAAATTAACCCAAAATTAACCCCAAATTAACTCCAAATTAACCCCAAATTAACTCCAAATTAACCCATAATAATTAAAATTTAATCTGATTAATTCTCGAATTTGGAGTCCCCCAAATTCACCCCAAAATCCCCAAATTCACCCCAAAATTCACCCCAAAATTCCAAAAAAAATACCCAAAATAACCCAAAATTAACCCAAAATTAACTCAAAATTACCCCAAAATTAACTCGAAATTAACCCAAAATTAACCCAAAATTAACCCAAAAGTAACACAAAAGTAACACAAAATTAATTCAAAATTATCCCAAAATTAACCCAAAATCAACGCAGAATTAACCGAAAATTAACCCAAAATTAACTCAAAATAAATCCAAAATTACCCAAAATTAACCCAAATTAACCCAAAATAACTCAAAATTAATGCAAAATTAACTCAAAATTAATTTGATTTAATTTGAATTATTTGGGGTTAATTTGCATTAATTTTGGAATAATTTGAATTAATTTTGGGTTTATTTTGGGTTAAATTTGGGGGATTTTTTGGGTAAAAAAATCCCATTTTTCCGGTGGATTTTGGGGTAAATTTGGGGGATTTTTGGGTATTTTGGGCCGGATTTTTCGGATTTTGGGCCGGATTTTTTTGGGGGAATTTCGGGATTTCGGGAATTTTGGGATTTTGGGAATTTTGGGGATTTTGGAGTGGATTTTTTTTGGAATTTGGGGAATTTGGGGAATTTTGGGGTGGATTTTTGGGATTTTGGGGGATTTTTTGGGGTAATTTCAGGGAATTTTGGGCTTTTTTTTTTATTTTTGGGAGGAATTTTGGGGAATTTTGGCGATTTTGGGCCGGATTTTTTGGGGGAATTTTGGGGATTTCGGGAATTTTGGGATTTTGGGAATTTTGGGGATTTTGGGGATTTTGGGCTGGATTTTGGGCTGAATTTCCGGGATTTTGGGCCAGATTTTTTTGGGGAATTTCAGGGATTTTTTTGGGAATTTCGCGATTTTGGGAATTTTTCGATTTTTGGGAATTTTGGGGTGGATTTTTTGGGAATTTTGGGGTGGATTTTGGGGCGGATTTTTGGTATGAATTTCCGGGATTTTGGGTTATTTTGGACTGGATTTTTGGGATTTCTGTGCAGAATTTCGGGGTTTTTTTTGGGGATTTTGGGGGAATTTCAGGAATTTTGGGATTTTTTGATTTTTGGGAATTCCGGGAATTTTGGGAACTTTGGGATGGATTTTGGGGTGGATTTTGGGGGGAATTTTGGGGATTTTTAGATATTTTAGGCTGGATTTTTGGGATTTTGGGCCGGATTTTTTTGGGAATTTCAGGGATTTTTTGGGGGGAATTTCGGGATTTTGAGAATTTTTGGATCTTTGGGAATTTTGGGATATTTGGGGATTTTGGGGTGGACTTTGGGGTGAATTTTGCGGGTGAATTTCTCGGATTTTGGGATATTTTGGGCTGGATTTTTCGGATTTTGGGCCAGATTTTTTGGGGAATTTTGGGGATTTTTTTGGAATGTCGTGAATTTTGGGAAATTCGTGTATTTTGGGGTTTCGGGAATTTTGGGATTTTGGGGAATTTTGGGAATTTTGGAGTGGATTTTTGGGATTTTGGGCTGGATTTTTTTGGGAATCTCAGAGATTTTTTTTTGGAATTTTGGGCAATTTTGGGGAATTTTGGGGGGATTTTGGGCTGGATTTTGGGCTGAATTTCCATCATTTTTGGGCTATTTTGGTCTGGATTTTTCGGATTTTGGGCCGGATTTTTTTGGGAATTTCTGGATTTTTTTTGGGAATTCCGTGAATTTCGGGAATTTTGGGAATGTGGGAATTTTGGGGTGGATTTTTTTTTATTTTTGGGAACTTTGGAGTGGATTCTGGGCTGGATTTTGGGCTGAATTTCCGTGATTTTTGGGCTATTTTGGTCTGTATTTTTGGGATTTTGGGCCGGATTTTTTTGGAATTTTCGGGACTTTTTGGGAATTTTGGGAATTTGGGAATTCTGTGAAATTTGGAATTTTGGGGTGGATTTTGGGCTAGATTTTGGGCTGAAATTCCGTGATTTTTGGGCTATTTTGGTCAGTATTTTTGGGATTTTGGGCCGGATTTTTTTGGGAATTTCGGGAATTTTTTTTGAATTTGTGAATTTCGGGAATTTTTGGGAACTTTGGGGTGGATTTTGGGGTGGATTTTGGGCTGAATTTCAGGGATTTTTGGGTATTTTTGGGGTATTTTGGGCCGGATTTTTGGGATTTTGAGCCGGATTTTTTGGGGAATTCCGGGGATTTTTTTGGAATTTCGTGAATTTTGGGAATTTCAGGAATTCTGGAATTTTGGGGTGGGATTTTTGGGAATTTTGGGTGGATTTTGGGCTGGATTTCCGTGATTTTTGGCGTATTTTGGTCAGTATTTTTCGTATTTTGGTCCGGATTTTTTTGTGAATTTCGGGATTTTTTTCGTGAATTCCGGTAATTTCTGGAATTTTGGGAATTCCGTGTGGCAGGATCGGTCTGGGCGTGGCCGAGGCGCTGGGCGGGGCCGGGGCCCGCGTCTTCCTCAGCTCCCGACGCCCCCAAAACGTCCAACGGGCCCTGGAGCGGCTCCGGGGGCGGGGCCTACAGGTCAGGGGCGGGGCTTAAATTTTGGGGCGAATTACGGGGATTTTGGTCAATTTGGGGCATTTTGGGTTAATTTTGGGGGTTTTTGGGTGAATTTTGGGGGGGGATTTTGGGTCAATTTTTGGGATTTTGGGCGTTTTGAGTCACCAGAGGGGCGTGGCTTAATGGGGAGGGGGCGGGGCTTAAAGGGAAATGGGCGGGGCTTAAATTGGGGGGAATTTCAGGGATTTGGGGTTAATTTGGGGGGGATTTGGGTTAATTTGGGGGGTTTTGGGTGAATTTTTTGGGTTTTGTGTCACTGGAGGGGCGTGGCTTAAAGGGGAGGGGGCGGGGCCTACAGGTCAGGGGGCGGGGCTTAAATTTGGGGGGAATTCCGCGGATTTTGGGTCTGTTCTGGGGATTTTGGGTCAATTTGGGGGATTTTGGGTTAATTTGGGGGGGATTTAGGGGGAGTTTTGGGGATTTGGGTGAATTTTGGGGGTTTTGGGTCACCTGAGGGGTGGGGCTTAAAGGGGAGGGGGTGGAGCTTAAAAGGAAATGGGCGGGGCTTAAATTTGGCGGGAATTTAAGGGATTTTGGTTCAATTTTGGGGGATTTTGGGTCAATTTTGGGGGGATTTGGGGGATTTTGAGTCAATTTTGGGGGTTTTGGGTCACCTGAGGGGCGGGGCTTAAAGGGGAGGGGGCGGGGCCTGCAGGTCGGGGGGGGCTTAAATTTGGGGGGAATTTTGGGGATTTTGGGTTAATTTTGGGTTAATTTTGGGTTTATGTTGGGTTATTTTTGAGATAATTTTGAGTTAATTTTGGGTTTATTTTCAGTTTATTTTGGGTTGATTTTGAGTTAATTTTGAGTTAATTTTGGTTTAATTTTGGGTTAATTTTGGGGAGATTTTGGGTTAATTTTGAATTATTTTGAGTTAATTTTGAGTTAATTTTGGGGGTTTTTTTGGGTTAATTTTGGGTTATAATCTGGGTGGATTTTGGGGTGAATTTGGGGGATTTTGGGGTGTATTTTGGGGTGGATTTTGGGTGTATTTTGGGATGAATTTGGGGGGTTTTGGGGTGGATTTTGGGGTGAATTTGGGGGATTTTGGGGTGGATTTTGGGGTGAATTTGGGGTGAATTTTTGGATGTATTTTGGGGTGAATTTGGGGGATTTTGGGGGGATTTTGGGGTGAATTTTGGGGTGGATTTTGGGGTGAATTTGGGGTGAATTTGGGGTGGATTTTGGGGTGAATTTTGGGGTGAATTTGGGGGGTTTTCGGGTGGATTTTGGGGTGCATTTTGGGGTGAATTTGGGGGAGTTTGGGGTGGATTTTGGGGTGGATTTTGGGGTGGATTTTGGGGTGTATTTTGGGATGAATTTGGGGGGTTTTGGGGTGTATTTTGGGGTGAATTTGGGGGATTTTGGGGTGTATTTTGGGGTGGATTTTGGGTGTATTTTGGGATGAATTTGGGGGGTTTTGGGGTGGATTTTGGGGTGGATTTTGGGGTGAATTTGGGGGATTTTGGGGGGGATTTTGGGGTGTATTTTGGGGTGAATTTGGGGGGTTTTGGGTCTCTCTGCAGGTCAGTGGTACCACCTGCCACGTGGGCCGGGCCGAGGATCGCGAGAGGATGGTGCAGGAGGTGAGGCTGGGCACCCCAAAATCCCCCAAATTCACCCCAAAATTCATCCCAAAATCCACCCCAAAATTCACCTCAAAATCCACCCCAAAATCCACCCTAAATTCACCCCAAAATCTCCAAAATCCACCCCAAAATCCACCTCAAAATCCCCAAAATTCACCCCAAAATCCACCCCAAAATCCCCAAAATTCACCCCAAAATTCACCCCAAAATCCCCCAAATCCACCCCAAAATCCCAAAAATCCACCTGGGCACCCCAAAATCCCCAAATTCACCCCAAAATCCACCTGGGCACACCTGGGATGCATTTTGGGGATTTTTGGGGATTTTTGGGGTATTTTGGGGATTTGGGGCACACCTGGGATGGATTTTTGGGGATTTTTTGGGATTTTTTGGGGTTTTTGGGCACACCTGGGCACACCTGGGGTGGATTTTGGGGTAATTTTGGGGATTTTTAGGGGATTTTGGCGATTTTTGGGGATTTTGGGCACACCTGGGCACATCTGGGAAGGATTTTGGGGTTTTTTTTGGGGTATTTTTTTGGGATTTGGGGGATTTTGGGCACACCTGGGATGGATTTTGGGGTAATTTGGGGGATTTCTGTTATTTTTGGGGATTTTTTGGGATTTTGGGCACACCTGGGATGGATTTTGGGGCATTTTTGGGGATTTTTTGGTATTTTGGGGGATTTTTTGGGATTTTGGGCACACCTGGGCAGGATTTTGGGGTAATTTTGGGGGATTTTGAGGGTTTTCAGGATAATTTTGGGGTATTTTTGGGGTATTTTTGAGGGATTTTGGGGTAATTTTGTGGTAATTTTGGGTATTTTTGGGTTTTTTTGGGTTAATTTTGGGGTAATTTTGGGCATTTTCGGGCAGGCCCTGTCCACCTTCGGCGCCATCGACATTCTGGTGTCCAACGCCGCCGTCAACCCCCACCTGGGCCCCGCCCTGGAGGCCGACGAGCGCACCTGGGACAAGGTGGGGCCACGCCCACCCCAATTCCCGCCAAAATTCCCGAATTTCCCGCCAAAACCGGAAAAAAAAATCCCGCCAAAATCTCCCCCGAAATTAAAAAAAAATCCATCTGAAATCACGAAAAATCCAACATTTCCCGCCAAAAATCCAGAATTTCTCATCGAAAATTCCCGCCTAATTAAAAAAATTCCCACCCATATCCCAAAATTCCCAGATTTCCCGCCAAAATCCCAAAAAATTTCCCCAGAATCCAAAATTTTTGGATTTCCTGCCAAAATCCCAAATTTCCCGCCAAAACCCCGAATTTCCCGCCAAAATTGGAAAAAAATCCCGCCAAAATCTCCCCCAAAATTAAAAAAAAAAATCCGGCTGAAATCCCGAAAAATCCAAGATTTCCCAACAAAAATCCGGAATTTCCCGCCAAAATCCCGAATTTCCCTCCAAAACCCCCAATTTCCCGCCAAAATCGCGAATTTCCCGCCAAAACCGGAAAAAAAATCCCGCCAAAATCTCCCCGAAAATTAAAAAAAAATCCGGCCGAAATCCCGAAAAATTGATGATTTTCCCCCAAAAATCTGGATTTTCCCATCGAAAATCGGCAATTTCCCGCCAAAATCCCCGAATTTCCCGCCAAAAACGGGAAAAAATCCCTCCAAAATCTCCCTTGAAATTGAAAAAAAAATCTGTCCTAAATCACAAAAAATTCAACATTTCCCGCCAAAACTCCGGATTTTCCCATTGAAAATCTGCAATTTCCCACCAAAATTCCCAAATTTCCCACCAAAATTCCTGAAGTTCCCGCCAAAATTCCCAGATTTCCCGCCAAAATCCGGAATTTCCCGCTAAAATCCCGAATTTCCCGTTAAAATCCCCCAATTTCCCGCCAAAATCCCGAATTTCCCGCCGAAATCCCAAAAAATCCAAGATTTCCCACCAAAAATCTGGATTTTCCCATCAAAAATCAGCAATTTCCCACCAAAATTCCAAAATTTCCCCCCAAAACTGGAAAAAAATCCCGCCAAAATCTCACCCAAAATTGAAAAAAAAATCCGTCCGAAATCCTGAAAAATCCAAGAATTCCCGCCAAAATTCCCGAATTTCCCACCAAAATCCTGAATTTCCCGCCAAAATCCTGAATTTCCCACCAAAATCCCCGAATTTCTGCCGAAATCCCGAATTTCCCGTCAAAAAACCAAATTTCCCGCCAAAACCGGAAAAAAGTCCCGCCAAAATCTCCCCCAAAATTGAAAAAAAAAATCCGGCCGAAATCACGAAAAATCCAACATTTCCCTCCAAAAATCCAGAATTTCCCATCGAAAATCCGCAATTTCTCACCGAAATTCCCAAATTTCCCGCCAAAATCCCCGAATTTCCCGCCAAAATCCCCAAAATTTTCCAAAATCCCCAAAATTTCCCTCAAATTCCCCAAAAATCCTCCAAGATTTCCCCAAAATCCCCAAAATTCCCCTAAAATCCTCCAAATTCCCTCAAAATCCCAAAATTTTCCCAATTTCCCCCAAATTTTCCCAAAATCCCCCAAATTTCCCCAAATTTCTCTAAAATCCCCAAAATTCCCCCAAAATTTCCCCCAAATCCAATATTTCCCCAATTTCCCCCAAATTTCCCCAATTTCCCAAGAATTCCCCCCAAAATCCCAAAAATTCCCCCGAATTTCCCCCAAAATCACCCAAAATCCCCAAATTTCTCCAAAATTCCACCAAAATCACCCAAAATCCCAAAAATTCCCTCAAAATCCCAAAAGTTCCCCCAAAATCCCCCAAAAATCCCCCAAAATCTCCCAAAATCCCAAAACTTCCCCCCAAATCCCAAAATTTTCCAAATTTTCCCCAAAAATTCCCCCAAAATCTCCCAAAATTCCCCCAAAATCAAAAAATTTTCCCAAGTTTTCCTGATTTCCCCCCAATTTCCCCAAAATTTCCCCCAAATTTTCCCCAAAATTCCCCCAAATTCCCCCAAAATTCCACCCAAATCCCAAAAATTCCCCCAAATCCCCCAAATTTTCCCCAAATTCCTCAAAAATTTCCCCAAATCCCTCAAAATTCCTTCCAATTTTCCCCAAATTTCCCCCAAATTTTCCCAAAAATTCCCCCAAAATTCCCCCAAAATCTCCCAATTTCCCCAAATTTTCCCAATTTCCCCAAATTTCCCAATTTCCCCGGAATTCCCCCAAAATTCCCCCAAATTTCCCAATTTCCCCCAAATTTTCCCATTTCCCCAAATTTTCCCGATTTCCCCAAATTTCCCCAATTTCCCCCAAAATTCCCCCAAAATCCCAACATTTCCCCAAAATTTCCCCAAAATTCCCCCAAATTTTCCCAATTTCCCCCAAATTTTCCAAAAATCCCCGGAATTCCCCCCAATTTCCCCGCAGGTGTTCCAGGTGAACGTGACGGCGGCGGCGATGCTGATCCAGCTCGTGGTGCCCCACATGGAGAGGCGCGGGTGAGACTGGTTTGAACTGGTTTATACTGGTTTATACTGGTTTGTACTGGGAGGGGAAAAATGGGGCAAAAACGGGGAAAATCGGGCAAAAAATGGCCAAAAAACGCCCAAAAAATGGCCAAAAAACGGGGAAAAAATCGAATTTTAAAGGGTTAAAAATGGGTGAAATGGGGTTTGGGGTTACTGGTTTGTACTGGTTTGTACTGGTTTATACTGGTTTATACTGGTTTATACTGGGAGGGAAAAATGGGGGAAAAATGGGGAAAATCGGGCAAAAAATGGCCAAAAAATGGGGAAAAAAATCGGATTTTAAAGGGTTAAAAATGGGTGAAATGGGGGTTTGGGGTTAATGGTTTGTACTGGTTTGTACTGGTTTATACTGGTTTGTACTGGGAGGGAACTGGGAGGGAAAAAATGGGGCAAAAACGGGGAAAATCGGGCAAAAAGTAGCCAAAAAATGGCCAAAAAATGGAAAAAAATCGGATTTTAAAGGGTTAAAAATGGTTGAAATGAGGTTTGGGGTAACTGGTTTGTACTGGTTTATACTGGTTTGTACTGGTTTATACTGGTTTGTACTGGTTTGTACTGGGAGGGGAAAATGGGGCAAAAACGGGGAAAATTGGGAAAAAAACGGCCAAAAAACGGGGAAAAAATCGGATTTTAAAGGGTTAAAAATGGGTGAAATGGGGGTTGGAGTTACTGGTTTGTACTGGTTTATACTGGTTTGTACTGGTTTGTACTGGTTTATACTGGGAGGGAACTGGGAGGGGAAAAATGGGGCAAAAACGGGGAAAATCGGGCAAAAAATGGCCAAAAAATGGCCAAAAAATGGGAAAAAAATCGAATTTTAAAGGGTTAAAAATGGGTGAAATGGGGATTTTGAGTTTCTGGTTTGTACTGGTTTGTACTGGTTTATACTGGTTTGTACTGGTTTATACTGGGAGGGAACTGGGAGGGGAAAAATGGGGGAAAAACGGGGAAAATCGGGCAAAAAATGGCCAAAAAACGGGGAAAAATCGAATTTTAAAGGGTTAAAAATGGGTGAAATGAGGTTTGGGGTTACTGGTTTGTACTGGTTTATACTGGTTTATACTGGTTTGTACTGGTTTGAACTGGTTTATACTGGTTTATACTGGTTTGTACTGGTTTGTACTGGTTTATACTGGTTTTTACTGGTTTTTACTGGTTTATACTGGTTTGTACTGGTTTAAACTATTTTGAACTGTTTTTTACTGGTTTATACTGGTTTTTACTGGTTTTTACTGGTTTTTACAGGTTTATACTGGATTATACTGGTTTTTACTGGTTTATACTGGTTTATACTGGTTTTTAATGGTTTGAACTGTTTTTTTACTGGTTTTTACTGTTTTTTACTGTTTTTTACTGTTTTTTACTGGTTTTTACTGGTCTATACTGGTTTTTACTGGTTTTTACCATTTTTTACTGGTTTATATTGGTTTATACTGGTTTGTACAGTTTTTTTACTGGTTTTTACTGGTTTATACTGGTTTGAACTGGTTTTTTACTGGTTTTTACTGTTTTTTACTGGTTTATACTGGATTATACTGGTTTTAACTGTTTTTTTATTGGTTTTTACTGGTTTTTACTGGTTTATACTGGTTTATACTGGTTTATACTGATTTGAACTGTTTTTTAACTGGTTTTTATTGGTTTAAGGGGCGTGGCTTTGTCAGAAGGGGGCGTGGCTTTGGCCGCTGTGGGCGTGGCTTTGCCCGTTGATTGACAGCCGGGCTAAGCCACGCCCCCTCGTGCCGCAGGGGCGGGGCCATCGTGGTGATGTCATCGATCGCCGGCTACCAGCCAATGGCGGTGAGTGCTGCTGGGGATACTGGTTTGGACTGGTTTGTACTGGTTTGGACTGGTTTATACTGGTTTATACTGGGAGGGGGTTTGGGGTTACTGGTTTATACTGGTTTGGACTGGTTTATACTGGTTTATACTGGTTTTACTGGGACGGACAGGTTTATACTGGTTTATACTGGTTTATACTGGTTTATATTGGTTTATACTGGTTTATACTGGTTTGTACTGGTTTGTACTGGTTTATACTGGTTTATACTGGGAATGGGTTTGGCGTTACTGGTTTATACTGGTTTGGACTGGGAGGGACTGGTTTATACTGGTTTATACTGGGATGGGCTCTGGGGTTACTGGTTTGTACTGGGATGAACTGGGATGAACTGGGAGGGGGTTTGGGGTCACTGGGATGAACTGGGAACGCGTTTCTCCTTACTGGTTTATACTGGTTTGGGGTTTTTTCTTACTGGTTTATACTGGTTTGTACTGGGATGAACTGGGATGAACTGGGAGGGGTTTGGGGTCACTGGGATGAACTGGGAATGTGATTTCCCTTACTGGTTTATACTGGTTTGGTGTTTTCCCTTACTGGTTTGTACTGGTTTGTACTGGGATGGGGTTTTTTCTTACTGGTTTGGGTTTTTTTCTTACTGGTTTATACTGGGATGAACTGGGAGGGGGTTTGGGGTCACTGGTTTGAACTGGGAACGCATTTTCCCTTACTGGTTTGTACTGGAATGGGTTTTTTTCTTACTGGTTTCTACTGGTTTGGGATTTTTTCTTACTGGTTTATACTGGGATGAACTGGGATGAACTGGGAGGGGGTTTGGGGTCACTGGGAGGGGATTTGGGGTCACTGGTTTGAACTGGGAACACACTTTTCCTTACTGGTTTGTACTGGTTTGGGGTTTTCCCTTACTGGTTTGTACTGGTTTATACTGGTTTGGGTTTTTTTCTTACTGGTTTATACTGGTTTATACTGGGATGGACTGGGAGGGGGTTTGGGGTCACTGGGAGGGAATTTGGGGTCACTGGTTTAAACTGGGAACGCGTTTTCTCTTACTGGTTTGGTGTTTTTTGTTACTGGTTCATACTGGTTTGTACTGGGATGGGCTGTGGGCGTGTCCGTGCATATGCTAATGAGGGGGGCGTGTCCCGGTGACGTCACAGGGGCTGGGCCCGTACAGCGTCAGTAAAACCGCCCTGCTGGGGCTGGACTGGGAGGGGCTGTGGGCTTACTGGTTTGGACTGGTTTGGACTGGTTTGGACTGGTTTGGACTGGGATGGGGTTTTTTCTTACTGGTTTGTACTGGGATGGGCTCAGGGGTTACTGGTTTGTACTGGGATGAACTGGGATGAACTGGGAGGGGGTTTGGGGGTTACTGGGATGAACTGGGAATGGGTTTTCCCTTACTGGTTTATACTGGGAATGCGTTTTCCCTTACTGGTTTGGGGTTTTTTGTTACTGGTTTGTACTGGGATGGGCTGTGGGCGTGTCCAGGCGTATGCTAATGAGGGGGCGTGTCCCGGTGACGTCACAGGGGCTGGGCCCGTACAGCGTCAGTAAAACCGCCCTGCTGGGGCTGGACTGGGAGGGGCTGTGGCCTTACTGGTTTGGACTGGTTCATACTGGTTTGGGGGTTTTTTCTTACTGGTTTGTACTGGGATGGACTGGGATGAACTGGGAGGGGGTTTGGGGTCACTGGGATGAACTGGGAACGCATTTTCCCTTACTGGTTTGTACTGGTTTTGGGTTTTTTCTTACTGGTTTGGGGTTTTCCCTTACTGGTTTGTACTGGGATGGGGTTTTTTGTTACCGGTTTGTACTGGGCTGGGCTGTGGGCGTGTCCGGGCGTATGCTAATGAGGGGGCGTGTCCCGGTGACGTCACAGGGGCTGGGCCCGTACAGCGTCAGTAAAACCGCCCTGCTGGGGCTGGACTGGGAGGGGCTGTGGCCTTACTGGTTTGGACTGGTTTGTACTGGTTTGGGGTTTTTTCTTACTGGTTTGTACTGGTTTGGGGTTTTTTCTTACTGGTTTATACTGGTTTGGGGTTTTTTCTTACTGGTTTGTACTGGGATGAACTGGGATGAACTGGGAGGGGGTTTAGGGGTCACTGGGATGGGATTTGGGGTTACTGGTTTGTACTGGTTTGGTGTTTTTGGTTACTGGTTTGTACTGGGATGGGGTTTTTTCTTACTGGTTTGGGCCGGGGTGGGTCGGGGGCGTGTCCGGGCATATGCTAATGAGGGGGGCGTGTCCCGGTGACGTCACAGGGGCTGGGCCCGTACAGCGTCAGTAAAACCGCCCTGCTGGGATTGGTCAGCGCCCTCAGCCCGGAGCTGCTGCCCCGCGGGATCCGCATCAACGGCGTCGCCCCGGGGCTGATCCGCACCCGCTTCAGCGCCGCCGTGAGTGGGGCTGGGGTTACTGGTTTATACTGGTTTATACTGGGAGGGACTGGGGAAAAAAAAATGGGGAGAAACGGCGAAAAAACGGCGAAAAAACGGCAAAAAACGGGGAAAAAATGGGTAAAAACGGCGAAAAAATGGGGAAAAAAGGGTTAAAATGGGTTAATAAAGGGTTAAAATGGGATTTGGGGTTACTGGTTTATACTGGTTTATACTGGGAGGGACTGGGGAAAAAAATGGGGAAAAATGGGGAAAATACAGCGAAAAAACGGTGAAAAAACGGGGGAAAAATGGGGAAGAAATGGGGAATAAAGGGTTAAAATGGCGGTTTGGGGTTACTGGGAGGGACTGGTTTGTACTGGTTTGTACTGGTTTATACTGGGAGGGACTGGTTTATACTGGGAGGGGGAAAATGGGGGAAAATGGGAAAAATGGGGAAAAATTGGGGAAAAATGGGTGAAAAATGATGAAAAATGGGGAGGAAAGGGTTAAAATGGCGGTTTGGGGTTACTGGTTTGTACTGGTTTATACTGGGGGGGGGAAACAGCGAAAAAACGGCAAAAAACGGGGAAAAAACGGTGAAAAAACGGCGAAAAACGGCGAAAAAATGGGGAAAAAAGGGTTAAAAAGGGTTAATAAAGGGTTAAAATGGGATTTGGGGTTACTGGTTTATACTGGTTTATACTGGGAGGGGATGGGGAAAAAAACGGGGAAAAACGGGGAAAAAACGGTGAAAAAACGGCGAAAAATGGGGAAAAAATGGGGAAGAAAGGGTTAAAAATGGACATTAAAGGGTTAAAAGGGGATTTGGGGTTACTGGTTCGGACTGGTTTATACTGGTTTTATTCTGGTTTGTACTGGTTTATACTGGGAGGGGGAAAATGGGGGAAAATTGGGGGAAAATGGGGAAAAAATGGGGAAAATGGATAAAAAATGGGGAAAAATGGGGAAAAAAGGGTTAAAAATGGGGAAGAAAGGGTTAAAATGGGATTTGGGGTTACTGGTTTATACTGGTTTTTACTGGTTTGGACTGGTTTGTACTGGTTTATACTGGGAGGGACTGGGAGGGGGAAAATGGCGGAAAAATGGGGAAAAATGGGGAAAAAATGGGGAAAAAATGGGGGAAAATGAGGGGAAAATGGGGAATAAAGGGTTAGAAAGGGATTTGGGGTTACTGGTTTATACTGGTTTATACTGGTCTATACTGGTTTATACTGGTTTATACTGGTTCATACTGGTTTTTACTGGTTCATACTGGTTTTTACTGGTTCATACTGGTTTTTACTGGTTTTTCCAGCTGTGGGAGGACGAGGCCACGCGGGATCAGGCGCTGGCGGCACTGGGAGCCCAGAGGTGAGAAACCAGTATGGCCCAGTATGGCCCAGTTCCCTCCCAGTCCAAACCAGTACAAACCAGTCCAAACCAGTAACCCCAAACCCCCTTTTTAAACCCTTTTTTAACCCTTTTTTCCCCATTTTTTTATACATTTTTGGACCATTTTTTACCATTTTCCCCCATTTTTTCCCCTCCCAGTCCCTCCCAGTCCAAACCAGTCCAAACCAGTCCAAACCAGTAACCCCAAACCCCTTTTTAACCCTTTATTCCCCACATTTCCCCTGTTTATTGCCCTTTTTTAGCCCATTTTTGCTCGTTTTTTTCCCATTTTTCCCCCGTTTTTTCCCATTTTTCCCCGTTTTTCCCCCATTTTTCCCTCCCAGTCCCTCCCAGTACAAACCAGTAACTCCCAATCTCCTCCTAGTCCAAACCAGTCCAAACCAGTAACCCCAAACCCCTTTTTAACCCTTTATTCCCCCACATTCCCCCCATTTTTTCCCCATTTACCCCCATTTTTAGCCCATTTTTTCCCATTTTTCCCCGTTTTTTCCCCATTTTTTCCCCGTTTCCCCCCATTTCTCCCCCTCCCAGTCCCTCCCAGTACAAACCAGTCCAAACCAGTAACTCCAAATCCCTTTTTAACCCTTTATTCCCCACATTTCCCCAAATTTCCCCCATTTTTTCCCATTTTCCCCCATTTTTTCCCCATTTTTTCCCCATTTTTTTGCCCATTTCCCCCCATTTTTCCCCCCCAGTCCCTCCCAGTATAAACCAGTAACTCCCAATCCCTCCCAGTCCCTCCCAGTACAAACCAGTAACTTTGCACCCCCTTTTTAACCCTTTATTCCCCACATCTCCCCCATTTTTGCTCGTTTTTTCCCCATTTTTTCCCCGTTTTTTGCCGTTTTTTCCCCATTTTTTCCCCATTTTTCCCCATTTTTCCCCATTTTTCCCCTCCCAGTCCCTCCCAGTATAAACCAGTAACCCCAATCCCCTTTTAACCCTTTATTCCCCACATTTCCCCCATTTCTCCCCCATTTTTCCCCATTTTTCCCCGTTTTTTCCCCATTTTTTCCCCATTTTTGCCCATTTTTCCCCCATTTTCCCCCGTTTTTCCCCATTTTCCCCCTTTTTTCCCCATTTTTTCCCCATTTTCCCCCGTTTTCCCCATTTTTCCCCCATTTCTGCCCTCCCAGTCCCTCCCAGTACAAACCAGTCCAAACCAGTAACCCCAATTCCACTTTTAACCCTTTATTCCCCACATCTCCCCCATTTTTGCTCGTTTTTTCCCCATTTTTTCCCCGTTTTTTGCCGTTTTTCCCCTTTTTTCCCAATTTTTCCCCCTCCCAGTCCCTCCCAGTCCAAACCAGTACAAACCAGTCCAAACCAGTAACCCCAAACCCCTTTTTAACCCTTTATTCCCCACATTCCCCCTGTTTTTCGTCCGTTTTTAGCCCATTTTTTCCCCGTTTTTTGCCAATTTCCCCGTTTTTTCCCCGTTTTTTGCCCGTTTTTCCCCGTTTTTCCCCATTTCCCCCCTCCCAGTCCCTCCCAGTATAAACCAGTAACCCCAGTCCCCCCCCAGGCTGGGCTCCCCGCAGGACGTGGCTCAGGCCGTGCTGTTCCTGGTGTCCCCCAGCGCCGCCTTCGTGGCCGGACAGACCCTGCTGGTGGCCGGGGGGGCGCGGCCCCGCCTCTGACCACGCCCTCCTCATTAATATGCAAATTTATGCTAATTGGATGCGAAATAAAATTAGTTGTGGCAATGGTGGTTCGTATTGGCGGTTACTGGTTTGTACTGGGAGGGACTGGGAGGGGACTGCAGGACCCTGCTGGTGGCCGGGGGGGCGCGGCCCCGCCTCTGACCCCGCCCTCCTCATTAATATGCAGATTTACGCTAATTAGATGCGAAATAAAATCAATTGTGGCAATGGTAATTGGGGTTGGTGGTTACTGGTTTGTACTGGTTTGGACTGGGAGGGACTGGGACAGACCCTGCTGGTGGCCGGGGGGGCGCGGCCCCGCCTCTGACCCCGCCCTCCTCATTAATATGCAGATTTATGCTAATTAGACGTGAAATAAAATCGATTATATTGCTGCATGTTGGTACTGGTGGTTACTGGTTTGTACTGGTTTGTATAGGTTTGTACTGGGAGGCACTGGGAGGAGTCCAGACACAACTCTGACCACGCCCACCTCATTAATATGCAAATTTATGCTAATTAGACTCGAAATAAAATTGATTGTGGTAATGGTAATTGGGGTTTGGGGTTACTGGTTTGGACTGGTTTTGACTGGGAGGGACTGGTTTGGACTGGGAGGAGTCTATACACGTATAGGATCACGCCCACCTCATCAATATGCAGATTTATGCAAATTAGATGCAAAATAAAATGAATGGTGGCAATGGTAATTGGAGTTGGGGGTTACTGGTCTGTACTGGGAGGGACTGGGACAAACTGGGAGGGACTGGGAGGGGTTTAGACACGACTCTGACCACGCCCACCTCATTAATATGCAGATTTATGCTAATTAGATGCGAAATAAAATAGATTGTGGCGATGGTAATTGGGGTTTGGGGTTACTGGTTTGTACTGGTTTGTACTGGGAGGGGACTGGGAGGGGTTTAAACACGCCTAGCTCATTAATATGCAAATTTATGCTGATGAGAGGTGGGAATAAATGTAAATATGCAGACAGAGATGGGGTTACTGGTTTGTACTGGGAGGGAACTGGGAGGGGTTTACACACACCTAGCTCATTAATATGCAAATATATGCTAATGAGAGGTGGAAACCTATTTGAATACACCTCCACCCCACCTCTGACCACACCCACCTTTAACATGCAAATTCATGCAAATCACACACTTTTATTTTTTGTGAATATTTTTTTATTATTATTTTTCTCATTCCGGAGCCAAAACCCCCCAAAAAAAACCCCCAAAAAAACCCCAAAAAAACCCCAAAAAAAAACCCCAAAAAAATTCCCATTTCCGGGTTGGGGGCGGGGCCAACACCGAGGCCACGCCCCCTTTTCCCGCCAGCCAATAGGAGGGGAGGGGGCGTGGCCAAGGGGAAAGGGGCGGGGTCAGAGCCGAGGCCACGCCCCCTTTTCCCGCCAGCCAATAGGAGGGGAGGGGGCGTGGCCAAAGGGGGGAAAGGGGCGGGGCCACAGACAAAGCCACGCCCCCTTTTCCCGCCAGCCAATAGGAGGGGAGGGGGCGTGGCCAAAGGGGAAAAGGGGCGGAGCCGATCTCACCTGGAAAGAAAAGGGGGCGGAGTTAAAGGGGAACTGGTTTATACTGGTTTATACTGGTTTATACTGGTTTGGGGTTTTTTCTTACTGGTTTGTACTGGGAATGGGTTTGGGGTTACTGGTTTGTACTGGGAATGGGTTTGGGGTTACTGGTTTGTACTGGGAATGGGTTTGGGGTTACTGGTTTGTACTGGGAATGGGTTTGGGGTTACTGGTTTGTACTGGGAGGGGGTTTGGGGTTACTGGTTTGTACTGGGAATGGGTTTGGGGTTACTGGTTTGTACTGGGAATGGGTTTGCGGTTACTGGTTTGTACTGGGAATGGGTTTGGGGTCACTGGTTTATACTGGGAATGGGTTTGGGGTTACTGGTTTATACTGGGAGGGGGTTTGGGGTTACTGGTTTATACTGGGAATGGGTTTTCCCTTACTGGTTTATACTGGGACGGGCTCTGGGGGTTACTGGTTTGTACTGGGATGAACTGGGATGAACTGGGAGGGGGTTTGGGGTTACTGGTTTGTACTGGGAATGGGTTTGGGGTTACTGGTTTATACTGGGAGGGGGTTTGGGGTTACTGGTTTATACTGGGAATGGGTTTTCCCTTACTGGTTTATACTGGGACGGGCTCTGGGGGTTACTGGTTTGTACTGGGATGAACTGGGATGAACTGGGAGGGGGTTTGGGGTCACTGGGATGAACTGGGAATGACTTTTCCCTTACTGGTTTATACTGGTTTGGGCTCTGGGCATTACTGGTTTATACTGGGATGGACTGGGACCAAACTGGGATGAACTGGGATGAACTGGGAGGGGTTTGGGGTCACTGGTTTATACTGGGAATGGGTTTTCCCTTACTGGTTTATACTGGGACGGGCTCTGGGGGTTACTGGTTTGTACTGGGATGGGCTCTGGGGTTATTGGTTTGTACTGGGATGGGCTCTGGGGTTACTGGTTTGTACTGGGATGGGACTGGGATGAACTGGGAGGGGGTTTGGGGTTACTGGTTTATACTGGGAATGACTTTTCCCTTACTGGTTTATACTGGTTTTGGCTTTTCCCTTACTGGTTTTGGCTCTGGGCTGACCGGTTTGAACCGGTTTGAACTGGGATGAACTGGGAGGGGGTCGGGGAAGGTGTTAAGGGGTCCGAACCGGTCCGAACTGGTTTATACTGGTTTATACTGGTTTATACTGGGAGGGGCTCACATGGTCTGGGACGAGAAGAGCCCCGAGAGCGTCAAACACTGAGAGGCCAAATTCAGCGCCGGGCTCAGGGCTGGGGGGGGAAATTTGGGGGTCAGGGGGGTCCCCGAAATTCCCAAAATCCCAAATTCCCAAAATTCCCAAAATTCCCGAAATTATCCCCAAAAATTTCCCGAAATTCCCGCAAAAAACGACCCAAAAATGACCCAAAATCACCCAAAAATGACACAAAATGACCCAAAATCAGCCCAAGTTTGGGGTCGGGGGACCCCAAAATTTGGAAATCCCAAAATTCCCAAAATTCCCAAAATTCCCGAAATTATCCCCAAAAATTTCCCGAAATTCCCGCCAAAAACGCCCCAAAATTGACCCAAAATTGACCCAAAATCAACCAAAATAATCCAAATTTGCCCAAATTGGCCCAAAAATCAGCCCAAGTTTGGGGTCAGGGGGGTCCCCGAAATTCGGGAATCCCAAAATTCCCAAAATTCCCAAAATTCCCGAAATTATCCCCAAAAATTTCCCGAAATTCCCGCAAAAAACGCCCCAAAAATTGACCAAAATGGCCCCGAAATGACCCCAAATCAGCCCAAGTTCGGGGTGGGGGAGGGGAAATTTGGGGTTGGGGGGGCCCAAATTTGGGAATCCCCAAATTCCCAAAATTCCCAAAATTCCCGAAATTATCCCCAAAAATTTCCCGAAATTCCCGCAAAAAACGACCCAAAAATGACCCAAAATCGCGAAAAATTGACCCAAATTTGCCCAAAATCAGCCCAAGTTTGGGGTGGGGGAGGGGAAATTTGGGGTTGGGGGGAGGCCAAAATTTGTGAATCCCCAAATTCCCAAAATTCCCAAAATTCCCGAAATTATCCCCAAAAATTTCCCGAAATTCCCACCAAAAAACGCCCCAAAATTGACCAAAAACGCCCAAAATGGCCCCGAAATGACCCAAAATCAGCCCAAGTTTGGGATGGGGGAGGGGAAATTTGGGGTTGAGGGTGGCCCAAAATTTGGGAATTCCCAAAATTCCCAAAATTCCCAAAATTCCCGAAATTATCCCCAAAAATTTCCCGAAATTCCCGCAAAAAACACCCCAAAAATGACCCAAAATGACACAAATTTGCCCAAAATCAACCCAAGTTTGGGGTGGGGGAGGGGAAATTTGGGGTTGGGGGGGCCCAAAATTTGGGAATTCCCAAAATTCCCAAAATTCCCAAAATTCCCGAAATTATCCCCAAAATTCCCGCGGAAAACGCCCCAAAATTGACCCAAAATGACCCAAATTAGCCCAAAATCAGCCTCAATTTGGAGTGGGGGAGGGGAAATTTGGGGTTGGGGGGGACCCAAAATTTGGGAATCCCAAAATTCCCAAAATTCCCGAAATTCCCGAAATTATCCCCAAAAATTTCCCGAAATTCCCGCAAAAACGCCCCAAAATTGACCCAAAATGGCCCCGAAATGACCCAAAATCAGCCCAAGTTGGGGTGGGGGAGGAGAAATTTGGGGTCAGGGGGGGGCCCAAATTTGGGAATCCCCAAATTCCCAAAATTCCCAAAATTCCCGAAATTATCCCCAAAAATTTCCCGAAATTCCCGCAAAAAACGGCCCAAAATTGACCCAAAATCACTAAAAATTGACCCAAATTTGCCCCAAATGGCCCCAAAATCAGCCCAAGTTTGGGGTCGGGGGGTCCCAAAATTTGTGAATCCCAAAATTCCCAAAATTCCCAAAATTCCCGAAATTATCCCCAAAAATTTCCCGAAATTCCCGCAAAAAACGCCCCAAAAATGACCCAAAATGGCCCCGAAATGACCCAAAATCAGCCCAAGTTTGGGGTGGGGGAGGGGAAATTTGGGGTTGGGGGGGGCCAAAATTTGGGAATCCCAAAATTCCCAAAATTCCCGAAATTATCCCCAAAAATTTCCAAAATTCCCACAAAAAACGCCCCAAAAATGACCCAAAATGACCCAAATTTGCCCAAAATGGCCCCAAAATGACCCAAAATCAGCCCAAATTTGGAGTGGGGGAGGGGAAATTTGGGGTTGGGGGGGGCCAAAATTCGGGAATTCCAAAATTCCCAAAATTCCCAAAATTATCCCCAAAAATTTCCCGAAATTCCCACAAAAAACGCCCCAAAAATGACCCAAAATGGCCCAAAATGGCCCCAAATTTGGGATCGGGGGGGCCCCAAATTCGGATATCCCCAAATTCCCAAAATTCCCAAAATTATCTCCAAATTTCCCCCCAAATCCCCAATTTTTGGCTTCCCCCACTCCAAATTTTTGGGGTCCCCCCAAATTTTTGGGTTCCCACCCCAAACCCCCCAAATTTTTGGGGTCCCACCCCAAAATATCCAATTTTTCGACTTCTGCCCCTCCAAAAACCCCAAAATTTTTGGGCTCCCCCACCCCAAACCCCCAAAATTTTGGGGTCCCCCCAAATTTTTGTCTCCCCCCACCCCAAACCCCCCCAAATTTTTGGGGACCCCCCAAAACCCCCAAATTTTGGCTCTTTTACCCCAAAATATCCAATTTTTCGACTTCTACCCCTCCCAAAATCTCCAAATTTTTGGGTTTCCCACCCCAAACCCCCCAAATTTTTGGGGTCCCCCCAAATTTTTGGGTTCTCCCTCCCAAAATATCCAATTTTTTGACTTCTGCCCCTCCCAAAATCTCAAAATTTTGGGGTTTCCCACCCCAAAATCCCCAAATTTTGGGGTCCCACCACCCCAAACCCTCCAAATTTTTGGGGTCCCCTCCCAAACCCCCAAATTTTGGCTCTTTTACCCCAAAATATCCAATTTTTCGACTCCTGCCCCTCCCCAAAACCCCAAATTTTTGGGTTTCCTGCCCCAAATTTTTGGGTTTCCCCTCCCAAATCCCCAAATTTTGGGTTTCCCACCCAAAACCCCCCAAATTTTTGGGGTTTCCACTTCCAAACCCCCCAGATTTTTGGGTCCCCCCAAATTTTTGGGTTTCCCATCCCAAATTTTTGTCTCCCCCACCCCAAACCCCCCAAATTTTTGGGGTTCCCACCTCCAAATCTCCATTTTTTCAACTCCTGCCCCCAAACCCCCCAAATTTTTGGCTCCCCCGCCCCAAATTTTTGTGTTTCCCACCCCCAAATTCCCAAATTTTTGGGTTCTCCCACCCCAAAATCTCCAATTTTTCGCCTTCTACCCCTCCCTAAACCCCCTAAATTTTTGGGGTCCCACCCCCAAATCTCCAATTTTTTTGCCTTCTGCCCCTCCCAAAACCCCAAATTTTTGGGTTTCCCACCCCAAATTTTTGGGTTTCTCACCCCAAATTTTTGGGTTTCCCCCTCCCAAACCCCCCAAATTTTTGGGGTCCCACCCCAAACCCCCCAAATTTTTGGGGTCGGTCCCCCCAAATTTTTGGGGTTCCCACCATCCCAAAACCCCCAATTTTTTTGGGGTCCTCCCACCCCAAAATCCCCAAAATCCCCAAATTTTTGGGTTTCCCACCCCAAATTTTTGGGGTTACCACCCCCAAAACCCCCAAATTTTTGTGTCCCACCCCCAAATCCCCAAATTTTGGGGTCCCCCAACCTCAAATCTCCAATTTTTCGACTCCTGCCCCAAAACCCCCCAAATTTTTGGGTTTCACCCCTCCCAAAACCCCAAAATTTTTGGTGTTCTCCCCCAAAATCCAAAATTTTTGTCTCCCCCCACCCCAAACCCCCAAATTTTTGGGTTTCCCACCCCCAAACCCCCCAAATTTTGTCTCCCCACCCCAAACCCCCAAATTTTTGGGGTCCCACCACCCCAAATCCCCAAAATTTTGGGGTTCCCCACCCCAAACCCCCCAAATTTTTGGGATCCCCCCAAATTTTTGTGTTTCCCACCCCAAATTTTTGCCTCCCCCCACCCCAAACCCCCCAAATTTTTGGGGTCCCCCCAAATTTTTCGGTTTCCCACCCCAAACCCCCCAAATTTTTGGGGTTCCAACCCCCAAACCCCCAAATTTTTGGGTTCTCCCTCCCAAAATATTCAATTTTTCACCTTCTCCCCCTCCCCAAACCCCAAATTTTTGTGTTTCCCACCCCAAATTTTTGTGTTTCCCCCCCCCCAAAACCCCCAAATTTTGTCTCTTTTACCCCAAAATCTCCAATTTTTCGCCTCCTGCCCCTCCCCCAAACCCCAAATTTTTGGGTTTCCCACCCCAAATTTTTGGGTTTTCCCCCCCCAAACCCCCCAAATTTTTGGGTTTTCCCACCCCAAACCCCCCAAATTTTTGGGGTCCCACCCAAATTTCGGGGTCCCCCCAATTTTTTGGTGTTCCACCCCCAAACCCCCAAATTTTTGGGGTCCAACCCCAAAAATCCGATTTTTTTGCTTCTGCCCCTCCCAAAATCTCCAAATTTTTGGGGTTTCCCCCCCCAAATCCCCCAAATGTTTGGCTCTCCCCACCCCAAACCCCCCAAATTTTTGGGGTCCCACCCCCAAATCCCAAAGTTTTGTCTCCCCCACCCCAAAATCTCCAATTTTTTGGGTTTCCCACCCCAAATTTTTGTGTCCTCCCACCCCAAACCCCCCAAATTTTTGGGTTTCCCACCCCCAAACCCCCCAAAATTTTTGGTTTCCCCCCCAAATTTCGGGGTCCCCCCAATTTACCTGTGAGGGCGGCGGGGTTGAGCCCCCCCAGGGGGTTCAGGGCCCCGTTGAGCTGCTGAAGCGCCGCCTGAGCCGGGGCCGGCAGCTGCAGCCCCGAGCCTGGAAAACACCAAAAACACCGGAATTAGACCCAAAATCTGCTCTGGGGAGGTGGAGAATTCGAAAATCGGTGAGAGCGACCACGAAAACCCAAAAAAAACACCAAAAGTCACCCAATTTTTACCCTAAAATCGCCGTTTTTCGTCCTAAAATCCCCATTTTTTCACCATTTTCCCCCATTTTTCATCCTAAAATCCCCATTTTTTCACCATTTTTCACCCAAATTTCCCCATTTTTTGCCGCCATTTTTTCCCATAAAACTTCCATTTTCCATCCTAAAATCCCCATTTTTTGACCCCTTTTCCCCATAAAATTCCCATTTTTCGCTCTAAAATCCCCATTTTTTGTCCTAAAATCTCCATTTTTTCACCATTTTCCACCCAAAATTCCCCCATTTCTTCCGCCGTTTTCCCGCCATTTTCTCCGCCATTTTCCTCCAGAATTTCCCCATTTTTCGCTCTAAAATCCACATTTTTTGCTCTAAAATCTCCATTTTTTCATCGTTTTTCACCATTTTTTCCGCCATTTTTTCCGCCATTTTCCTCCCACATTTCCCCATTTTTCGCTCTAAAATCCTCATTTTTCTTCCTAAAATCCCCATTTTTCTTCCTAAAATCTCCATTTTTTCACCATTTTCCACCCAAATTTCCCCATTTCCCCTCCTATTTTTCCCCCATTTCTTCCACCATTTTCCCCCACAAAATCCCACATTTTTCACTCTAAAATCCCCATTTTTTGCTCTAAAATCTCCATTTTTTCACCGTTTTTCACCATTTTTTCACCGTTTTTCACCATTTTTTTCCACCATTTTTCCCCATAAAATCTCCATTTTTTGCCCTAAAATCCCCATTTTTCTTCCTAAAATCTCCATTTTTTCCACCATTTTCCCCCATTTTTCCACCATTTTCCACCCAAATTTCCACATTTCTTCCGCCATTTTCCTACCAATTTTCTGCCATTTTCCCGCCATTTTTTCTGCCATTTTCCTCCAGAATTTCCCCATTTTTCACTCTAAAATCTCCATTTTTCCTCATAAAATCCCCATTTTTCTTCCTAAAATCCCCATTTTTTCACCCATTCTTTCACCATTTTTCCCCCATTTTTCACCCAAATTTCCCCATTTTTTGCCACCATTTTCCCCCTACAAAATCCCCACTTTTCCCCATAAAATCTCCATTTTTTCACCATTTTTCACCCAAATTTCACCATTTTTCACCCAAATTTCTCCATTTTCCCTCCTAGTTTCACCCCATTTCTTCCGCGATTTTCCTCCACAATTTCCCCATTTTTCGCTCTAAAATCCCCATTTTTTCACCGTTTTTCTCCATTTTTTCACCATTTTCCCCCATTTTTCCCCATTTTTACCCCAAATTTCCCCATTTTTCAGGCAAATTTCCCTAATTTTCCGCCATTTTTAACCCAGAATTTCCCCCATTCTTTCCGCCATTTTCCTCCATAATTCCCCCATTTTTCGCTCTAAAATCCCCATTTTTCCTCATAAAATCCCCATTTTTCCTCATAAAATCGCCATTTATCTTCCTAAAATCTCAATTTTTTCACCATTTTACCCTGAAATTTCCCTATTTTTTCCACCATTTTCCTCCCAGTTTTCCGCCATTTTCCTGCCATTTTTTCCGCCATTTTCCTCCCTACTTCACCCATTTTTTGCTCTAAAATCCCCATTTTTTGCTCTAAAATCCCCATTTTTTCACCGTTTTTCCCCATTTTTTCACTATTTCTCCCCATTTTTACCCAAAATCCGCATTTTCTGACCCACCCTCAGCCAGCTTGGCCATGAGCTGCAGCCTCCCCGCGGCCGTGCCGAGCTCGGGCTCGTCGCCGCAGGTGAGGGGGGCGGTGATTCCCGTCCGGCCGTGCCCCCAAATCCGCCTTTTGCACCCCAAATCCCCCTTTTGCACCCCAAAATAACCACTTTGCACCTAAATACCCACTTTTAACCAAAATACCCATTTTTCACCCAAATTACCCCAATTTTCCACCATTTTTCACCCAAATTCCGCCATTTTTCCCGCCATTTTCCTCCAGAATTTCCCCATTTTTCCCCATAAAATCCCCATTTATTGTCCTAAAATCTCCATTTTTTCCCCATTTTTCCCCATTTTTTCCCATTTTTCCCCCAAATTTCCCCATTTCTTCCGCCATTTTCCTCCATTCTTTCCACCATTTTCCTCCAGAATTTCCCCCATTTTTTGCTCTAAAATCTCCATTTTTCCTCAAAAAATCCCCATTTTTCTTCCTAAAATCTCCGTTTTTTCACCATTTTTCACCCAAATTTTGCCATTTTTTCACTGAAAAACCCCATTTTTTCACTCAAATTTCCCCATTTTTTCCGCCATTTTCCCCCATTTCTTCCGCCATTTTCCTCCGTAATTTCCCCATTTTTTCGCTCTAAAATCTCCATTTTTTCACCATTTTTCACCCAAATTTCCCCATTTTTTCCCCTTTTACCCAAATATTTCCCTCAATTTTTGACCCAAATTTCCGCCATTTCTTCCACCATTTTCTTCCAGAATTCCGCCATTTTACATCCTAAAATCCCCATTTTTTCACCATTTTTCCTCATATTTTCACCGTTTTTTCACCAAATTTCACCCAAATTTCACAATTTTTAACCAAAAAGTCATTTTTTTCACCCCAAAACTTCAAATTCCCCTCACCTTCGGCCAGCTTGGCCATGAGCTGCAGCCTCCCCGCGGCCGTGCCGAGCTCGGGCTCGTCCCCGCAGGTGAGGGGGGCGGTGATTCCCGTCCGCTGTGCCCCCAAATCCCCCTTTTGCACCCCAAATCCGCCTTTTTCACCCCAAATCCCCCTTTTGCACCCCAAATCCCCCTTTTGCACCCCAAATCCCCCTTTTGCACCCCAAATCCCCCTTTTTCACCCCAAATCCGCCTTTTGCACCCCAAAATAACCACTTTGCACCTAAATACCCATTTTTCACCCAAATTTCCTCATTTTTTACCCTATTTTTCAGCCAAATTTCCCTATTTTTTCCGCCCTTTTTGACCCAAATTTCCCTCGTTTCTTCCGGCATTTTCCTCCCAATTTTCCGCCATTTTCCTCCCTAATTCCCCCATTTTTCGCTCTAAAATCTCCATTTTTTCACCTTTTTTTCCATTTTTTCACTGAAAATCTCCATTTTTCATCATAAAATCCCCATTTTTTCACCATTTTTGTCCCAAATTTCCCCATTTTTTCTGCCATTTTTTACCCAAAATTCCCTCGTTTTTTCCGCCATTTTCCTCCAGAATTTCCCCATTTTTCATCCTAAAATCTCCATTTTTTCTCCATTTTTCACACAAATTTCCCCATTTTTCATCCTAAAATCTCCATTTTTTGCTCTAAAATCCCCCATTCTTTCACCATTTTCCCCCCATTTTCTGCCATTTTTTACCCAAAATTCCCTCGTTTCTTCCGCCATTTTCCTCCTGAGTTTTCCCATTTTGGTCGCCATTTTTCACCATAAAATCGCCATTTTTCGCTCTAAAATCCCCATTTTTCATCCTAAAATCCCCGTTTTTCTCCCATTTTTTCCCCATTTTTCACCCAAATTCCGCCATTTTTTCCGCCATTTTCCCCCCACAAAATCCACATTTTTCCCCCTAAAATCCCCATTTTTTGCTCTAAAATCTCCATTTTTTCACCATTTCTCACCCCAATTTTCCCATTTTTCACCCAAATTTCCCCATTTTTCACCCAAATTTCCTCATTTTTGCCGCCATTTTTCACCCAAATTCCACCATTTCTTCCGCCATTTTCCTTCCAAATTTCCCCATTTTTCGCTCTAAAATCTCCAATTTTCCTCAAAAAATCCCCATTTTTCATCCTAAAATCTCCATTTTTTCACCGTTTTTCCCCATTTTTCCCCCATTTTTTCACCATTTTTTATCCAAATTTCCCTATTTTTTCCGCCATTTTTCACCCAAAATTTCCTCATTTTCTCCCCCATTTTTCCTCATTTTTTCCACCATTTTCCTCAATAATTTCCCCATTTTTCTTCCTAAAATCTCCATTTTTTCACCGTTTTTCACCATTTTTTCACCCAAATTTCTCAATTTTTTCCCAAAATCCCAGTTTTTCACCCCAAAATACCCAAATTTTTCCTCACCTTCGGCCAGCTTGGCCATGAGCTGCAGCCTCCCCGCGGCCGTGCCGAGCTCGGGCTCGTCGCCGCAGGTGAGGGGGGCGGTGATTCCCGATGACGTCATTCCCGATGACGTCATTGCCGATGACGTCACCCCAGGTGTGGCTCCAGGTGTGGCTCCAGGTGTGCCCTCGGGGAAGGTGACGTCGCTGGAGCCGTCGGGCCGCTCGCTCACCTGCCCCACGCGCATCGGCCGCCCGGCCAGCTCGAAGCCGTTCAGCTGCTCCAGCGCCCGCCGCGCGCACTCCGCCTCCGAGAACTGCGTTTGGGGAAAAAAACAGGGATTTTGGTAAAAATGGGAGAAAAAATGTTATTTTTTAGTGAAAAAATGGCTTTTTTAGGTTTAAAAATGGCTTTTTTTTGGGATTTCTTGGGGAAAAAATGGGATTTTTACAGGGATTTGCACGCACTCCACCTCCAAGAACTGTGGTTGGGGGAAAAACGGGGGATTTTGGGAAAAAATGGGGTTTTTCGGTGAAAAAATGGATTTTTGGGGGAAAAAATGGGGTTTTCTGGTGAAAAAATTGCTTTTTTCAGGAAAAAAATGGGGATTTTTTGGGGAAAAAAATGGGGGTTTTTGGGGAAAAAATGGGGATTTTTTTGGGGAAAAAATGGGAATTTTGGGTGAAAAAATGGCTTTTTTTTGGTGAAAAAATGGCTTTTTTTGGGAAAAAAATGGGATTTTTTGGGAAAAAAAATGGGAATTTTGGGTGAAAAAATGGCTTTTTTTTGGTGAAAAAATGGCTTTTTTTGGGGAAAAAAATGGGATTTTTGGGGGAAAAAAATGGGGTTTTCTGGTGAAAAAATTGCTTTTTTCAGGAAAAAAATGGGGATTTTTTGGGGAAAAAAATGGGGGGTTTTGGGGAAAAAATGGGGATTTTTTGGGGAAAAATGGGAATTTTGGGTGAAAAAATGGGGCTTTCTTTGGGAAAAAATGGCTTTTTTTGGGGAAAAAATGGGATTTTTGGGGGGAAAAAAAGGGGTTTCTTTGGTGAAAAAAATGGGGATTTTTTTGGAAAAAATAGGATTTCTTTGGATTTTTTTGGCGAAAAAATGGGATTTTTGGTAAAAAATGGGGTTTCCCCACGCGCATCGGCCGCCCGGCCAGCTCGAAGCCGTTCAGCTGCTCCAGCGCCCGCCGCGCGCACTCCGCCTCCGAGAACTGCCGGTTTGGGGAGAAAAAGGGGGATTTTGGTAAAAATCACTTTTTTGGGGGGATTTTTGGGGAAAAATGGCTTTTTTCGGGGAAAAAGTGGGGGTTTTTTGGCTGTTTTTTGGTGAAAAAAATGGGATTTTTCATGGAAAAAATGGCTTTTTTTTGGCTGTTTTTTGGAGAAAAAATGGGATTTTTTGGGGATATTTTGGGGAAAAAAATTGGGTTTTTTGGTGAAAAAATGGGATTTTTTGGGGGAAAAAATGGAAGTTTTTCGGAAAAAAATGGCTTTTTTTTGGGGATTTTTTTGGGAAAAAATGGGATTTTTCGGTGAAAAAATGAGATTTTTTTTGGGATTTTTTGGAGAAAAAATGGGGTTTTTTCAGGATTTTTTGGGGAAAAAATGGGATTTTTTGGGGATTTTGGGTGGAAAAAATGGGATTTTTTTGGGGATTTTTTTGGGGAAAAAATGGGATTTTTTGGGGGATTTCTTTGGGAATTTTTGGGGAAAAAATGGGGATTTTTGGGAAAAAAATCGGGGTTTTCGGTGAAAATTGCGGTTTTTTGGCGATCTTTTGTGGAAAAAAGGGGATTTTTTGGAATTTTTTGGAAAAAAAATGGGATTTTTTGGGAATTTTTTGGGGAAAAAAAGGGATTTTTTCGAGGAAAAAATGGGGTTTCTTTGGTGAAAAAAATGGGGATTTTTTGGGAAAAAATGGGATTTCTTTGGATTTTTTTGGCGAAAAAATGGGGTTTTTGGTAAAAAATGGGGTTTCCCCACGCGCATCGGCCGCCCGGCCAGCTCGAAGCCGTTCAGCTGCTCCAGCGCCCGCCGCGCGCACTCCGCCTCCGAGAACTGCGTTTTTGGGGGAAAAAATGGGGTTTTTGGTAAAAATGGGAGAAAAAATGGCTTTTTTAGGAAAAAAAATGGCTTTTTTATGGGAAAAAATGGCATTTTTACAGGGATTTCGTGCACTCCGCCTCCGAGAACTGCGTTTGGGGGAAAAAATAGGGATTTTGGTAAAAAATGAGAATTTTGCAATTTTTTGGTGAAAAAATGGGAAATTTCGGGGGAAAAAATAGCTTTTTTTCGGGAAAAATATGGATTTTCTTTGTGAAAAGAATGGGGGTTTTTCGGTGAAAAAATGTGATTTTTCAAGGAAAAAATGGCTTTTTTTAGTGAAAAAATGGCTTTATTTAAGGGAAAACAATGGGGTTTTTTGGTGAAAAAATTGCTTTCTTCGGGGAAAAAATGGCTTTTTTCAAGGGAAAAAAAGGGCTTTTTCAGTGAAGAAATGGGGATTTTTCACTGAAAAAAAAGGCTTTTTTCAGGGAAAAAATGTGGATCTTTTGGTGAAAAAATGGCGGTTTTTAGGTAAAAAAATGGCTTTTTTTTGTGAAGAAATGGCTTTTTTTTGGGATTTTTTAGGGAAAAAATGGGATTTTTTTCAGTGAAAAAATGGGGGGTCTTTCAGTGAAAAAATGGCTTTTTTCAGTGAAAAAAATGGCTTTTTTGGGGGAAAAAATGGGATTTTTGGTAAAAAATGGGATTTTTGGTAAAAAATGGGGTTTCCCCACGCGCATCGGCCGCCCGGCCAGCTCGAAGCCGTTCAGCTGCTCCAGCGCCCGCCGCGCGCACTCCGCCTCCGAGAACTGCGTTTGGGGGGAAATTGGGAGATTTTGGTAAAAATGGGAGAAAAAATGGCTTTTTTCAGTGAAAAAATGGCTTTTTTCAGTGAAAAAATGGCTTTTTTAGGTGAAGAAATGGGCTTTTGTGAAGCCGTTCAGCTGCTCCAGCGCCCGCCGCGCGCACTCCGCCTCCGAGAACTGCGGGTTTTGGGGAAAAAAATGGGGATTTTGGTAAAAATTGGGATTTTTTGTGATTTTTTCAGAGAAAAAATGGTGCTTTTTTGGGAAAAAAATGGGGATTTTTCGGTGAAAAAATAGGGTTTTTCGATGAAAAAATGCGGTTTTTTCGGGATTTTTTTGGGGAAAAAATGGGATTTTTGAGGAATTTTTCGGAGAAAAAATGGCTTTTTTCAGAGAAAAAATGGCTTTTTTTGAGGAAAAAAATGGCTTTTTTTAGGGAAAAAAATGGGGATTTTTCAGTGAAAAATGGCTTTTTTTAGGGGATTTTTTGGGGAAAAAATCGGATTTTTAGGGGATTTTTTGGTGAAAAAATGGCATTTTTTGGGGTTTTTTTTGGGAAAATAATGCGATTTTTTTCGGTGAAAAAATGTCTTTTTTTGAGAACAAAATTGGGATTTTTCGGTGAAAAAATGGGGATTTTTCAGTGAAAAATGGCTATTTTTTGGGGATTTTTTTTGGGGGAAAAAATGGCTCTTTTTGGAGAAGAAAATGGGATTTTGTTGAGATTTTTTTGGGAAAAAGATGGGTTTCTTTGGGGGATTTTTTGGGAAAAAAATGGGATTTCTTGGGCAAAAAATGGGGATTTTCAGTGAAAAAATGGGATTTTTTGGGGAAAAAATGGGATTTTTGGAGGATATTTGGGGAAAAAATGGGGTTTTTTTGGGGGAAAAATGGCACTTTTGAGAAGCCGTTCAGCTGTCCGCCTCCGAGAACTGTGTTTGGGGAAAAAAATGGGGATTTTGGTAAAAAATGGGGTTTCCCCACGCGCATCGGCCGCCCGGCCAGCTCGAAGCCGTTCAGCTGCTCCAGCGCCCGCCGCGCGCACTCCGCCTCCGAGAACTGCCGCATTTGGGGAGAAAACGGACAATTTTGGTGAAAAATGCGGTTTTTGGGGAAAAAATGGGGAGTTTGGGTGAAAAAATGGGTTTTTTTAGTGAAGAAATGGCTTTTTTTTGGGACTTTTTGGGGGAAAAATGGGATTTTTTTGGGATTTTTTTGAGAAAAATGGGATTCTTTTCAGTGAAAAAATGGCCTTTTTTTCGGTGAAAATACGGCTTTTTTCAGTGAAAAAATGGCTTTTTTTGAGGAAAAAATGGCTTTATTCAGTGAAAAAAATGGGGATTTTTTGGTGAAAAAATGGCTTTTTTCGGAGAAAAAAATGGCTTTTTTTGAGGAAAAAATGGCTTTTTTCGGGTAAAAAACGGGATTTTTTGGGGGATTTTTTTGGGAAAAAATGGGGTTTTTTGGGGAAAAAAATGGGGATTTTCTGAAGATTTTTTGGGGAAAAATGGGATTTTTTGGGGGAAAAAATGGGGATTTTCGGTGAAAAAATGGGGGTTTTTTTGGATTTTTTGGGGAAAAAATGGGATTTTTTTGGGGGTTTTTCGGCGAAAGTATGGGATTTTTACAAGGATTTGGGCGCAAATCCTTGTAAATCCTTGACAAAATGCCCATTTTTTGTCAAAAATCCCCATTTTTCGTCAAAAATCGCCATTTTTGCTCTAAAATCCCCATTTTTCACCCAAATTTCGTCGGGTTTTTTTTGTTTTTCCCCTCTCACCCTCCCCCAGCTGTGCCCAGGTGTGGCCATGTTTTCCAAAACCCCCAAAATCCCGATTTTTTTCCCAAAATCCCCATTTTTTGCCAAAAATCCCCATTTTTCGTCAAAAATCACCATTTTTGCCCTAAAATGCCCATTTTTCACCCAAATTTCGCCGGGTTTTTTTGCATTTTTCCCCTCCCAGCTGTGCCCAGGTGGGGCTTCCCCATTTTCCCCCCAAAATCCCCATTTTTCACCCCAAAATTCCCCATTTTTTGTCCAAAAATCACCATTTTTGCCCAAAAATCCCCATTTTTCACCCAAATTTCACCTTTTTTTTTTTGTTTTTCCCCTCCCAGCTGTGCCCAGCTGTGCCCAGGTCTGCCCAGGGCTCAGGTGACCCAAAATCCCCATGTTTTCCCCCAAAATCCCCATTTTTCGTCAAAAATCCCCATTTTTTGTCAAAAATCGCCATTTTTGCCCTAAAATCCCCATTTTTCACCCAAATTTCACCGGGTTTTTTTTGGTTTTCCCCTCCCACCCTCCCCCAGCTGTGCTCAGGTGTGCAAAACCCCCAAAACCCCCATTTTTTGACCAAAAATCGCCATTTTTTGTCAAAAATTACCATTTTTGCCCTAAAATCCCCATTTTTCACCCAAATTTCACCGGGTTTTTTTTATTTTTCCCCTCCCAGCTGTGCCCAGGTGTGCCCAGGTGTGGCCATGTTTTCCAAAACCCCCAAAATCCCGATTTTTCACCCCAAAATCCCCATTTTTTGCCAAAAATCACCATTTTTTGTCAAAAATTGCCATTTTTGCCCAAAAATCCCCATTTTTCACCCAAATTTCACCGGGTTTTTTTTGTTTTTCCCCTCCCAGCTGTGTCCAGGTGGGGATTCCCCATTTTCCCCCCAAAATCCCCATTTTTCTGCCAAAAATCACAATTTTTTGCCAAAAATCACTATTTTTGTCAAAAATCACCATTTTTGCCCTAAAATGCCCATTTTTCACCCAAATTTCACCGGGTTTTTTTTGGTTTTCCCCTCTCAGCCGTGTCCCGGTGTGCAGCTGTGCCCAGGTGACCCAAAATCCCCATTTTTCACCCCAAAATCCCCATTTTTTGTCCAAAAATCCTCATTTTTCGTTAAAAATCCCAATTTTTGCCCTAAAACCCCCATTTTTCCCCCAAATTTGGCAGGCGTGCCCCTCACCGTGATGAAGCCGTAGCCTTTGGACTGTCCCGTCTCCGGGTCCCTCATCAGGACGATGCTCTCGATCTGTGGGGGAGGGGCTCAGGTGAGAAAAGGGGGCGGGGCCTCACCTGGGCCACGCCCACCCAAAATTTACCCCAAATTCCCCCAAAATAGCCCCAAAATTCCCTCCCAGGTGAGCCCAAAATCCCCAAAATTCACCAAAATCCCATTTTTCATCCCAAAATTCCCATTTTTCACCCCAAAATCCCCATTTTTAATCCAAAAATCCCAATTTTTACCCCAAAAATCCCCATTTTTAATCCAAATTTCCCCCATTTTTCCCCTAAAATGCCAATTTTTCACCCAAATTTTACCATTTTTTAATCAAAATCCACATTCTCCCCCAAAATACCGATTTCCACCCCAAAATCCCCATTTTTCACTCCAAAATCCCCATTTTTCCCCAAAATCCCCATTTTCAGCCCAAAATCCCCAATTTTCCCCTAAAATCCACATTTTTTACACAAAATCCCAATTTCCACCCCAAAATCCCCATTCTTAATCCAAAAATCCCCATTTTTGACCCAAATTTGCCCCATTTTCCCCCCAAAACTTTCACTTCCCCCACCCAAAATCCCCATTTCACCCCAAAATATCAATTTTTCACCCTAATTTTACAATTTTTCAATAAAAATTCCCATTCTCCCCTAAAAATCCCCATTTCCCCCCCAAAAATCCCCATTTTTGGCTCAAAAAATCCCCATTTTTAACCCAAATTTTACCATTTTTCTATCAAAATCTCCATTTTCCCCTAAAATCCCCATTTTCCACCCCAAACTTCACATTTTCACCCCCAAAATCCCGATTTCTCACCCCATATCCCCATTATTATCCGAAAATTGCCAATTTTCCCCCAAAATCCCCGTTTTTTATCCAAATTTGCCCCATTTTCCCCCTAAAAACCCCCATTTTTCCCCCTAAATCCCAATTTTCCCCACAAAAATCCCCATTTTTTAACCAAAATCCGCATTTTCCCCCCAAAATCCCCATTTTTCCCAAAAACCCCATTTTTCACCCCAAAATCCCCGTTTTTTGTCAAAAATCACTATTTTTGCCCTAAAATCCCCATTTTTCACCCAAATTTCACCGGGTTTTTTTTGCTTATCCCCTCCCACCCTCCCCCAGCTGTGCCCAGGTGTGTCCAACCCCCAAAATCCCCATTTTTCACCCGAAAATCCCCATTTTTTGTCAAAAATCACTATTTTTACCCCAGAAATCGCCATTTTTCACCAAAAATCACCATTTTTGCCCTAAAATCCCCATTTTTCACCCAAATTTCACCGGGTTTTTTTTGTTTATCCCCTCCCAGGTGCCCCCAGCTGTACCCAGGTGTGCCCAGGTGTGCCCAACCCCCAAAATCCCCATTTTTCACCCCAAAATCCCCATTTTTTGTCAAAAATCACCATTTTTGCCCTAAAATCCCCATTTTTCACCCAAATTTCACCGGGTTTTTTTTGTCCATCCCCTCCCAGCTGTGCCCAGGTGTGCCCAGGTATGCCCATGTTTTCCAAAACCCCCAAAATCCCCATTTTTCACCCCAAAATCCCCATTTTTCACCCCAAAATGGCGATTTTTCGTCAAAAATCGCCATTTTTGCCCTAAAATCCCCATTTTTCACCCAAATTTCACCGGGTTTTTTTTGTTTTTCCCCTCCCACCTTTACCCAGGTGTTCCCAGCCGTGCCCAGGTGTGCCCAGGTGACCCAAAATCCCCATTTTTCACCCCAAAATCCCCATTTTTTGTCAAAAATCACTATTTTTGCCCTAAAATCCCCATTTTTCACCCAAATTTCACCGGGTTTTTTTTGTTTAACTCGTCCCACCCTCCCCCAGCTGTGCCCAGGTGTGCCCAGGTGACCTAAATTCCCATTTTTTTCCCAAAATCCTCATTTTTCACCCCAAAATCCCCATTTTTTCGTCAAAAATCACCATTTTTGCCCTAAAATCCCCATTTTTCACCCAAATTTCACCGGGTTTTTTTTGTCCATCCCCTCCCACCCTCCCCCAGGTGTGCCCAGGTATGCCCATGTTTTCCAAAACCCCCAAAATCCCCATTTTTTCCCAAAATCCCCATTTTTCACCCCAAAATCCTCATTTTTTGCTAAAAATCACCATTTTCACACAAAAATCACTATTTTTGCCCTAAAATCCCCATTTTTCACCCAAATTTCACCGGGTTTTTTTTGCCTATCCCCTCCCACCCTCCCCCAGGTGTGCCCAGCTGTGCCCAGGTGACCCAAACCCCCAAAACCCCCATTTTTCACCCCAAAATCCCCATTTTTTGTCAAAAATCACCATTTTCACCCCAAAATCCCCATTTTTTGTCCAAAATCACCATTTTTGCCCTAAAATCCCCTTTTTTCACCCAAATTTCACCGGGTTTTTTTTGTTTATCCCCTCCCAGCTGTGCCCAGCTGTGCCCAAACCCCCAAAATCCCCATTTTTTCCCCAAAATCCCCATTTTTCACCCCAAAATCCCCATTTTTTGTCAAAAATCACTATTTTTGCCCTAAAATCCCCATTTTTCATCCAAATTTCACCGGGTTTTTTTTGTTTAACTGGTCCCACCCTCCCCCAGGTGTGCCCAGGTGTGCCCATGTTTTCCAAAACTCCCAAAATCCCAATTTTTTTCCCAAAATCCCCATTTTTCACCCCAAAATCCCCATTTTTTGTCAAAAATAACTATTTTTACCGCAAAATCCTCATTTTTGCCCTAAAATCCCCATTTTTCACCCAAATTTCACCAGTTTTTTTTTGTTTATCCCCTCACAGATGTGCCCATGTTTTCCACAACCCCCAAAATTCCCATTTTTTTCCCAAAATCCCCATTTTTCACCCCAAAATCCCCATTTTTTGCCAAAAATCGCCATTTTTGCCCTAAAATCCCCATTTTTCACCCAAATTTCACCGGGTTTTTTTTGTTTATCCCGTCCCAGGTGCCCCCAGGTGTGCCCAGGTTTGCCCAGGTGTGCCCTGATGACCCAAAACCCCGAAAATCCCCATTTTTTCCAAAAATCCCCATTTTTCACCCCAAAATCCCCATTTTTGATCAAAAATCACCATTTTTGCCCTAAAATCCCCATTTTTCACCCAAATTTCACCGGGTTTTTTTTGTCCATCCCCTCCCAGGTGCCCCCAGCTGTGCCCAGGTGTGCCCAGGTGTGCCCAGGTGTGCCCAAACCCCAAAATCCCCAATTTTTTCCCAAAATCCCCATTTTTCACCCCAAAATCCCCATTTTTTGTCAAAAATCCCCATTTTTACCGCAAAATCCCCATTTTTGCTCTAAAATCCCCATTTTTCACCCAAATTTCACCGGGTTTTTTTTGTTTAACTCGTCCCAGGTGTGCCCAGGTGTGCCCAGGTGAGCCCAGGTGTGATAAAACCCCCAAAATCCCCATTTTTCACCCCAAAATCCTCATTTTTGGTCAAAAATCACCATTTTTGCCCTAAAATCCCCATTTTTCACCCAAATTTCACCAGGTTTTTTTTGTTTATCCCCTCCCAGCTGTGCCCAGGTGTGCCCAGGTGTTCCCAGGTGACCCAAACCCCCATTTTTTTCCCAAAATCCCCATTTTTCACCCCAAAATCCCCATTTTTTATCAAAAATCACTATTTTTACCGCAAAATCCCCATTTTTGCTCTAAAATCCCCATTTTTCACCCAAATTTCACCGGGTTTTTTTTCTTTATCCCCTCCCACCCTCCTCCAGGTGTGCCCAGTGACCCAAAATCCCCATTTTTCACCCCAAAATTCCCATTTTTTGTCCAAAAATCTCAAATTTTGGTCAAAAATCGCTATTTTTGCCCTAAAATCCCCATTTTTCACCCAAATTTCACCGGGTTTTTTTTGTTTAACTGGTCCCACCCTCCCCCAGGTGTGCCCAGGTGTGCCCAGGTGTGCCCAGGTGTGCCCCTCACCTTCCCGAAGGGCTCGAAGATGCCCCTGAGCATGTCCTTGGTGATGTTGCAGTGCAGGGAGCCGACGTAGAGCCGCAAGGGGCCTCCCGAGCCCTTCTGCAGGGGCGCCGCCATGGCCGCCAGGCGGTTCTTCTCGGCCTGGGGGGGACAGGTGGGCACAGGTGGGCACAGGTGGCACAGGTGGGTGAAAACCCCGTCCCAATCGGCCCGAAAATGCAAAAAAAAATGCAAAAAATCCCACCACGAACGCAAAAAACCCGAACGAAATCGGACAAAATGGAGAGAAATGACCCAAAAACGGAAAAAATCCACCCAAAATTGGCCAAAATGGAGAAAATTGACCCAAAAATGGCCAAAATTGACCCAAAATTGGTCAAAATTGACGCAACCAAAACTGGCAAAAATCCACCCAAAATTGGCCAAAATTGACCCAAAAATGAAAAAAATCCACCCAAAAATGGCCAAAATTGACTCAAAATTGGCCAAAATTGACCCAAAATTGACCCAAAATTGGCCAAAATTGACCCACGCAAAAGTGGCAAAAATCCACCCAAAATTTGCCCAGAAATGGAGAAAATTGACCCAGAAATGGTCAAAATCCACCCAAAATTGGCCAAAATTGACCCAAAAATGGCCAACACTGACCCACCCAAAACTGGCAAAAATCCACCCAAAATCAGCCAACATTGACCCAAAATTGTCCAAAATGGAGAAAATTGACCCAGAAATGGCCGAAATCCACCCAAGATCGGCCAAAATGGAGAAAACTGACCCAAAACCGGCAAAAATCCACCCAAAATTCAGGTGGGCACAGGTGGCACAGGTGAGAAAATCCCGCACGAATCGGCCCGAAAATGGAGAAAATACGACCCAGAACACAAAAAACCCGATTGAAATTGGTCCAGGAATGGCCATAATGGAGAGAATTGACTAAAAATGGCGAAAATCCACCCAAAATCCACCCAAAATTCAGCCCAGGATGGCACAGGTGAGAAAATCCCGCTCGAATCGGCCCAAAAATGGAGAAAATCCGACCAAAAATGGCCAAAATCGACCCAAAAATGGAAAATAGACCCAAAAGGGCCGAAGTTGACCCAAAATGGCGGAAGTTGACCCAAAATGGCAGAAGTTGACTCAAAATGACAAAAATTGACCCAAAATTGGCCAAAATGGAGAAAATTGACCCAAAATAGGCCAAAATTGAAGGAACCAAAATTGGAAAAAATCCACCCAAAAAGGACAAAAAATCCACCCAAACATTGGCCAAAATGGACCCCAAATTGGCCAAAATCTACCCAAACATGGCAAAAATTGACCTGAAATTGGCCAAAATCCACCCAAAATTCAGGTGGGACAGGTGGGCACAGGTGGGCACGGGTGGGCACGGGTGGGTGAAAACCGCACCCAAATCGGCCCGAAAATGCAAAAAAAATGGAGAAAATACGACCCAGAACGCAAAAAACCCGAACGAAATCGGCCCCAGAATGGCCAAAATGGAGAAATTTAACCAAAAATGGTGGAAATCGGCCAAAATTGACCCAAAATGAAGACAACTGACCCAAAATTGGCCCAAAATGAAGAAAAATGACCCAAAATTGGCCAAAATCCACCCAAAATTGGCCCAAATTGACCCAAAATTGGCCAAAATGGAGAAAATCCAACCAAAAAGGAGAGAAATGACCCAAAACTGGTAGAAATCTACCCAAACATGGCCAAAATTGACCCAAGATGGCCAAAACTGAGAAAATTGACCCCAAAATGGTCAAAATCCACCCAAAAATCGAGAAAATAGACCCAAAATTGGCCAAAAGTGACCCACCCAAAACTTGCAAAAATCCACCCAAAAGTAACAAAAAATGCACCCCAAATTGGCCAAAAGTGACCCAAAATGGAGAAAATTGACCCGAAATTGGCCAAAATCCACCCAAAGTTCAGGTGGGCACAGGTGGCACAGGTGGGCACAGGTGGGTGAAAACCCCACCCGAATCGGCCCCAAAATGGGGAAAATCTGACCCAGAAACGGCCAAAATCCACCCAAAATTGACTCAAAAATGGCCAAACTGGAGGAACTTGACCCAAAAATGGCCAAAATCCACGCAAAATGGGCCAAAATTGACCCAAAATTGGCCAAAATGGAGAAAATCCAACCAAAAAGGAGAGAAATGACCCAAAAATGGCAAAAATCCACCCAAAATTGACCCAAAATGGAAAAAAATCCACCCAAAATCGGCCAAAAATCCACCCACAATTGGCTAAAATTGACCCACCCAAAATAGGCAAAAATCGACCCAAAAATGACAAAAAAATCCTTTAAACATTGGCCAAAATTGACCTAAAACTGGCCAAAATTGACCCAAAACTGGCTAAAATCGCCCCGAAATTGGCCAAAATGGAGAAAATTTACCCAGAAATGGTTGAAATCCACCCACAATTGGCGAAAATGGAAAAAATTGACCCAAAAATGGCGGAAATCCACCCAAAAATGGTCAAAATCCACCCAAATATATGGCCCAAAATGGAGAAAATTGACCCCAAAATTGGCCAAAATCCACACAAAATTCAGGTGGGCACGGGTGGGAGAAAACCCCACTCGAATCGGCCCGAAAATGAAAAAAAAATGGAGAAAATCCGACCCAGAACGCAAAAAACCCGATCGAAATCGGTCAAAACGGAGAGAAATGACCCAAAAATGGTGAAAATTGACCCAAAATTGACCCAAAATTGGCCAAAATTGACCCACCCAAAACTGGCAAAAATCCACCCAAAAGTGAGAAAAATTCCACCCAAACACGGCCAAAATTGACCCAAAATTGATGCAAAAATGGCCAAAATCCACCCAGAAATGGCCAAAATGGACCCAAAATTGACTCACCCAAAAGTGACAAAAATCCACCCCAAATTGGCCAAAATGGAGAAAATTGACCCAAAAATGGTCAATATCCATCCAAAAATGGTCAAAATCCACCCAAAATTGGGCAAAATGGAGAAAATTGACCCAAAAATGACCAAAAATCCACCCACAATTGGCTAAAATTGACCCAACCGAAATTGGCAAAAATCCACCCAAAAATGACAAAAAATCCACCCAAAATTGGCCAAAATAGAGAAAATTGACCCAAAAATGGTCAAAATTGACGCACCCAAAACTGGCAAAAATCCACCCTAAAATGACAAAAAATCCACCCCAAATTGGCCAAAATTGACCCAAAATTGGCCAAAATTGACCCAAAATTGGCCAAAATCGACCCAAAATTGGCCAAAATGGAGAAAATTGACCCAAAAATTGGCCAAAATTGACCCACCCAAAACTGGCAAAAATCCACCTAAAAGTGACAAAAAATTGACCCAAAAATTATCAAAATCCACCCAAAAATTGGCTAAAATTGAGAAAATTGACACAAAAATGGTCAAAATCCACCCAAAATTGGCCAAAATGGAGGAAATTCCAAAAAATTCCCCCAAAATTCTGAAAAAATTCAAATTCCAAAAAAAACCCAAAAGGCCTCAAAAACAACCGGAAGTCACTTGAAAAGGTCCTAAAAGGTATATAGAAAACCTCCAAAAAGCCCCAAAAAATCACAAAAAAAACCTTAAACATCCCCAAAAATCCCCAAAAAATCCCCAAAATTTTGAAAATTTCTCAAAATTCCCCAAATCGCAAAAAAACCTAAAAATCCTCAAACCCAACCAGAAGTCATTTGAAAAGGTCCTAAAAGATAATTAAAAAAACCCACCAAAAAAATCGCAAAAAATACCTGAAAAATCCTGAAAATTCCCAAAAAATTCCGGAAAAATCCCCAAAAATTCCAAAAATTCCCAAAAAATTCCCAAAATCCCCCAAATTTAAAAAAAGACCTGTAAAAGTCCTAAAAAAAACCCGGAAGTCACTTGTAAAGGTCCTGGAAGATACATTAAAAAAACCACCTAAAAAAACCCCCAAAAAATCGCAAAAAATCCTCAAAAAATTCCCAAAAAATTCCCAAACATCCCAAAAAATTCCCAAAAAATAGTCAAAAATTCCTAAAATCTCCCAAACTCCAAAAAAACCCGTAAAAGTCCTAAAAACAACTGGAAATCACTTGTAAAGGTCCGGGAAGATACATAAAAAAACCCACAAAAACTCACAAAAAAATCATAAAAAATCCTCAAAAAATTCCCAAAAATTCCTAAAAAAATTCCAAAATATTCCTAAAAAATTCCCAAAAATTCCAAAAAAACCCTTAAAAATTCTCTAAAACAACCGGAAGTTACTTACCAAGGTCCTGGAAGATACATAAAAAACCCCCAAAAAATCACAAAAATTTCCTAAAAAATCCCAAAAAAATTCCCAAAAAACTCCCAAAAAATTCCAAAAAATTCCCAAAAAATTCCCAAAACTTCCCCAAATTAAAAAAACCCTTAAAAGGCCTCAAAAATCAACGTAAATTACTTGAAAAGGTCCTGGAAGATACATAAAAAAACCCCAAAAAATCACCAAAAAAACCCAAAAAATCCCAAAAAAATCTCAAACATTCCAAAAAATTCCCAAAAATTCCCAAAAAATTCCTAAAATCCCCAAAATTAAAAAAAAAACTCTTAAAACTCTTTAAAAACCAACCAGAAATCACTTGAAAAGGTCCTGGAAGATACATAAAAAACCCCCAAAAAATCACAAAAATTTCCTAAAAAATCCCCGAAAAATTCCCAAAAAATTCCCGGAAAATTCCCGAATTTTGGGGACGCACCTGTGAGGCCTGGACGATGATGGGGACGCCGAGGAGGCGCTGGCCGGTGAGGCCGATGGCCAAAGGCACCGATTGGATCTCGCAGAACTCCACGTAGGCGATGCCCTTCGAGCGCCGCGAGTTCCGGTCCGAGATGATGCGAACGTCCCGGACCTGGGGGGGAAAAACATGGAAAATCCTCAGGAAAATATTTGGGAAAAGGGGCAGAGGCAAAAAAAAATTTGGGATTTTTTACAGAATTTTATTTGGATTTTTTACGGATTTTTTGTCGATTTTTTTCAATTTTTTAGGGATTTTTTACGAATTTTTTTCTGATTTTTTGGTGAATTTTTCAGGTTTTTTACGGATTTTTTGGTGATTTTTTGGTGAATTTCTGGGATTTTTTTCTGATTTTTAATGGAGTTTTTGTTGATTTTTTGGTGATTTTTAAGGGATTTTTTAGTGATTTTTTACAGATTTTTTGTGTGATCTTTGGGATTTTTTTTGGATTTTTAATGAGTTTTTACTGATTTTTAATAGCTTTTTATGGATTTTTTACAGATTTTTTGGGATTTTTTTAGTGATTTTTTGGTGAATTTTTCGGATTTTTTACGGATTTTTTAGGGTAGTTTTTGTGTTATTTTTTGGGATTTTTTTCGGATTTTTAATGAGTTTTTGTTGATTTTTTGGTGATTTTTTAGTGATTTTAAGGGATTTTTAATGGATTTTTTGTGAATTTTTTAGTGATTTTTTAGTGAATTTTTCGGATTTTTTACTGATTTTTTCACGGATTTTTTTTCTGAATTTTTTTGATTTTTAACGAGTTTTTGCCGATTTTTAATACACTTTTTAAGGATTTTTAAGGGATTTTTAAGTCTTTGTTTGGGATTTTTTTAGTTATTTTTTGGTGAATTTTTCGGATTCTTTTCGTATTTTCTACGGATTTTTTACGTGAATTTTTGTGAATTTTTGGGATTTTTAATGGAGTTTTTCCTGGTTTTTTTTGGGATTTTTTCCTGATATTTTTGGGAACATTCAGGAGGTTTTGGGGATTTTTGGTTCCGGTCCGAGATGATGCGGACGTCCCGAACCTGAGGGGAAAAAAAGATGGAAAACGGCTGGAAAATGGCTGGAAAAAATTTGGGAAAAGGGGCAGAGGCAAAAAAAAATTTGGGATTTTTTACGGAATTTTATTTGGATTTTTTATGGATTTTTTATGGATTTTTTTGTGATTTTTTGGTGATTTTTTAGCGATTTTTTGTGGATTTTTTGAGGATTTTTTGGTGATTTTTTGGTGAATTATTCGGATTTTTTACTGATTTTTTAAGGATTTTTTTGGTGAATATTTGGGATTTTTTGTGGATTTTTATGGATTTTTTGTGGATTTTTTAGCAAATTTTTGGTGATTTTTTGTGGATTTTTGGGAGATTTTTTGGTGAATTTTTCGGATTTTTTACTGATTTTTTAAGGATTTTTTTTGTGAATTTTTGGGATTTTTTTCTGATTTTTAATGGAGTTTTTGCTGATTTTTAATGCATTTTTTAATGGATTTTAACGGATTTTTAAGCGATTTTTTGGTGTTTTTTTGGTGAATTTTCACAATTTCTTATTAATTTTTTGTGTGATTTTTGGGATTTTTTTAAAGATTTTTAATGAGTTTCTTGATTTTTTGGTGATTTTTTGATGATTTTTTGGTGATTTTTTGATGATTTTTTGGGGATTTTTTAGTGATTTTTTATGGATTTTTTGGTGATTTTTTGGGATTTTTTTCCGGATTTTTAATGAGTTTTTACTGATTTTAAATGCATTTTTTAATGGATTTTTAATGGCATTTTTAGTGATTTTTTATGGATTTTTTGGTGATTTTTTGGGATTTTTTTTGGAGTTTTTAATGAGCTTTTACTGGTTTTTAATAAATTTTTAATGGATTTTTAATGACATTTTTCCTGATTTTTTTGGATTTTTTACGTATTTTTTTTGTGAATTTTAGGAATTTTTTTCGGAGTTTTAATGGAGTTTTTACTGATTTTTAAATGCTTTTTTTATGGATTTTTAATGGATATTTTAGCGATTTTTAGTGATTTGTTGTGGATTTTTTGGTGAATTTTTTGGATTTTTTACTGATTTTTTTTTGTGATTTTATAGTGAATTTTTCGGATTTTTTACTGATTTTTTACAGATTTTTTTGTGTGATTTTTTGGGATTTTCTTCAGATTTTTAATGGAGTTTTTCCTGATTTTTTGGGGGGATTTTTTCCTGATTTTTTTGGGAATGTTCAGGAGGTTTTGGGGATTTTTGGTTCCGCTCTGAGATGATGCGAACGTCCCAAACCTGAGGGGGAAAAGATGGAAAACAGCTGGAAAACAGCTGGAAAAGAGCTGGGAAATCCTCGGGAAAATAGTTGGGAAAAGGAAAAAAAATTGGGATTTTTTACGGAATTTTATTTGGATTTTTTACGGATTTTTGGTGGATTTTTTTCAATTTTTTATGGATTTTTTACGGATTTTTTTCTGATTTTTTGGTGACTTTTTTGGATTTTTTACGGATTTTTTCCTGATTTTTTGGTGATTTTTTTGTGAAATTTTCAGATTTTTTACTGATTTTTTAAGGATTATTTTTGTGAATTTTTGGGATTTTTTTTCAGATTTTTAATGGAATTTTACTGATTTTTTAGGATTTTTACGAAATTTTTTTTTAATTTTTTTATTTTTTATGGATTTTTTTGTGAATTTTTGGGATTTTTCTCAGATTTAAATGAGTTTTTGCTGATTTTTTAGCGATTTTTAGTGGATTTTACGTGTGATTTTTTGGGATTTTTTTCCGGATTTTTAATGAGTTTTTACTGATTTTTAATGCATTTTTAAAGGACTTTTAATGGAATTTTTAAGTGATTTTTTCGGATTTTTTATGGATTTTTCTTGTGAATTTTTGGGATTTTTTAGGAATATTCCCCTATTTTTTAGAAATATTTCCCTATTTTTTAGGGAATATTTCCCTATTTTTTTGGGAATATTTTCCCAGAAATATTCCCCTATTTTCCAGGAATATTTCCCTATTTTTCGGAAATATTTCCCTATTTTTTTGGGAATACTTTGCTATTTTTTGGCATAATTTTTGGTGATGTTTTTGCTATTTTTTGGCAATAATTTTGGGAATATTTTTGGGAATATTTTCCTATTTTTTCAGGAATATTTCTCCTTTTCTTTGGGAATATTTTTCAGGAATATTTCCCTATTTTTTAGGAATATTTCCTTATTTTTGGGGAATATTTTCCCAGATTTTTCTGGAATATTTCCCTATTTTTAAAGAATATTTCCCTATTTTTTTGGGAATATTTTTCTATTTTTTCAGGAATATTTCCCTATTTTTTTTGGGAATATTTTCCAGGAATATTTCCTTATTTTTTCAGGAATATTTCCCTATTTTTTGAGGAATATTTCCCTATTTTTTCGGAATATTTCCCTTTTTTCCCCTATTTTCCCCCCCATTTTTTCCCCCTTTATTCCCCCCTATTTCCCCCTCTAATCCAAAATTTTTCCCGGATTTTCCCGTGATTTTCCCGTGATTTTTCCGGATTTTTCCGGCATTTTCCGTCACCTTTCCGACGGCGGAGAAGAAATCCTCGAGGTCTCGGGGGCGGATGCGGGCGGCGAGCTGCATGCAGAACACGGTGCGCGCGTCCCGCTCCTCGGGGCTCAGCGAGCCCAGCGGCTCCCTGGGGGAGGAATTCCCAAAATTCCCGAAATTCCCAAAATTCCCCAAAATTCCCAAAAAAATCCCCGCAAAAATCGGCCAAAAATGAGCCAAAATGGACAAAAATCGACCAAAATTGACCCAAAATCGACACAAAATTGAGCTGAACCATCCCCAAAGTGGGGCTGGAATTCCCAAAATTTTCAAAATTCCCAAAAATTCCCGAAATTTCCGAAGAAATTTCCAAAAAAATCCCCGTCGAAATTGGCCAAAATCGACCGAAATCGACCCAAAATTGACCCAAAATTGACCCAAAATGGAGCTGAAAAATCCCCAAAGTGAGACTGGAATTCCCAAAATTCCCGATATTCCCCAAATTCCCCAAATTCCCAAAAATTCCCAGAATTCCCGAAATTCCCAAAATTCTGAGACAATTCCCAAAAAAATCCCCGCCAAAATCGGCCAAAAATGAGCCAAAACGCACCAAAAACAAACCAAAAACGACCCAAAATTGACCCAAAATCGACCCAAAATTGAGCTGAAATAGCCCCAAAGTGAGGCTGGAATTCCTCAAATTCCCAAAATTCCCAAAGAATTCCCCAAAATTCCCAAAAATTCGCAAAGATTCCCAAAATTTCCAAAAAAATCCCCACCAAAATCGACCCAAAATCGACTGAAATCGACCCAAAATTGAGCTGAAACATCCCCAAAGTGAGGCTGGAATTCCCCAAAATTCCAACAGAATTCCCAAAATTCCCAAAAGTTCCCAAAGGATTCCGAAAAAATTCCCGTCAAAATTGACCGAAAATTGAGCTCAAACGTCCCCAAAGTGAGGCTGGAATTCCCAAATATTCCCAAAATTCCCAACAGAATTCCCAAAAATTCCCAAAGGATTCCCAAAAAATCCCCGCCGAAATTAACCCAAAATTGACCCAAAATGCACCAAAAACAACCCAAAATTGACCCAAAATCGACCTAAAATTGAGCTCAAACGTCCCCAAAGTGAGGCTGGAATTCCCCAAAATTCCCAAAAAATCCCCGTCAAAATCGGACAAAAATGAGCCAAAATGCACCAAAATTGACCCAAAATTGACCCCAAATCGGTCACAAAAATCCCCAAAGGGAGGCTGGAATTCCCAAAATTCCCGATATTCCCCAAATTCCCCAAATTCCCAAAAATTCCCAGAATTCCCAAAATTCCCGAAATTCCGAGACAATTCCCAAAAAAATCCCCATCAAAATCGGCCAAAAATGAGCCAAAATAGACAAAAATCGACCCAAAAATGACCCAAAATCATCCCAAAATTGATCCAAAACATCCCCACAGTGAGGCTGGAATTCCCGAAATTCTCGAAATTCCCAAAAATTCCCAAAGGATTCCCAAAAAATCCCCGTCAAAATCGGCCAAAAATGAGCCAAAACGCACCAATATTGACCCAAAATTGACAAAAATCGACCCAAAATCGACTCAAAATTGATCCGAAACTTCCACAAAGTAAAGATGGAATTGCCCAAATTCCCAAAAATTCCCAAAGTTCCCAAAAAAATTCCCAAAAATTCCCAAAAATTCCCGAAAGAATTCCCAAAGAATCAACCAAAATTGACCCAAAATCGACCCAAAATTGATCCGAAACAGCCCCAAAATTCCCAGCACGAGTGAGACACAGCTGGGAGCCAGAATTCCCAAAATTCCCAAAAATTCCCGAAATTCCCAAAATTCCCAAAAAAATCCCCGTCAAAATCGACCCAAAATGAGCCAAAAAGCACCAAAATTGACCCAAAAACGACCCAAAATTGAGCTGAAACGTCTCCAAAGTGAGGCTGGAATTCCCCAAATTCCAAAAAATTCCAGAAATTCCCAACAGAATTCCCAAAAATTCCCGAAATTCCCAAAATTTCCCAAAAAAATCCCCGTCAAAATCGACCAAAAATGAGCCAAAAAGCACCAAAATTGACCCAAAAATGACCCAAAATCATCCCAAAATTGAGCTGAAACAGCCCCAAAGTGAGGCTGGAATTCCCCAAATTCCAACAGAATTCCCAAAAATCCCAAAGAATTCCCAAAAAATCCCTGTAGAAATCGACAAAAACTGGCCCAGAACACACCAAAAAAAGACCCAAAATCGACCCAAAATTGACCAAAAATTGAGCTGAAATAGCCCCAAAGTGAGGCTGGAATTCACCAAAATTCCCAAAAATTCCCAAAGAATTCCCAAAATTCCCAAAGAATTCCCAAAAAAAGTCCCCGTCAAAATCGGCCAAAAATGAGCCAAAATGCAGCAAAATCCACCCAAAATCGACCCAAATTTGAGCTGAAATAGCCCCAAAGTGAGGCTGAAATTCCTGAAATTCCCAAAAATTCCCAAAATTCCCAAAGATTCCCAAAATTTCAAAAAAAATCCCCACCAAAATCGACCCAAAATTGACTGAAATCAACCCAAAATGGAGCTGAACCAGCCCCAAAGTGAGGCTGGAATTCCCAAAAATTCCCAAAAATTCCAGAAATTCCCAAAATTCCCAAAGGATTCCCAAAAAATCCCCGTCGAAATCGGCCAAAAATGAGCCAAAATCGAGAAAAACTGACCCAAAATTGACAAAAACTCAACGAATTTTCCGCCAAAAGTCCCAATTTCCCCCCAAAATCCCCATTTTTCCCCCCAAAATCCCCATTTTCCCCCCAAATTCCAATTTTCCCCCAAAATCCCCATTTTTTTCCCCAATTTCCCATTTTTCCCCCAAAATTCCCGTTTTTCCCCTCAAAATTCCCGTTTTTCCCAAAATCCCCATTTTTCCCAAAATCACCATCTTTTTCCTAAAAATCCCCATTTTTTATCCCAAACTTCCCATTTTTACCCAAAATCTCCATTTTTCAACCCAAAATTCCCATTTTCCCCAAAAAATTCCCATTTTTTTCCCAAAATCCCCATTTTTCCCCAAAAATCCCCATTTTTTTCCCCAAAATCTCCATTTTTTTATCCCAAAATTCCCATTTTTCCCCCTAAAATCCCCATTTTTTTCCCCAAATTTCCCCATTTTTTTCCCCAAATTTCCCATTTTTTTCCCCAAATCCGCATTTTTTCCCCAAAATTCCCCCAAATTCCCCATTTTTTCCCCAAAAATCCCATTTTTCCCCCAAAATCCCCATTTTTCCCCCAAAATCCCCATTTTTCCCAAATTTCCCATATTTCCCCCAAAAAATTCCCATTTTCCCCTCCAAATATTCCCATTTTATCCCAAAATTCCCATTTTTTTCCCAAAATCCCCATTTTTTTCACCCGTAAATTCCCATTTTTTTCCTCTACATTCTCCATTTTTCCTCCTAAAATCCCCAATTTTTCCCCAAAAATCCCCATTTTTTTTCCCAAATTTCCCATTTTTCCCCTCAAATTTCCCATTTTTTATCTGAAAATTCCGTTTTTTCCCAAAATTCCCGTTTTTCACCCCATTTCTCACCTCCCCGGGCTCTTCTCCCGGTACAAGGGGCTTTTGCTGTGCCCGAAGCGGCGCCTGGAAAAAACGGGATCAAATTCCCAAAAAATTCCCAATTCCGGGAAAAATTCGGGATTTTGGGGTTTTTTGGGATTTTTTTGGGATTTTTTCAGGAATTTTTGGGGATTTTTTCAGGATTTTTTTTTTATTTTTTACAGATTTTTTGGGGATTTCTTCCTTATTTTTTTTTGATTTTCCCAGGATTTTTCCAGGATTTTCCTGTTATTTTTCCTCGACTTTTTCAAGATTTTTCTTGGATTTTTCCTGGATTTTTAAGGATTTTTTTGGGATTTCCCTTGGATTTTTTCCAAGATTTTTCCGGGTTTTTTTCAGGATTTTTCAGAAATTTTCCTGGCATTCTTTCAAAATTTTTCCAAGATTTTTCCTGGATTTTTCTTGGATTTTTCCAGGATTTTTCTGGAATTTTTAAAGAATTTTTTTAGGATTTTTCTTGGACTCTTCCAAGATTTTTCTTGGTTTTTTTCCTGAATTTTTATTGGATTTTTCCTAGATTTTTGCAGGATTTTTCTGGGATTTTTTCAAGATTTTCTTGGATTTTTCCAGGATTTTCCCATTAATTTTCCTGGACTTTCCCATTATTTTTCTAGGTTTTTTCTGGGATTTTTTTCAGGATTTTTCTGGGATTTTTTCAAGATTTTTTTTGGATTTTCCTGGGATTTTCTTCAAGATTGTTCTTGGATTATTCCTGGATTTTCCCGCTATTTTCAGGGATTTTTCTGGGATTTTTCCAAGATTTTTGGGGGAATTTTTCCCGTGATTTTTCCATGTTTCCACCATGATTTTCCCGCTGTTTTCCCAGGATTTTCCTGGGATTTTTTTGTGATTTTCCCAGGAGTTTTAGAGGAATTTTCCCGCTATTTTTGAGGATTTTTCCGGGATTTTTCTGGGATTTTCCACGGCTTTTCCTGGGATTTTCCCTGGATTTTTGGGGGCATTTTCCTGTGATTTTCCCAGGATTTTCCAGGGATTTTCCCGTCATTCTCCCAGGATTTTTGGGGGAACTTTTCAATGATTTTCCTGTGATTTTCCCGTGATTTTCCTGTGATTTTTCTGTGATTTTCCCGGGATTTATGGACTAATTTTCCCAGGATTTTTAGAGGAATTTTCCCACTATTTTCCCAGGATTTTCCGGGGATCTTCCCGGGATTTTCCCAGGATTTCTGGGGAAACTTTTCCTTTTATTTTCTCGTGATTTTCCCATGATTTTCCTCTGATTTTCCCGGAATTTTCCCGTGATTTTTCCAGGATTTTTGCGGAATTTTCGCGGAATTTTCCTGCTATTTTCCCAGAATATTCCCGTGATTTTTCCAGGATTTTTGGGATTTTTGTGATTTCCCCGTGATTTTCCTACTATTTTCCCCTGATTTTCCCGTGATTTTCTGGGGAGTTTTGGAGGCATTTTCCTGTGATTTTCCCGTGATTTTTCCAGAATTTTTGGGGGCATTTTTCCGCCATTTTCCCGTGATTTTTCTATGATTTTCCCAAAATTTTCCTGCCATTTTCCCGTGATTTTCCCGCTATTTTCTCAGGATTTTCCCAGGATTTTCCCAGGATTTTTGGGGACTTTTTTTTGGGATTTTCCCATGATTTTCCATGGATATTCCGTGATTTTTCCTGTATTTCCATCCCCACCTGGCCCTCTCGTCGCGGCTGCGCCGTTCGCGGCTGCGGCTCCGTCGTCGCTCTCGGCTGCGGCTCCGGTGGCGACTGCGGCGATCGCGGCTGCGGCTGCGGCGGCGCCGCTCCCGCTCCCGGTCCCGGCTGCGGCTGCCCAGAATTCCCAAAATTCAATAAATCCCACAAAATCTGACAAATCCCAAAAATTCCGTACCGAAATACCCAAAAATCCCGGATTCCAGCCAAAAAAATCCCCAAATTCCCAGTAAAAATACCCAAAAAATCCACAAATTCGGGGCAAAAATACCCCAAAAATCCCAAAAATTCCGTACCGAAATACCCAAAAATCCCCCCAAAAAATCCCCAAATTCTGCACCAAAATACCCAAAAAATCCCCAAAATTCCGTACTGAAATACCCAAAATTCCCGGTAAAAATACCCAAAAATCCCCACAATTCTATAAATCCCACAAATCCCACAAATCCCAAAAATCCCCAAAATTCCGTACTGCAATAACAAAAATTCCCAGATTCCAGCCAAAAAAATCCCAAAAAAAATCCCCAAAATTCTGCACCAAAATACCCAAAAAATCCCCAAAATTCAACACCAAAATCCCCAAAATTCTGCACCAAAATTCCCAAAAATTGCCCAAAATTCCGCAACAAAATCCCCAAAATTCCACAACAAAATCCCCAAAATTCCGCACCAAAATTCCCAAAAATCCCAAAAAAAATCCCCCAAAAATCCCCACAAAAATCCCCCAAAAAATCCCCAAAATCCTGCAACAAAATCCCCAAAAATCCCGAAAAAAGTCCCCAAAAAAATCCCCAAAAAAATTCCCAAAAAAATCCCCAAAATTCTGTACCAAAAATCCCAAAATTCCCGGTAAAAATACCCAAAAAATCCCCAAATTCGGGGCAAAAATACCCCAAAAATCCCCAAAATTCAACAAATTCCCAAAATTCCACCCCAAAATACCCAAAAATCCCCAGATTCCAGAAAAAAAAAAACCCAAAAAATCCCCAAATTCCCAGTAAAAATACCAAAAAAATCCCCAAATTCAACAAATCCCACAAATACCAAAAATCCCAAAAATTCCGTACTGAAATACCCCAAATTCCCCAAAAAAATCCCCAAAAAAATCCCCAAAAAAATCCCCAAAAAAATCCCCCAAAAAATCCTCAAATTCGGGGCAAAAATACCCCAAAAATCCCCAAAATTCCACACCAAAAATCCCCGGATTCCAGCCCAAAAAATCCCTAAAAATCCCCCAATTCCTGGTAAAAGTACCCAAAAATCACCAAAATTCAATAAATTCCAAAATCCCAAAAATCCCAAACATCCCGTACTGAAATACCCAAAATTCCCAGGTTCCAACCCAAAAAAATCCCCAAATTCTAAGCCAAAATACCAAAAAAATCCTCAAAATTCCACACCAAAAATCCCCACAATTCAATAAATCCCCCAAATCCCAAAAATCCCAAAAATTCCACATCAAAATACCCCAAAAAATCCCCCAAAAAATCCTCAAATTCTGCACCAAAATACCCAAAAATCCCCCAAAAAATCCCCAAATCCCAAAAATCCCAAAAATTCTGCACCAAAATTCCCAAAATTCCGCACCAGAAGTATCAAAAAAATCCCCAAAATTCCAGCCCAAAAATTCCCCAAAAATCCTCAAAATTCAACACAAAAAAATCCCCAAAATTCCGCAACCAAAATCCCCAAATTCCAGCCAAAAAAAAATCCAAAAAAAATCCCCAAATTCCGAGCCAAAATACCCAAAAATCCCCAAAAAAATCCCCAAATTCCAACCCAAAAAATCCCCAAAATTCCACACAAAAATCCCCAAAAAAATCCCCAAAAAAATCCCCAAATTCCCAGTAAAAATACCCCAAAAATCCCCAAAATTCAACAAATTCCCAAAATTCCACCCCAAAATACCCAAAAATCCCCAGATTCCAGAAAAAAAAATACCCAAAAAATCCCCAAATTCCCAGTAAAAATACCAAAAAAATCCCCAAATTCAACAAATCCCACAAATACCAAAAATCCCAAAAATTCCGTACTGAAATACCCCAAATTCCCCAAAAAAATCCCCCAAAAAAATCCCCCAAAAAATCCTCAAATTCGGGGCAAAAATACCCCAAAAATCCCCAAAATTCAACACCAAAAATACCCAAAATTCCACAACAAAATACCCAAAATCCCTGGATTCCAGCCAAAAAATCCCAAAAATCCTGCATCAAAATACCCAAAAATCCCCCAAAAAAATCCCCCAAAAAATCCTCAAATTCCAGGCCAAAATACCCCAAAAAATTCGCCAAAATTCAGTAAATCCCACAAATCCCAAAAATCCGCATCAAAATACCCAAAAATCCCCAAAAAAATCCCCAAAAAATCCTCAAATTCCAGGCCAAAATACCCCAAAAATCCCCAAAATTCAACAAATACCCAAATCCCAAAAATCCACATCAAAATACCCAAAAATCCACAAAAAAATCCACAAAAAAATCCTCAAATTCTGAGCCAAAATACCCAAAAATCCCCCAAAAAAATCCCCCAAATCCGGCAAATCCCAAAATTCCACACCAAAATACCCAAAATTCCTGGATTCCAGCCCCCAAAAAAAAAAAAATATCTTCAAATTCCGAGCTAAAATACCCAAAAATTCCCCCAAATTCCACACCAAAATCCTCAAAATTCCACACCAAAAATCCCAAAAATCCCGCATCAAAATACCCAAAAATACCTGGATTTCCGCCCAAAAAAATCCCAAAATTCCGCACTGAAATACCCAAAATTCCCAAAAATTCCCAGTAAAAATACCCAAAAAATCCCCAAATTTGGGGCAAAAATACCCCAAAAATCCCCAAAATTCCACAACAAAATCCCCAAAATTCCACACCAAAATCCCCAAAAATCCCAAAAAAAATCCCCAAAAAAATCCCCAAAAAAATCCCCCAAAAAATCCCCAAATTCCAACCCAAAAAATCCCCAAATTCTGAAACAAAATACCCCAAAAATCCCCAAAATTTCACACCAAAAAATTCCCAGATTCAAGCCCAAAACATCCCCAAATTCTGAGCCAAAATCCCCAAAAATGCCCAAAATTCAACAAATCCCCCAAATCCCAAAAATCCCCAAAATTCCGTACCGAAATACCCAAAAATCCCCCCAAAAATCCCCCCAAAAATTCCCAAAAAAAACCCCAAAATTCTGTACCAAAAATCCCTAAAATTCCCGGTAAAAATACCCAAAAAATCCCCAAATTCGGGGCAAAAATCCCCCCAAATCCCCAAAATTCAATAAATCCACCAAATCCCAATAATCCCAAAAATTCTGTACCGAAATACCCGAAATCCCCAAAAAAATCCCCAAAAAAATCCCCCAAAAAATCCCCCAAAAAATCCCCAAAATCCACACCAAAAATCCCCAAAAATGCCCAAAATTCAACAAATACCCAAATCCCCAAAATCCCAAAAATCCACACCAAAATACCCAAAAATCCCCAAAGTTCCACACCTAAAATCCCCAAAATTCCCATTTTTATCCAAAATTCCCATTTTTTTCCCCAGAATTCCTTTTTTCCTCCCAAAACCCCCATTTTTCCCCCAAAATCCCCATTTTTTCCACAAATCCCCTTTTTTTCTCCTAAAATTTCCTTTTTTTTCCCCAAAATCCCCATTTTTCCCCCAAAATTCCCATTTTTATCCAAAATCCCCATTTTTTCCCCAAAATTCCCATTTTTCCTCCAAAACACCCATTTTTCCCCTAAAATTCCAATTTTTATCCCAAAATCCCCATTTTTTGCCCCAAAATCCCCATTTGTCCCCCAGAATTCCCATTTTTCCCCAAAATTCCAATTTTTTTGCCCCAAAATCCCCATTCCCTCAAAATTCCATATTTTCACCCTCAAAATTCCCAATTTTCCCTCCAGAACCACCATTTTTTTCCCAAAATTCTCAATTTTTCCCTCAAAATTCCCATTTATTCCCAAAATCCCCATTTTTCCCTCCTAAAAAAAAAATCCCTTTTTCCCCCAAATCCCAATTTTACCCCCCAAAATCCCAATTTTTCCACCCAAAATTCCCATTTTTCCCCCAAAATCCCCATTTTTTTCACCCAGAATTCCCATTTTTTCCCAAATTTCCCATTTTTCCCCCAAAATCCCCATTTTTCACCCCAAAATCCCCATTTTTTTCACCCAGAATTCCCATTTTTTTCCCAAAATTCCCATTTTTCCCACCTGTGTCTGTGCTCGCGGCTCCGGCTCCGCTTCTTCCGGCTGCTGAAATTGGGGAAAAAACGGGAAAATTTGGGAAAAATCCCAGAAAATTCCCAAAAATCCCAGAAAAACTCGGGGGAAATTCGAAAAATTTGGGAAAAATCCGGAAAATTTGGGAAAAATCCGAGAAAATTTGGGAAAAATCCAGAAAAATTTTAAAAATCCACAAAAAAATCAGGGAAAATCCGAAGGGAAATTCCCAAAAATCCCAAAGGAAAAATTGGGAAAATTTGGAAAAATTGGGAAAATTTTGGGAAAAATACACAAAAAATTGGGAAAATCCAGAAAAAAAAAAATCTGTGGAAAAAAGGGGAAATTCAATAAAAATTGGGGAAAATTTGGAAAGAAAAAATAGGAAAAATTGGAAAAAATTTAGGAAAATTAAAATACAAAAATCCAGGAAAAATTGGTGAAAATCCAGAAAAATTCCAAAAAAATTTAATGGGAAAAAAAAACAAAAAGAAAAATTTGGAAAATTCAGGAAAATTTAAAAAAATCTGGGAAAAAATCAGGGAAAAATCAAAAAGAATTCCAAAAAAATCCAGGAAATATTGGAAAAAAAAATGTTTAAAAATCTGAAAAATTAAGGAAAAAAAAAACCCTGGAAAAATCCAAGGAAAATTGAGGAAAATCCAGAAAAATTCCAAAAAATCCCAATGAAAAAATAAAATGAAAAATTTGGAAAATTCAGGAAAACTGGGAAAAATGCAGGAAAAATTCCCAAATTTCCCCAAAAAATCCCCAAATTTCCTCCCAGAATTCCCAAATTTCCTCCCAAAATTCCCGATTTCACTCAAAAATTACCAAATTTCCACCAATATTTCTAATTTTTTCCCCCAAATTCCCAAATTTCCCCCTAAAATTCAAAATTTTTCCCCAAAATTCTCAATTTTTCTTCCAAAATTCGCAATTTGACTCAGTAATTCCAAAATTTCCCCCAAAATCCCCAATTTTTCCTCACAAAATTTGCAATTTTACTCAAAAATTCCAAAATTTCCACCCAGACTTCTCAAATTTTCTGCAAAATTTCCAATTTTTCTTCAAAATTTCCACTTTTTTCCCAAAAATACCCAAATTTTCCCAAAGATTCCCAATTTTTTACCCCAAATTTCCCCCCGAAATTTCCAATTTTTCCCAACAATTCCCAAATTTTCTCCAAAAATTCCCAATTTCCCTCAAAAATTACCAAATTTCCTCCCACAATTCCCAATTTTACTCAAAAATTCCCAAATTTCCTCCCAGAATTCCCAAATTCTTCCTAAAATTTCCAATTTTTTCTCCAGAATTCCCAAATTTTCCACTAAATTTCCACTTTTTCCCCAAAATTTCCACTTTTTTCCCCAGAATTCTCAGATTTTCTCCCAAAATTCCCAATTTTACTCAAGAATTCCAAATTTTTCTTGTAAAATTCCCAATTTCCCCCAGAATCCCCAAATTTCCTCCAAAAAATTTCCAATTTTTCCCCCAAAATTCCCAATTTCACTCAAAAATTCCAAAATTTCCACCCAAAATTCCCAAATTTCCCTCAAAATGTCCAATTTTTTCTCCAAAATTCCCAAATTTTCCACAAAATTTCCAATTGTTTCTCCGCAAGTTCCCAAATTTTCCTCCAGAATTCCCAATTTTCCTCCCAAAATTTCCATTTTTTTGCCCAAAATTCCCAATTTTTTTCCCCAAATTCCCAAATTTTCCCCAAAATTCCCAATTTTTTTCCCAAAATCCCCGAATTTCCCCCCAAAATTCCGTATTTTCCCTACCTGCTCCCGCTCTCCTTTTTGGCCTCTTTCGGCTCCTCCTGGGGCGGCTGTGGGGGAGAAATTCCCAAAATTTCCACCCCAAAATTCCCAAAAAATCCCGGAATTCCCAAATCCCAAAATTCCCCCAAAAAATCCCCAAAATCCCCAACAAAAATTTAACAAAAACACTTAAAAATTCCCCCAAAATTCCCAATAAATCCTAAAATTTCCCACAAAATTCCCAATAAATCCTAAATTTTCCCCCAAAATTCCCCAAACCTCCCAGAAATCCCAAAAAATCTCCCAAAATTCCCAATAAAACCCAAAATTCCCCCAAAATTCCCAATAAATCCTAAAATTTCCCCCCAAAATCCCCAATAAATCCTAAAATTTCCCCCCAAAATTCCCCAAACCTCCCAAAAACACCAAAAAAACCCAAAAATTCCCAATAAAACCCAAAATTCCCCCAAAATTCCCAATAAATCCTAAAATTTTCCGCCAAAATTTCGCAAACCTCCCAAAAATCCCAAAAAACCCCAAAATTCCCAATAAAGCTCAAAATTTCTCCAAAATTCCCCACAGAATTCCCAAAATTCCGCCCGAATGCAAAAATTCACAATAAATCCCAAAATTCCACCCCCAAAAATTCCAGAATTCCCAAAATTTCCCTAAAAATCCCAAAATTCCCCCCAAAAATCCCTAAAATTGGCAAAATTCTCCCCCAAAAATTCCCAAAATGTCCCAAAAATCAAAAAAAGCCCAAAAATTCCCGACAAAACCCAAAAATTTCCACAAAAAGTCCCAAAATCTCAAAAATTCCCCCCAAATTTCCCAATAAAACCCAAAAACATCACAAAAATCCCCAAAATTCACCCCAAAGATTCCAAATAAAGCCCAAAGAATTACGAAAAATCCCTAAAATCCAAAAATTTCTTGAAAATACCCAAAATTTCCCATAAAACTCAAATTCCACCAAAAAATTCCCAATAAAACAGAAAAAAATTTCCAAAATCCCCCAAATTCCCCCCAAAATTGCCCAAAACCCAGAAAGTTCCCCAAAATCCCCCAAATAATTTCCAAAACCTCCCAAAAATCAAAAATACCCCAAAAATTCCCAACAAAACCCAAAAAAATCCCCAAAAATCTCCAAAAATCCCCCAAAATTCCCAATAAAACCCAAAAATTTCATAAAAATTCCCAAAATTCACCCCAAAAATTCCAAATAAAATCCAAAGAATTACAAAAAACCCTAAAATCCAAAAAATTCCCAAAAATCCCCGAAATTCCCCATAAAACTCCAATTTCCCCCAAAACTTCCAGATAAAACCCAAAAAATTCTCAAAAATCCCCAAAATTCCACCAAAAATTCCCCAAAACCCAAAAAATTCCCCAAAATTCCCAAAATAATTCCCAAAACCTCCCAAAAATCAAAAACAGCCCAAAAATTCCAAACAAATCCCAAAAAATCCCAAAAACTTCCCAAAATCTCCAAAATTCCCCCAAAAATTCCCAATAAAACCCAAAAAATTTCCAAAAAATCCCAAAAATTCCACCAAAAATTCCCGAAAACCCAGAAAATTCCCCCAAATTCCCAAAATAATTTCCAAAACCTCCCAAAAATCAAAAACAGCCCAAGAAGTCCCAACAAAACCCAAAAAAATCCCAAAAACTTCCAAAATCTCCAAAATTTCCCCAAAAATTCCCAATAAAACCCAAAAAAATCCCATAAATCCCCAAAATTCCCCAATAAAACTCAAATTTCCCAAAAAAATTCCCAATAAAACAGAAAAAAATTCCCAAAATAATTCCCAAGATTCCCCCCAAAATTCCCAACAAAACCAAAAACTTCACAAAAATTCCCCAAAGTTCCCAAAAATTCCCCAAATCCCAGAAAGTTCCCAAAAATTCCCAGAATAATTCCCAAAATCTCCCAAAAAATCCCAACAAAACCCAAAAAAATCCCAAAAACTTCCCAAAATCTCCAAAATTTCCCTAAAAATTCCCAAAACAGAAAAAAAAAAATCCCAAAACTTCCCCAAATTCCCTCAAAAAATTCCCAATAAAACCCAAAAAATTCCCCTAAATCCCCAAAATTTCACCAAAAATTCCAAATAAAACCCAAAAACTTCCCAAAATTCCCAAAATAATTCCAAAAATCTTCCAAAATTCTCTCCCAATATTCCCTCTGTAACTCAAAACATCCCAAAAATTCCCAAAATTCCCCCAAAAATTCCAAAAAAATCCCCCCAAATCACCCAAACCTCCCAAAATTCCCCAAAATTCCCTAAAATTCCCCAAAATTTGGGAATTTCCCACCTGGGCCGGGGGCGGCTCCGGTTGGGCCTTGGAGGGGCCGGGCTGGGCCTGGAAAATTGGGAAAAAAACGTCAAAAATGGGAAAAACGGGAAAAATGGGGGAAAATTGGGAATTTGGGAGGAAGTTTGGGTGGAAATTGGGGGAAATTGGGAAAAAAATTGGGAATTTGGGAGAAATTTGGGGAGAAATTGGGGAAAATTGGGGAAAAATTGGGGAAAAATTGAGGAAAATTGGGGGAAAATGGAAAAATTAGGGAAAAATTGGGGAAAATTGAGGAAAATTTGGGGAAAATTGGGGGAAAATGAGAAAAAAGTGGGAATTAGGGGAACAATTGGGGGAAACTGGGAAAAAATGAGAAAATTAGGGAAAATTTAGGGAAAATTGGGAAAAAAAGTGAGAATTTGACAGAAATTTGGGGAAAAATAGGGGAAAATTGGGAAAATGGGAAAAGTAGGGAAAAAATGGGGAAAATAGGGGAAAAATTGGAAAATTGGGGAAAAATGGGGGAAAATGGGAAAAAAGTGGGAATTTGGGGGAAAATTGGGGAAAATTGGGGGAAAATTGGGAAAAAATTAGGAATTTTAAGAAAAATTGGGGAAAAATGGGGGAAAATGGGAAAAATAAGGATAAATTGGGGAGAATTGGGGAAAAAAGGGAATTTTTAGGAAATTTGGAAAAAATTGTGGAAAATGGAGAGAAAATGGGAAGGATGGGGAAAATTGGGAGAAAATTCAGGAAAAATAGGGAATTTGGGGGAAAATGGGGAAAATGGGGGGAATTTGGGAAAATATGGGGAAAAATTGGGGAAAATTGGAGAAAAATTGAGAATTTGGGAAAAAATGGGAGAAAATTGGGAATTTGGGATGAATTCGGGATAAAATGGAAAGGAATTGGAAAAAAATTGGGAAAAATTCAGGAAAAAATGGAGAAAATTGGGGAAAATGAGGAAAAAGGGGAAAATTGGAGAAAAATTGGGGAAATTGGAGAAAAAATGGAAAAAAAAGGAAGAAAATGGGACAAAATTGGGAAAAATTGGGATTTTGGGATGAATATCAGATAAAATTGGGAAAAATTTGAATAAAAATGGAAAAAAATCAGCAAAAATTGGGGAAATTCAGGAAAAATTCAGAAAAAAATTGGAATTTGGGAGAAAGTTGGGGGAAATGGAGAAAAATGGAGGAAAAATGGGGAAAATGGTGAAAAATTGGGGGAAATTGAGGAAAATTGGGGGAAATTTGGAATCTGGGAGAAGTTTGGGGGAAAAATTGGGAAAAATTGGGGCAAAATTGGGAAAACTTAGGGAAAAATCAGGGGAAAATTGTGAAAAATGGGGAAATTTGGCGAAAACTAGGGAAAAAATTGAGAAATATGGAAAAATTTGGGCAAAATGGGGAAATTTGGTTCTGAAATTGGGAATTTGGGGAAAACTGAATTAAAATCAGGAAATTTGGGGAAAATTTGGGGAGAATTTGGAGAAAATTTGGGGAAAATTGGAGAAAAATTGAGAATTTGGGGAAAATTTGGGGGAAAATTGGGAATTTGGGATGAATTTCGGATAAAAATGAAAAGGGATTGGAAAAAAGTTGGGAAAAATTGTGGAAAAAATGGAGAAAATTGGGGAAAATGAGGAAAAAAGGGGAAAATTGGGGAAAAATTTGGGGGATTGAAGAAAAAAAGGAAGAAAATGGGAGAAAATTGGGAAAAATTGTAGAAAAAATGGGATTTGGGGATGAATTTCAGATAAAAATGGGAAAAATTGGAGTAAAAATGGAAAAAATCAGCAAAAATTAGGGAAATTCAGGAAAAATTCAGGAAAAATTGGAATTTGGGAGAAAGTTGGGGAAAAACTGGGGAGAATGGAGAAAAAATGGGGGAAATGGTGAAAAATTGGGGGAAATTGAGGAAAATTGGGGGAATTTGGAATCTGGGAGAAATTTGGGGAGAAATTTGGGAAAAATTGGGGGAAATTTGGAATCTGGGGGAAATTTGGGGGAAAAATTGGGAAAAATTGGAGAAAAATCAGGGGAAAATTGGGAAAAATGGGGAAATTTGGGGAAAACTTGGGAAAAATTGAAAAATACGAGAAAATTCGGGAAAAATGGGGAAATTTGAGGAAATTTAGTTCTGAAATTGGGAATTTGGGGAAAAGTGAATTAAAATCTGGAAATTTGGGGAAAATTTGGGGAGAATTTGGGGAAAATTTGGGGAAAATTGGAGAAAAATTGAGAATTTGGGGAAAATTTGGGAGAAAATTGGGAATTTGGGATGAATTTCGGATAAAAATGGAAAAGAATTGGGAAAAAAAATTGGGAAAAAATGGGGAAAAAATGGAGAAAATTGGGGAAAATGAGGAAAAAGGAGAAAATTGGGGAAAAATTGGGGAATTGAAGGAAAAATGGGGAAAATGGAAGAAAATCGGAGAAAATTGGAAAAAAATGGTGAAAAATTGGTAATTTGGGATGAATTTCAGATAAAAATTAGAAAAATTAGAGTAAAAATGGAAAAAATCAGCAAAAATTAGGGAAATTTAGGAAAAATTCAGGAAAAATTAGAATTTGGGAGAAATTTGGGAGAAATGGAGAAAAATGGAGGAAAAATGGGGAAAATGGTGAAAAATTGGGGGAAATTGAGGAAAATTGGGGGAAATTTGGAATCTGGGAGAAATTTGGGGAAAAATTGGGACAAATTGGAGAAAAATCAGGGGAAAACTGCAAAAAATGGGGAAATTTGGGGAAAACTTGGGAAAAAATTGAGAAATGCGAAAAAATTTGGGAAATTTGAGGAAATTTGGTTCTGAAATTGGGAATTGTGGGAAAAGTAAATTAAAATCTGGAAATTTGGGGAAAATTTGGGAAAAATTTGGGGAAAATTTGGGGAAAATTAGGGAAATTTGGGAGGGGAAATGGAAATAAAAGGGAAAAAAATTCCCAAATTTTTTGGGAATTCCGTCACCTCCTCCTTCTTGTAGGGCGCCTCCAGCATGGCCTCGATGACGATGTCGAAGTCGTCTGACGTCATCGCGTCCGCCTGCGGAATTTTGGGAATTTCAGCGCCCGGAATTCCCAAAAATCCCCCAAAAAATTCCCAAAATTTCGGGGATTTTGGAACTCACCGGGTCCGGCAGCGCTTTGGATCCCCCTGAGTCCATCCCGGGGGGTTTTTTGGGGGGAAAACCCCCGGAATTTGGGTTTTTCTGCGGTGACGTCATCAGAAAAGAAAGAGATTACGTCATCGGCGGCGATGACGTCACGGCCCGCCTATAGGAAAGCGACGGCTCCCAAGCCACGCCCCCTCCCATTGACAACAACGGCGCACAAGCCACGCCCCCTCCACAAAGCCACGCCCCGTTTTATTAAAATAACCCGCTCAAGCCCCGCCCCCTCCCATTGACCACAACGTCGCCCAAGCCACGCCCCCCGCCAAAACCACGCCCCCTTTTATTTAAATAACCCATTTAAGCCCCGCCCCCTTCACAAGCCCCGCCCCCTCCCTCAGCGCCGCCATCGCGCTCCGCTTCCCGCCCTCCCCCCCCCACCCCCTTCCCCCCCCTCCGCCGCCTCCCCTCCCCCTCCCCGCGCCCCCCGCCGCCCCCACCGTGACGTCACGGCTCTGGGGGGGACATGACGTCATGTCGCGACAGCGCTGTCGCCCTTACCGGCCCCCCCTGAGCCCCGAAACGGCGGCGGCGGCGGCGGCGGCGGCCCCGGACGCGGCGGCAAAGATGGCGGCGGCCTCCAGAACCTTCCCCCCCTCCTCCTCCTTCGCCCTGCCCGCGCCGCTCGCCCCGCCCTCCTCGCGCTCCTATTGGTTTAAACCCAGCCTTGCTGTCTTCCTATTGGCTGGCGGTGCTGCCCGTCAAAGTGCGGCGGCGATGATTGGTTATTTAGGCCGCAAAGTGCCGGCGCGGCGGATTGGTGGATGAGACGCGCGCGGTGATTGGATGAGAGGAGGAGATACGGGCCCCGCCCCTTCCCGCTGCGTAGTTGCCATGGCAACGCGGCCTAGCGCCGCCTGCGGAGCCTCCGCTCGAGTAGCGAGGAGGAAAAAAGCCAAAAAAAGCCGAAAAATGGAAATTTTGGGGAAAATCGTCAGGAAATGGGATTAAAACGCCCTGAGGGGAGCGTGGGCAGCGTCACGGAGCGCGGGGGAGTTTTTTGAGACGGCTAAAACGAATCAGCTTTTTTGGGGGGGCAAATGATCCAAAAAACCCTTAAAATTACCCCAAATTCTGCTTTTTAACCCAAATTTTCCCAATTCTCCCTCTTTTATCCCCGTTTTTCTGCTTTTGATCCAAAGCTGCCGATTTTTGGGGTGATTTTGGAGGTTTTTGGTGCAAAATACTCAATTTTGACCCAAATTGCTTCAAATTGGTGGAAATTGGACACAAATCTCCTCAATTCCACCCAAATTTCATCAATTTTCCTCAATTCCACCCAAATTTCTCCAATTTCCCACAATTTTCACCCAAATTTCTCCAATTTTCCTCAATTCCACCCAATTTTTACAAATTCTCTGCTTTTTCTTCCCTTTTTTCCCCATTTGGCCTCAAGTTCCTGAGATTTTGCCCAAATTTTTCATTTTTCACCCAAATTTCACCTCAAAAATTCCCCCCAAATTTCCTCAATTTCCACCCAATTTTTACAAATTCTCTGCATTTTCTTCCCTTTTTTCCCCATTTGGCCTCATGTTCCCGAGGTTTTGCCCAAATTTTTCATTTTTCACCCAAATTTCACCCAAAATCCCAACATTTCCCCCAAAATTTCCACTTTTCCTCCAAAATTTCAATTTTTCTCCTCATTTTTTCAGTGATTTTTCCCAAAATTCCATTTTTTCTGCCCAATAACTCCCCCAAAATTCCACTTTTTTCCCCCCCAAGCCCCAACTTCCACCCCAAAACTTTTATTTTTCCCTAAAATTCCCCCTTTTCCCTTCACAATTCCACTTTTTCCACCCAAAATTTACCTTTTTTACCCAAAACTCCAATTATTCCCCCAAAATTTCATGGTTTTCATCCCAAAATTCCACTTTGCCCCATAAATTCCCTAAAATTTCTCCCTTTCCCTTTAATTCCTCATTTTCCCCCCAAAAAATTCCCCATTCCTCCCTAAATTTCCACCTCTCCCCCCAAAATCCCAAATTTCCATATTTCTCCTCAAAATTCCCCCCCAAAATTCCCATTTTTTTCCTCCCAAATCCCCAAAATTCCCATTTTTTTCCTCCCAAATCCCCAAAATTCCCAAATTTCCCCCCCCAAAATATCAAAAATTCCCCCCCAAAATTCCCATTTTTCACTCAAAATTCCCAATTTCCCCCTCGGAAATCCCCCAAAATTCATTTTCTCCAAAAATTCTCATTTTCTCCCAAAAATTCCTGGATATTTCCTCAAAATTCCCTCATAAATTTCCCATTTCTGCTCCCCAAATTCCCCCCCAAAATTCCAGAATTTTTTCCCTCCAAAATTCCCCCTTTTCCTCCCCAAAATTACATTTTCCCCGCTCCAAATCCCCATTTTTTCTGCCAAAATCCCAATTTTTCCCCAAAATCCCAATTTTTTCCCCCAAAATCCCCATTTCCCCCCAAAATTTCCATATTTTCACTCCAAAAGCCCCAAAAAATCCCATTTCCCCCCCAAAATTTTGAGTGTTTCACCCCAAAATCCAATTTTTTCCTCCAAAACCCCCAAAATTAACATTTTTCCCCCAAAATTTTGATTTTCTTTCCCCAAATTCCCATTTTCTCCCCCCAAACCCCCCTCTCCGCCAAAATCCCCATTTTCCACCCCAAATTTTTGATTTTCTCCCCCAAAATCCCCATTTTTCCCTCCAAAACACAAAAAATCTCCATTTCTCGCCCAAAATCCCCATTCCCCTTCAAAATTCCCAATTTTCTCATCCAAAATTCCCTTTTTTTCCCTCCAAAATCATTAAATGTCCGTATTTTCCCCAAAAACCCGCATTTCCCACCCAAAATCCCCATTTTCCCCCCAAAATCCCCATTTTTCCACCCAAAATACCCATTTTTCCCTCAGAATCCCAATTTCCCCTGCTAAAATTCCCATTTTCTCATCCAAAATTCCTTTTCCCTCCAGAATAATTTAAAAATCCCCATTTTCCCCGACCAAAATCCCCATTTTTTCCCCCCAAAATCCCCATTTTTTCCCCAAATCCCCATTTTCCCCCCAAAATTCCATTTCCCCCCCCAAAATCTTAATTTTCTCCCCTAAATCCCCATTTTTCATCCAAAATCCGCATTTTCCCTCTAAAATTTCCATTTCCCTCCTAAAATCCCCATTTTTCCCCTAAAATCCCCATTTTCCCCCCAAAACCCCCCATTTTTTCCCAAAACCCCCATTTTTTCCCCCAAAATCCCCATTTTTCCCCCAAAATCCCCATTTTCCCTCAGAATCCCCATTTTCCCCTCTAAAATCCCCATTTTCTCCTCCAAAATTCCCTTTTTTCCCCTCTAAAACCAATAAAAATCCCCATTTTTCCCCCCAAAACTCTCATTTTTCCCCTAAAATCCCCATTTTCCCCCAAAAATCCCCATTTTTTTCCCAAAATCCCCATTTTCCCCCCAAATTCCCATTTTTCCCCCCAAAACCCCCATTTTTTTCCCCAAAATCCCCACATCCCCCCAAAATCCCCATTTTTCCCCCAAAATTCCCATTTTTCCCCCACATCCTCATTTTTTTCCCAAAAATCTCCATTTTCCCCCCTAAAATTCCTATTTTCTCATCAAAAATTCCCATTTTTTCCCTCTAAAACCAATAAAAATCCAAATTTTTCCCCCCCAAAATCCCCATTTTTCCCCCAAAATCCCTAATTTTCCCCAAAACCCCCATTTCCCCCCCAAAAATCCCCATTTCCGTCCCGAAATCCCCACTTTTTCCCAAAATCCCCATTTGCCTCCCAAAATCCCCATTTTTTCCCAAAATCCCCATTTTTCCCCACCAAAATCCCCATTTCCCCTTCCTAAAATCCAATTTTTTTCCCAAAACCCCCATTTCCTCCCCCAAAATTCCCTTTTTTCCCCTCTAAAATTATTAAAAATCCCCATTTCCCCTCAAACCCCCATTTCCCACCCAAAATTTCCATTTTCTCCAAAAAATTCCCATTTTTTTTCCCAAAATCCCCATTTCCCCTTCCTAAAATCCCATTTTTTCCCCAAAACCGCCATTTTTTTCCCAAAATCCCCATTTCCCCTTCCTAAAATTCCATTTTTTTCCCCAAGACCCCCATTTTTTTCCCAAAATCCCCAATTTTTTTCCAAATTCCCATTTTTTCCTCTAAAACCATTAAAAATCCCCATTTTCCCCCAAAATCACCATTTTCCCTCTAAAATTTCCTTTTTTTTTCCCCAAAACCTCCATTTTCCCCAAAAACCCCAATTTTTTCCCAAAATCCCCATTTTCCCCCTAAAATTCCCATTTTCCTTCAGAATCCCAATTTTCCCCCCCAAAATCCCCATTTTCTCCCCTAATCCCCATTTTCCCCCCAAATTCCCACATCCCCCTTAAAATTCCCATTTTTTCTCCCAAAATGCCCATTTTCCCCCTAAAATCTCCATTTTTCCCCCCAAAACTCCCATTTTTCCCCCTAAAATCCCCATTTTCCCCCCCAAATCCCCATTTTCTCAAAAACCACCATTTCCAACTCCAAAACTCCCTTTTTTCCCTCCAAATTCCCACATCCCCCTTAAAATTCCAATTTTTTCTCCCCAAATGCCCATTTTCCCCTAAATCCCCATTTTCCCCCAAAATCCCAATTTTCCCCCTAAAATCCCCATTTTCCCCCCCAAATCCCCATTTTCCTCCTAAAATTCCCATTTTCTCCTCAAAAATTCCCTTTTTTCCCCTCCAAAATCATTAATAATCCCAATTTTCCCCCAAAATCCCCATTTTTCCTCCCTAAAATTACCATTTTCTCCTCCAAAACTCCATTTTTTCCCCTCCAAATTCATTAAAAATCCCAATTTTTCCCCCAAAACCCCCATTTTTCTCACCCCAAAACCCCCATTATCCCCTCTAAAATCCCCATTTTTCCCCCAAAATTCCCATTTCCCCTTCCTAAAATTCCCATTTTTTCCCAAAATCCCCATTTTCCCCCCAAATTCCCCATTTTCCCTCAGAACCCCAATTTTCCCCCCTAAAATTCCCATTTTCACCTCCAAAATTCCCTTTTTCCCCTCTAAAACCACTAAAAATCCCCATTTTCCCCCTAAAATCCCCATTTTCTCCCCAAAATTCCAATTTTTTTTCCAAAACCACAATTTCCCACCAAAAATCCCCATTTTCCCCCTAAATCTCCATTTCCCCCTCTAAAATCCCCATTTTCTCATCTAAAATTCCCCTTTTTTTTCTCCAAAATCATTAAAAATCCCCATTTTTCCCCCCAAAATCCCCATTTTTCCCTCAGAACCCCAATTTTCCCCCAAAACCCCCGTTTTTTTTTCCCAAATCCCCATTTTCCCCTGTAAAATCCCCATTTTCTCCTCCAAAATCCCCATTTTCCCCCCTAAATCCCCATTTCCCCCCCATCCCCATTTTCACCCCTAAAATCCCCATTTTTTCCTCCAAAACTTCCTTTTTTTCCCTCTAAAACCATTAAAAATCCCCATTTCCCCTCAAACCCCCATTTCCCCCCCAAAATTTCCATTTTCTCCATAAAATTCCCATTTTTTCACCCAAAATCCCAATTTCCTCCCTTTAATTCCCATTTTGT